TACTCTTCTCTCTTGGTTGGTTAGTTTTACATTTTGCGAATACCTGGCACTCTCAAAATCAGTGTCAGGTGAGTTAACAGCGATCCCTACCAGCTGTGAGCTCCTTTGAGCTCTGAGATCCTGAGGAAATTAGCATGGTAGCAGCTACTTCACCAAGAATACAATTCCATATATGTTGAGTCAGAAAAGGGGCTTACAACTCCTAGCAACTCCTAGGGATGTGAATGTTGCAGGACATTTTCCTGCCTTCATGTGCTTAGGTTTGCTGCTCTGGTAATTCTTCCTTCTCTGTTGGACTATGCACTGCCATCTTGGCGGAACGCACAGGAGGCCCCGAAGTGGTCCCGGCTACGCTAGAAGAGCAAAGGAATAGGCTACCTGTAAATTTACGAGGAATAAAGCAAACCCACAATCAACTACCCTTTTGGTTAATCACAAGTGAATCTCCAGGTACTTCCCAGAGTTCTAACCAGGGATTGTAGAAGTCCATATGTGCCCGCCCGCCCCTTGAGATCAGCGGGAGAGGCCCTTCTCCGGGAACCCTCTGTGAAGGATATTAGGAGGGTAAGTACTCGGAGGAGGCGCCCAATCCATGGAATGTGCTCCCCAGAGAGGTCCGCCTGGCACCGTCATTATTTGTTTTTCGGCGCCAGGCGAAGACCTTTTTAGTCAAACATTATTTTAACTGCTAATATTATTTATTTATTTATTTATTTTTGGCCAGGTCGACTCAAATTATATTGTGTTTATTTATTTATTATTGTGAGCCACCCCAAGGCTTCGGCATTATGGGGCGGCATAGAAGCCTCCTAAATAAAAATAATAATAAATAATAAATAATACTCAGGTAACTGAGAAGCTATAGACAATTAAATCTATAAAAATATTGTAAACAATTGGTCTGCAATCCTATGCAAGTTTAGACAGGAAAAGAAGGCCTACAACTCCCAGCAGGCCCCAGCAAATTATACTCCAAGGCTGGCAATGGAATTGCAATCTCCTCCACACCTGAGCACGGAAGGTAATTAGGTGCAGGATGCGTGTCCTGCACAGCTCCACCCATTAGGGAGGGGAATGGCTGTGGGGAGAGGTGGAGCGGCTTGGGAGCAATGGCTGGTGGGATGCCGCTGCTGCTCAGGCGGTTTTCTCAACCTGCCTAATGATGGGACCAGTGCTAACAGGACTCATGGGACTCTGCCTCTAAGAATACGAATGGAGGCATGTCTAAATAGAAAAAGAAGACCTATAACTTCCAGCATTCCTAAGCCAGCATGGGAGTTGTAGGCCTTTTCCTGGCTAAATGTATATAGGATTGCACCTTTAATTAAGCATATTAGGCCACAAGTGCTTAGATCCTGGGTGTTCGGCATCAATTTCCCACCACTATCACCACCATATATGCGTTGGCTCCTTCAACATGACATTTCTGGCTAGAGGTCACCTGGAAGCAATCTGTAGCTACTACAGGTGATCAGAAGAAATGGTCTGCTTACAAGCACATTTCTCACTTATTATACCAGTAAAGTAGAGGTACATTCAGTGAGCTAAAAGCTATAAAGAGGTGAGAGGAGGGTCAGACAGTTACACCAGGCCACGCAACCTTCTACCGGAGTGTAGGATAAATGGCAGGTGAGAGGGAATAAAAATTGTACACTTATTCTGATTCATAACCAATCCTATCTTCAAAGCTGGAAGATGGTTTTAAAATATAATACTAAAACCCCCACAACCCTAGGAATCACCAGATACAAAACAAAACAAAACACCTTGCATATGAATGGACCCTGAAAATGTGGCTGAGGGGAGAGATGTATAGGGCTGAGAAAAATGAACTGAAGGCAGGACGGTGGGTGTTCTGGTCCCTCTTGGGTTAATCTCGGTACATTTTGGATGCAGCTGTTTCCTGTATGCTTGTGTCATTACCAGAAAGACTATAATTACCCACCCAGCATGCTACATAATTACAGTTAAGAAGCAAGCCAGGGGGTGGATGGGCATACAGGGACTGTCGGGACCTGCATCAGAGAGACGGGCCAATCCAGGATGAGCGAGAGGGATGGGATGGATGGGGACAGGGCAGGTCTCTCTGGTGCACTGTTACTTTCACACTCTCTCGATCCCTCTCTATGCAAATCCCTTCCCAATCCCCAGCCAGCTGCCATAAGAAGCTTAGACATCTTTCCCTGGCTGCTGCTGTTTCCCTCGGTGCATCTTTGCACTCTTCCCTCATTTCCTTCCCCGCGCTCCCTCCCCATCTCCTGCTTGCACATATTCCCTGCATGGCGCCCACAGGACTGTTCCACCTGGTTTCTGCCCAGGCCTGTCGAGGGCACAGCCATGCAGTGATGCTCAGCCGGTGGGGAAGGCCCGTCTGAGGTGACCCTGCGCCTCCTGGGTGCCTTCTGCTGGGGAGGCTGGCGGCTTCTGCACCAGTGGGGGCCCTGATCCATTGCAGCTTTCAGATCTGGGCTGTAGGACTCCCATGCTCCTGCTGCAGGTTAGATTCACTCCAATGGATACTCCTACAAAGCTCAGAATAAACACTGCAATGGACAGGGTACCCCATTGACACACGAGGCACCGGCATCCCTTGCTCCCTATTCCTGATCCTCCGAACAGCTGGCGGCAGAGGCTCGTGGAGAGACGCAGGGGGGCCTGCAAAGAATGTGCAGGACGCTGGCTCTCCCAGGCCCCTTCTGTGGCTGTGCTGCACTTCAGCACAGCAGGCTGAGGCTCAGCTCAGGCGGCAGCCGTGTCCCCATCCCCTCGCTTTCCTTGGGCGAGGAAGAACCCCGGCTGCTGGGTTGCATCAGGGGCCCTGCCAGGGCATTGCATTTACCATTGCTTGTGTGGAGACTGAATTCAGGAAAGCAGGAGTTGGCAGAAAGCAGATCTCCAGATGTTTTGGACATCAGTTCCCTCAAATCTGTATCAGCCTGGGCAATCATCACTGCTGGGAGCTGAAGTTGCAAATATCTGGAAAGCTACTTTCCACCCACCGTTGCAGTAAAGGTTCAACAGGCCGAGCATCCGATCCTGCATTTCCAATTTAGTGCGCAAGCATTGCATGAAGAATGGGGGAAACGATCAAGGCTGATACAAGACCATGTTGGAGCCTTCCTGATCTAACATGGGGTACATGTACAGGCATGTCCATGTCATGATACAGCATTCCCAAGGAGACCAGTGAATTGTAGACCTATGAAGGGCTAGAACACGTTAAGAGAAATTCTAGCACCTGACCAGACTTCACTTCCCAGGATTCTTTAGGTGTGGCCATGACAGCTGAATGGGCCTTGAGCCAATATATAGTTGAAGTGTTGGCAGGGCCCAAGTTTATTACAGCTGAGGTCACTTCAAAGGAAGAACCAGGAAACTCCCAAATTTTGTTGTTGTTAGTTACGAAGTCGTGTCCGACCCATCGCGACCCCATGGACAACATTCCTCCAGGCCTTCCCGTCCTCCACCATCCCCCGGAGTCCACTCAAGCTCACACCAACTGCTTCAGTGACTCCATCTAGCCACCTCATCCTCTGCCGTCCCCTTCTTCTTTTGCCATCTATTGTTCCCAGCATTAGGCTCTTCTCCAGGGAGTCCTTCCTTCTCATTAGGTGGCCAAAGTATTTGAGTTTCATCTTCAGGATCTGGCCTTCTAAAGAGCAGTCAGGGTTGATCTCCTCTAGGACTGACCAGTTTGATTGCCTTGTTGTCCAAGGGACTCACAGGAGTCTCCACCAGCACCATAATTCAAAGTCCTCAATCCTTCGGGGCTCAGCCTCCAGCTTTCACAGCCGTACACTGCAACTGGGAAAATCATAGCCTTGACTATACACACTTTTGTTGGCAGGGTGATGTCTCCGCTTTTTAGTGTGCTATCTAGATTTGCCATAGCTTTCCTCCTCAGGAGCAAGCATCTTTTAATTTCTTGGCTGCAGTCCCCATCTGCGGTGATCTTGGAGCCCAGGAAAATAAAATCTGTCACTACCTCCATTTCTTCCCAAATATGGATGGACAAATACAAACTATGAGTGCTTTCTGATGAGGCTTCCCATGTGCATGGAATTTCACAGGGGGGCCAGATAGTCATTCTGGACTTCCATTTACTGTCTTCCATTTGTAGCCCTTCTGTGTTTTTCTACAATGTCTTCCTATTTTCCTACCATTAAAAAAAATCCATTCGAAAGGGAAAGATGGAGTAACTGCATACTATCTTTTGATTAAAAGAATGCTGTCTGGAAGCCTCTTTTGGCTTCTTTATGCATCAGTCTATGATTGACTGAAATGTATATTTATGTCTTTGTTTAAATACCTATTTATAAACAGTTTCTCCCCAAATGCACACTTCTAAACATTTATTAACAAAATATGCATGTTTTAAAGTACTATGATACTTTTTTGTTGGGGATGCTGAGAATCACATTGCAAAATTTGGTCAAAATTTGGCCGATAGTTTCCTTCCAATCTGCAGGGGAGACACTTGTAATTGAGTTTGATTTGTTCTAACAACTTAATTGCCTTGCATGGTTTTCCAATGCCTCGGCAAGCAGTTGGAAGAGGCCATGAAGAAAACGGTTGCCAATCCCAACAACTTCTCCTTCCCACCTCCGTCTAATGAATCATTGGCTTGATAGCAATTACACTGATCAGTTGGACAAACGACGGACTTTTCTGGCCCTGGACCTGCAATCACTCTGGCATGAGCTTCGGGTTTGTTTTGAGGGCACGCTCATATTAAATTGTAACAGTCCCAATTCACGGTCCGTAATGGTATTGTCCCAAAATTGCCGACCCCCAGGGAGGCCTCGTTCTTCTCACATACTTCGAGGAAGCTGGTCCAGCATAAACAGGCCATTATGGCACCGAAACAGGGCTGTGTTGAGTTTCAGACTTCTTGTCCCTGTTGCCCACAAACACTCTTATTAAGGAAGAGGGGCAAAAGGGCTGTGAAACCCACATGCTGATCTGGCTCTTTCTTCCTTTCTCTCTTCCCCGAAACACAGTGCTGGGATTGGCATCGGTTTCTATGGAAACAGTGAGACCAACGATGGTGTGTACCAGGTCACATATTCGCTACTGAACGCCAATCACACGCTAAGCTCCATCGATACTCTGGTGAGTGGGGGAAACACGGCTTGATTATATGGCCAATTCTCCTGAGATAATAGCCCCGAACACTTCAACCTCTGCTCTGCTGGCACGTTCCAAACACTGTGAAACCGAGGTTATGAAATTAATTGTCAACAGCCCTTGGCAAGTTTAGTGGCTCTTGACTCGTGTGTCTTTCTTCCAGGGATGCCTGCTCAGCATGAGTCCAGCATGCATTTAGCATATGTTGCGAGTCTGTCTATCATGATGCCACAGAGCTAGCGAGGCTGTTCTTGTTCCAGGGTGGAGGGCTGGGTGCCGCTAGTGGCGGCGTGACTGAGGCACGAGTGAATGCGGCAGAATCAGCCATCAGTGTGGTGGAACCTAGTGTGTTGCTGTATGTCATAGTCGGGAACAGTGGCAGGCCAAGGCTTCAGCAGGTCTCCCCAGCCAGCTGGAGTGCAGCATCATGGCTGTGCTATGTGGCTAGTAGGGTTTTGTATGAGGCGCTTAGAAAGTGTCTGTTTTTTTTTTTTCCTTTGGTGAGTTCATCAGCTGGGTGCCTATATCATCAGCAGGGGTGCAGAACCTCTTTCAGTCAAGGGCCAGATCCAATTTCAGATAAGCATTTGTAGGTAGGACATTATATGGTTTATATACTTGAAAAATGGAGCTTTATCTTTGACGGCTGTCAAAAGCAACTGTTTCTGTAAATGGGGTGCCTTGCACTTTGCATGTTTGCAAACTGACAGACTCTCAGGAACAATTGCAAAAGTGAGTCCCCACTACAACCCCTCCAAGGATCTTGCTAGGCAGGAGATGAACAACCACTCATCCCTTTTTTGTGAGCTATGATCACTCATGTCTTTGGTTACATTTGGTATCTTGCCTTTTGACAGCTGGAAGATGTTACTAAAGGGGAGAATAAAATTACCCGCAGACTGTGAAGGCAATGCTCAAAATTACTTGTGGGATTTTACCAGCAAGCCTTTCCCCTTCATACTGCCCTCTCAGGACCCTGGTTTCCTGCACTCATGTGATTGTACAGATGCATGTTTAAAAATTGCAAATATTTGCAAAGGTTGAGGGGAAAATTTAAGGGGGGAAAAGTCTTGGCGATCACAAGTAGCCCCTCCAAGATGCCACTAGGGAATTCTGAAGAAACAAAGCAGAGATGAGATCATGAAATGAAGGCCAAGGGGTTAAAAAGGAGGAGGACACCATAGCAAGCCAAAAATGGCAGGGTCAGGGGGAGCCAGTGCCAGCTGCCCCTAAATGCTGCTTGGGCACTTTGGGGGCATCTGGCAGTCGCGGTTGGCCAGGAGCCCCTTGACAAGAACATCACGAGGTTTTGTCACTCTTTCCAAGTAGCTGATCGGTAGTACCCACAATGGGGTCAGTTGCCCACGTTTGGATGACACAAAAGCACATCAGAGGCACCAGCACTCCTAGAACCACTTATGCGTTGTCAGGCTGGCTTGTGGCCCTCAGACAAGCCATTCTGCAGGGAGTGGTTTGGGTTTGCATGTCACAATAACCCACTGTGGGTAGCAACCCACAATGGGCTGTCGTGTCATGCAAGCCCAGTCATATCTAAGCTAAACATAAGCTTTCTTCAGATGCATTTTCAACATTTTTCACAGCTTTTGCCCTGCTAGCTTGCCTGCTGTGTAAATCACAGCATGGCTGCCACCTGTGGAATTCCTGCACATTGCAAAGGATTGTGGGGATTGTTTTGTAGCACACTGTCACGTCATACAGAACAGTGGAAGGCCCACTGAGCTTCATAACTGAAGTGGGAACCACTGTAGTAAATTCCCAGGAAGCTGTACAGCATGGAGACGATTTGCAGTTACCCTGTAATGGAGCTTTGGCTGCCATGACTAGTTGTTGTAGCTTCTTTTAAACTACTTATAACCTGCTTTTTTTTGCTACCAAAATGCACTCAGAAAGGATTCAGAAGTGAAACAAAGAAAACAATGAATTTCAATAGAAGCAATCATAAAAATAAAGCCAAAACTGCACTTAGAACAACACAGCAACTCCCCTGGTATCTGCAGCAAGAAAAGGGTACCCCACTACCTGACCCAGGAAAGTCCTTGGAAAGGAGATTGTCTTAACATCATGCCAGGAGGCAAGGACTGAAGGAGCCAGATCAAGGATAACAGGAAAGAATTCTGGAACCTACGAGCCAAGGGCAAAAAGCTCATGTCCTGCGTAAGCCCCATCTATCTCCCGCATCTCTCATGGTGGAAGATCTCAGAAAGGCCTCTCATAGGAGGGAGTCACAAAGCTTGAGCTTTGTGACCAAAAAGACCCTGCCCTGCATGCTTTCTCAGCTTTGCAATGGAAGGAACGGAGGAAGATACAGAGCAGGACCTCAGCTGAGAACTGCTCTCCTTGCTGGCGAACCCCCAGATTTCCTGCACAATATCTTGGGCATGTGCTCAGGTTGTAATAAAGAGCAGTTGCTGTCTGGCCAGAGGGTGTTTTGGATGCAGTAGTGCTGAGCTGGTGGAAAGATGGGACATTCCATCATAATTACTTCTAGCTGTTATGGTTAGAAACAAGGTTGTAAGCCATATCATTCTGGAAAGAAGCTTGAAAACGTGGGCAACACCTACTGAAATTTTGGAAGTCAGCAGGAAGCGGGGCAGGATGAGCACAGTTTCTGGATAATTCCTCCAGAACATAAGAAAAACACTGCTGCATTAGTCGCGGCATTCTTAGTTTCTAGTCTACTGCTCTCGGTTTTAGAAGAGAGCTGTAGCGCAGGCAGACACACCTCCTTGTTCCCAGCTAAGTGAAGGGATCAACTCTCTGGACATGAGCAGGTATTTCTGGATCTTGGGGCTAAGCACCTTTGGTTCACTTCCTCCTGGGCTAAGAAAAGTTAAAGAGTACTTATGCAAAAGATGCAAGTCTCAGCAATAATGCTTAGTTTGCATTAATCACAGTCACAGAGTCTAGATTCCAGCAGCCCAGAGAAGGTACTGAGGCACTGGCAAGATGGACAGAAATCTAACAGAAGTGGTCCTGGGGGGCAGTCTGTAGGTGACAGGACAGGCTGTTCTTGCCGCACAGCTTGGCCAGCAGCTACTCCGCGGAAAGCGCACGAGGCCTGTGGCGTGTGCAGGGGGTGCCCAAATCTGCACTGAAGCACATGCATGCCACACAGCCCTCGTCCTCCTGCTCGCGTGTGCCACATCACGACTCCCCTCTCGCTCCTGATTCAGGTCTCCGAGACAGTGGAGCTTCTTTCAGCCACAGTACGGGGCGAGCTCACGCAGCTTGAGGAGACGCTATCCCCCCGGACCGAGCTGGTGGCCGTGGTCCGGAACACGCGCCGCCAGGCCGAAGCAGTAGCCCAGACCCTGGATGGCATTCCTTTCTGGGGGGAGTCACGTGGCGGGCCCAGCCTCCTAGCAGAACAAGTTGGCGACCTGGAAGACTACAGGTGAGAGAAGGGGTGGGGCAAAGGATACCAGAAGGATGCTGGCTCGCAGGAACTACACAAGGGAGGGGAGGGGACGGGAAGGTGTTACTCCTAGGAAGGTCCGCAGATGAGCAGGAGTGAAGACTTGAAGAAAGGAAGGCAGGCGAAAGGGTACCAGCAGTGTGTTCTTGTTGCACAAAAGTGGAGGAGGAGGATGGAAAGAGGCCCAGGGGATGGCGGAGGAAGAAGAGGTCTCCCTGTGCCACTCACCCCTTTGCTCTCTGGCTCCCCCAGGTGGCTGGCCTACATTCTGCTGCTTCTCCTGGACCTCGTCATCTGTCTCTTCACCCTGCTAGGACTAGCGAAGCAGATCAAGTGGCTGGTAATCGTGTGAGTGCACCATCTGGTGGGCACTGAGGCACTGCAGTCTCCGACGCCGCAATTGGGGAGGGGGGAAGAGGGTGGGGCAAGGGGGTGCGAGGCAGTCATTAGCTCCAAATCCATCAGGTGGAGATTTAATTCGCTTTTGTTTTAGGCAGAGCAGTTTTAATTTCAAAGGAATGTTTGTCCATCTGGAACGATCAGTTCAGCAGAATCTGTCATCAGTATTGGCAGGCCCAGGTGGTACGGCCCTTCTTTTCTGGGGAGGAGGCATAAGTTTAATCTGAGGACATAAGAAGAGCCATGTTGGACCAAACACAAGACCATCCAGTCCACCATCCTGTTCATGCATTGGCCAGCCAACTGCCCGGAAGATCTCACAAGCAGGGCCTGAATGAAGCAGCACTCACCCACCCATTTTCCACAGCAACTGTTGCACACAGGCGTGCAGCCTCTGATACCGAAGATGACATGTAGCCATCAGGCCTAGTGGCCACTGAGAGCCTCCACCTCCAATACTTTGTTCAGCCCCTTGGAAAAGCCATCCACATTGGTGGCCATCACTATATCTCGTGGAAGTGAATTCCCTAAAACAGTTAGGTGCTGTGAGCAGAAGGCCTTCCTTCTTTCAGTCCTGAACCTTCCACCTGCCCCCTTCATGGGATAAACCTGGATCCTAGTATCATGAGGGATGAAGGAAGTCTGCCTGTCCACTCTCTTCATGCCAGGCATCATCTCTGCCCTCCACAGAGCTGCTTAAGACAAAGGGCCCTGGCAAGATGATGCGAAGGGCTCCCGAGAGCTGAGGTTCTCCTTGCACACCTGAGTGTCTTTCTCTCTCTCTTTCCCACTCACAGAATGACTGTGATGAGCTTCTTTGTTCTCATCCTGAGCTGGGGGTCCATGGGGCTGGAGACCGCAGGAGCTGTGGTGAGTCAGTGGCTGCAGGGAGTGGAGGTGATGGTGGGGGAACAGGGCAGACCAAAACTTGGCCAATGGAGCCCCAGGCTGAATTTGGGAGAAGGGGAGGGGGCCAAGCTGGGAAGCTGTCCCGAACTGCCCTGGCCACGGAAGCAGACTGTTCCGTGAAGCGAGGGAGAAAAAAAACAGGGGAAACCTGCCCCTGCAATGGTCTGCCCATTGGTGAACTAATTCTCTACAGTGGGGCTTTCTGAAGAGGAGAGAACCAGAGTAGAAGGCTGGACTTGGGCCCTCGAACCAGCGATCTTGCAAAATCTCTTAAATACGGTGCTTTTCGGATCCTGCCCTGGAGAATTCTGGGAGCACCTTGAAAGAGACGAGATGGCAACCAAGCTTCCCTGAACACTCCACTGATCTCCCCCTGCCCCCCGCGCCCCTTGTTTCATGGCAACTTGGTGTTATCACTTAGGGCTTCTTTATGTGCAGCATTTCCTGGGCACACGCGATTCCTCTTTCATGGTAGTTTGTGGGTGCTTTATGTAATGTGATCGTGCTCCATGGCCTCTCCCCTGCTTCCCAAATATTTCCATGGCTTAAGATCAAGGAATGTGCAGTATTATCTAGCAGTGGTGGAATGAACCAGAATGACAATCTCATGTTTCACCACCACACAGCTCTACCTTATGGTTCTGTACTGGAACATATAGAAAAGCAGCAAAAGAACGGACTTCAAGGGGGAAAATGCGTGTAATGGAGCTAACCTTCATTCTGCAAAGAATCTGGAAGCAGAGGCCTCTGTGCAGAGGCCCGATTAGAGAAGCTCGGTGTTGCAGCCTCTTGCTTGAGCCCTCGGGTGGTTTGCCCACGGCTGCTCTGCCCTCTTAGCAACTCCAGGACCAGTGCCAGGCGCAACTTTTTGGGGACGCCTGGGCAAGATGCCCTCTTCAGGCCCCCTCCCTCCTCATCACTTGCATTGTCACCAGCAGCCACTGTTCTTCATCTTCTCTTTCATTAATGCTGCCACTTCTGGGCTGGACAAGAAGAGAGCCGGGGATAAACAGGCCACGGCAGCTTCTCCTCCATTTCACCACTTCCACTGCTATCTAGGCCAGAGTGAAAAGTGGGTGAACTATCAGGTTGCGATAGCAAAGAGAAGGAGCGATCCCTGGGGACTCTTGCCAACGGGCCGCCACCTGGACGTGGGCCTGTGACCGGTGCCCCGCCATGCCCACTCTTTACACCAGCCCTACCCAAAGCTTCAAAACCACCTTAATGCCCTGGGAGCCAAGGCCAGGGGGAGCCAGATGCTGCGCTGTCTCACATGTGTCCTGTTGCTAGAACTCGCAAAGATACTGCTTGGTTCAGAGAACACACCAAGACATGGAGGGTTTATAATAAAATAAACAATCAAGAAAACAAAACTTTAAGGTTTCCTGGACCTTTACAGACAGATCTTCTAAAGGGCCCTGTTTGAACTCCCAACACTCTCCACGCCTTGCAGATCTGAGCAGCTGCACCCCACCAGTTTTGCTTTGAGGCCTCTGCTGTGACATCCACCCCTGCCCAAGCCCCGTGTCTCCCGTCTCCTGGAGTTGCACGTTTGCACAGATGCCAATACTGAATGTAACAGAAACGGCATTTCTTTCTGCCCACCTTCTACCACCCCTTCCCCCTCTTCAGGGACTGAGTGATTTCTGCTTTGAACCAGATGGCTATGTGATGAACACAACTCAAGCCAGGACTGGACTCAGCCCAGGTAGGATCAGAGGCGGGGGTTGCGGCAGCAGGTTGTAAGACATTCCCATGTTAAGAGAAACCTTAATTTAAGAAATATTTTTTCCTAGTTGTGATAGGATTATGTGGGAAAACATGCTATGAATTTATACTTGTACCAGGCTGTCTTCCATCACCCTTTGGATGTCTTATTCCACTGCAATGCACCAACTGAATGCAGTGAGCCACTGACTGAATGATCCTTTTTACATACTATGTAAAAGGGTGTGTCTTCCTGTAGTTGTTCAGTTGCTGCCCACTATAATGTTGCTTCCATCACCCAGTAAATGGCAAAGCCCTTTTTTTGACAGCAGCCATTTTCAATTTCCCAAAAATAGAAAGCTCCTCAAAACAGGACTTTGTGCAGAAACCAAAATGGCAGCCAGTCCAGTTTTCTTCCTCCCAAGCCTTCCCGAATTCCGAAATACAGCTGGAGCAAAAAGGCTGCTTTCAGAATGGGTAAAGCAGTTGGGGAATGGCCCTGATCGATTTTGTGCAGGCTTGCCTTTTGGGCACTTAGTGGGTAGGTGAGGCAGTGTTTGTCTGCAACAGTGGAGGAAAGCACCGATTTTCCCCACCTGGTCCTGAAAAAACTACCCTCTTCAAAGGATGCATTTAGCATCTTGTCTAGTTCGACCTTCCGTAGTTGGATAACGTGTTGCTACTGAATTTCTGGCTTGCCATGTAGCTTTCAAAAACACAGAGGTTTTGTTCAGGGGGGTTGGGAAATATGGGGGCCATCAATTGTCCCAGCATATAACAACCTAGGACATTTCAACGAGCATCTTTAGCAGAGGGAACTCCACATTATTCTGTGTCAAAAAGATGCTTCACTAAAATGCTTTAAATGAAGTAGAAAGGGGGTACTTAATCAGGCCCCATTTGGCAACTGCTCAAGCAGTCTGCCTGTTTGTCCTTCGTTAGTGCGGCCCCCCACCCCACCCCACCCCACCGCACCCCACCTTGTGACCATGTAAATCTCCAAGTAGAAAAACAAACCCAGGACCTGGGAAGAGTGAGAGAAGGCAAGCCTAGGTGGGCACAGTGATCTGACTCCTTTTTCTCTACTTCAAACATGCAGAAATCCTGCAATACTACTTAACCTGTAGCCAAGACATCTTCAACCCTTTCCAGCAGGTAAGTATCTCCACTTTTTCCTTTAAAAGTGTGTTCTATGAGGATTCGATGCCAACATGTTCCAAATTATCCACTATGCTATTTGCATAAAGGACAGAGATTAAGCAAATTTTCATTTAGATAATTACTGTGCACCCCTTTATTTTACTTTTATTTGATCATGAACGGCAAAGAACTCTGTGGGGGATCTTGAAACTCTATCTGCTGGCTACAGCTCAGTCCCTCCATAAAGCTTCACACATCGAATTCAAGTCCTAAGCATTTCCAGCCCACTCTTACAGTAGTAGGGACAAGAAACATGCCTTTTCTGTTTTAAATGAAGGCCGGTCTTATTAATATTCTGAATTCTTTTCTCATGAGCAGTGTTTGCTCTTGGCAAAATCATGCCCTAGCAGAATAAATGCAACACTCTCCATAGGTCCTTTTAATTAACTGAACTGTATATCCAGCGATCTGATAAGAGGCCTGGAGCACCCTGGCCCCCAAAAAAATCTGATTTAAAGCTGGGGTTTGGTTTTGTTATTTTAATGTAGTGATTTGGAGATGACTGAGACTTAAATCTCCCCAGTTGTGTGTGCAAAGAATAGAATGGGGCCCCCAAGTTCTGACCTGTGCAGCAATTAGGTGTAGAGAACTTTGGGGTTCCCCCTGCTCTGGTCTGTAGATGTTCTAACCTCAAATGCTTTGTTTTTCTTTTATTGTGCTTCCTCCCTGTTGCTACAGAGGCTCACTTTGTGTCAAAGGGCACTGTCCAACATTCACTCTCAGCTGTATGGGCTGGAAAGAGAGGCTGTTCCTCATTTCCCAGCATCTGAGGTCAGTAAGAAAGGGCCTGCACTGGACTGGCAAGGGAGCTAGTGGTGGGTTAGGCAGGAGGAGGAAAGGGGAGTGGAAGGGCTGCAAGAAGGGACATGGAGGGTCTCTGCCTTCACACCCCTTTTGCATTGCAGAAGAGCATCTTATCCATCCAGAGCACTTTGAACACCACTGAAAGCAACTTCCATCACCTGGTTGCTCTGTTAAACTGTCGGGGACTTCACAAGGTACCTGCCATATGCTTGCATGGGATTAAACTGGTGATCCATGGACAATCTCCAGTGCTCATTCCACCAAATCTTTCTCTGCCTTCCTGTTTACTCAGATATTCCTGATACTATTCAGAATCTCATACTTTGCCATGTTTCCTTGTGATATGATCCATGCACGGTTATGTGTTGATGTTATCATTTGTTATCAGTATTATTATTAGTTGTCAGTATTATGTTAAAAGCCTAAAAATTTAGGTAGTGTACAAAGATTAAGAAAACAGGACTAATCCTCTGTTTGCAATTCAGTAGAAATAGCATAAAAGGAAAAAGGCATGAGGAGGGCAGAGGAAATCAAGAAGACTGAAATATCAGTTTGTGCTGATATTAGAAAAGTTAGAAAATATTATATAATTGATCCATCTAATGAGCAGCTGGAATGGCTGTCGCGGAGACACTTCTGAGAATTAAGAAGCCAAATGACAGTTGGCCCTAGCCTGGCTAGCAGAGGGGGCTTTGCTGTCTCCTGTCTTCTCTCTGCATGTCCATTCTGTCTGGGGATCATGAGAGTTTTCCTCCATGGTATTCACAGTGTTGTGAGGTCGGCATGCTGTTTCTTTCCGTTCATGAAGTCAGATCTTCTAGGGATTTATTTGTTCTTGGAGGAGTGTGTTTCCTTGTGAGATGATTATAGGGAAATGGCTTCATACAGACGGGGTAATCTCCACCAGACATGCACAGAAACTATACAGTGTAGTGGTTGGACTACTGGATTTATAACTGAGCAAAGCAACTGTCTACTGCCTAAACTACTCCGCAAGGTGATTTTGAAGAGAAAGCAGGCAGCCCCCGAGTCATTAGGGAAGGGCAGGATAAAAATAAAACTTGGATAGATAGAAAATGCAGTCTTCAATTCAACACAACTTATAAGCAAAGGAGCAAGAAGAGGAAAAGAAGCAGACTGAGTGTGGCCAAGTCAGCTCTGAAATCTGGCATTCCTATGAAACTTCCTATCCTTGGCAACCCTGCTCAGCTTTTGTAAAATGCAAGGCTGCAGATTCTGTTGTGGAACTGATCCATCCCACCATTCATCCTCCTCCTCTTCTTCTGCCTTTCACTCTCCTGAGGGATGACAGCTTCAGTTGCATCATTTTCATTTCCAGGGAAATTTCTGGTTTGCTTTGATCTAGGACCCTCTTGTTCCTCTTTCTCTTGGTCCAGGGTATTTGCAAAGCTTTCTTCCTGCCAGCTTTCTTCACTGTCCAGCTTCCACACCCGTACATAGTAATCAGGAAGACAATAGTGTGGATGATCTTGGCCTTGAGCTCTTATTACAGTAAGGATTAATTGTTACTATACACTGTTCACAAGACATACAATGACACCAGCAAATTGTGGCCGTCTTTTCCATTGTATGATATATTGAAAGAGAAATTCCAAATTTGTCCACGATAAAATATCAGCTGAGTATCATTTTCAACTGCCAAAATTAAACTTCATTCAAAGGACCAATGCATTTCAGCCAAAATCTTCTTTAGCAGCTGTTTGCAACATCAAATTCAATATATTGTCTTCCACAGTAGTCAGAATAAAATTTAGCTGCTTAATAGCCCAGTACAAATTTGATGTTTTCTCAATGGGAGTTAATAGGAGATTGTCGCCTGAGAGCTGGAAATCTCTGTGTTTTTGCAAGCTTGGAGAAGACATCTCTCCTAAGAAGAAGAGAGAGGAAAACAGGAATAGCTTGTTTGAGTAGGTACACACATCATGCTAAACTTGTACTCAAAGAGTGGTGTGCAAGACAGTAACACTAGGGAAGATTCAAGGCAGAAGGAGGGGAGGACCAAATCTGAGATGGATTGAGTCCATAAAGGAAGTCACAGCCTTGAGTATACAGGACATTCCGAGAGGCACTCATCCATTGGTAATGGTGTTACGGTTAGGGCCTTCAGCTGAGGGTGACCCTATGAAAGAAACTCTCCAAAATGCCCTATCCATGACATGTAAATTCAAGGCTGTGGCGTCCTCTGTGGAGCCAATCCATCTCAGATTTCCTTTTCCTTTTCAATCTTCTGTGCTTTACAAGCATTTCCATGGCTTTTTTTAAGAGCAAGGAAAGTGTGGTATTATCTGGAAATAGTGGAATGAACAACACTGAAAAGAGGCTTATATACTTTCACAGTTCTGCTACATCACAGTGCCATCTTGTAATTGTGTAAGGGAACATCTAGAAAGACAGAGGGGAAAAAAGAGGGAAAGCCCATGTGTAAAGAAGCCACAAAGAATCTGGAAGCAGAAGCCTCAGGAAAGCAGCAGGTTAAAAGCCTCCCATGAAGAAGCCTTTTTCTCTCCACGGATGCCTTGACCTGTATATAAGAAAGACACTCTGCATCATCAGTGTTCCCACAACCAAAAGGACAAAATGTGGGCAGCTCTGCTTGAGACATGTGTTATCTTCTTATTTAAAAACATGCATGCCCTGCCTTTCTACATGAAAGCCCTCAAGGAGGGTCACATACACAACTGAAACAACTCAGCATTACACAACCATTTGAGAGAGAGAGAAGTATTACACAACAATATTGCACAACAGCAACAAAAGAAACAGCAAGTGGTCACATAACGCAGTCCATTAAAAAAAATACCAATAACAAGGACTCACTGTCATGCAGAACTGTTAAAGATTTGAGTGATTAAAGTGTATTTTGCCTGGCAGTGCAGTGAGCAGCCATGAGGGTAGGAAAAAATCTCCCTTGGCTGACTGATCAGACAGACAGATAGGAAATGTAGTTCATAACTTTTTCATTTCTAACCATATTATTCCTTGGCTCCAAATGAGTTTTTCTTCCTCTTAATCCTTGTGATGGAGAGCGCAAATTTGAGGAAAGGAAGAGGCTGGGCAGGAAGAATTAAACCTCCCTTACTCGTGTGTGTCCATCCCAAACTCATAGCAATGCGCCTTCCCTGAAGATTTTTTTTAAATCTGCATGCTCTGTATTTAGGCAGCGATGTGATACAGACTTACTTGGGAGTAAGTCCCCTTGAACTCAGTTGAGTTTGCTATTGAGCCGCACGGTATGAGACTGCAATACATGCGGTCTGCTCTGCTGAGGGCCAGCCCAAGACATTTAGCTGCCTAGGTAAGTAACAGGATAGTCCGTGTACAAAAGCCGAAGGGACTGGCTGAGGAATTTGTCTTCAAGGGACAACGCACTCAGAGGCAGTGGTGTAATTCAGGGGGTGCGGAGTAAGCACAGCACACACGCACCTCTCTTGGAACATCTCAGTGCCGCCTCTCAGCATCTGTCCCCTGAGGCGTGGTTTCACTCTGCCTAATCATTAGGTAGGGCCGGCCCTGGCTCAGCTGCTCTACAGATACTGAACTCTGGAGTTACCAGAAGAAGGGCATTCTCTCAAAACCACCGTGCCTTGTTGCAATCCATCAGTTGCACTGCTGACTCCAACTGACCAAATGTTTTACATGAGTTTTTCTCTCTCCAAGGACTATGTGGATGCCCTGAAAGGGCTGTGCTACGATGGCATGGAAGGGCTGCTCTTCCTACTTCTCTTCTCCTTCCTCTCCGCCCTTTCCTTCACCACAGCTGTCTGCAGTTTGCCCCGTGCCTGGAAGAGATTCCAGAACAGGTGCGTGCCAAGACAAAAAAGTACTTTACATTTGCAATTCTAACAGAAACTGGGAGAACCAAAGTATATGAGCTTCAGCTTGTGTACAATTTTGGAAATGTTTCGTTAGTCCTCACAAAAAAACCTACCAGCCTGTCTACACGTCCTCTGTGTCAATTGTGTGTCATTTATAGAACCACTCATTCATAAAGCTCTGGTTTACAAAGCCACTTTATAATAACTCAGCCATTGATCTGTCCAGCCCAGACTGCCTCCTCCCGCTGTTTGTGCCATAGAGATGAGCCTTCTCAGACCAGACCTACCACTGAAATTTCTTACCCCTGCAGGCGATGTGGGAACTCCAGCTTCACAGGCCGTGCGCCACTGAGCCTCCATGGCTGGGGCCAGGCAGGCCATCACTTTCATTCTCTAGTTCTGGGCTGCTCGACTGAGAGGCAGAAGGCTTCAGCCTGTTGGTCTGATCCAGCAAGGGAATGAATCTGGTCTTCCACATACAAATCATGCTCTTCCATGTTGAGCTGTGCTTACCCAGAGGCGATACATATTGAGTGAAATATTCATTTGGAGAATATTTACCACTCTGATTTGGTATTAATTCATTGTTATGGGATTTCACGTGTAAGCAAAGAGCTTTTCTATAGGAGGCTGTTAAGTGCTGGTTTCATCTCAGATTTCAGATCCCTACTTTGCACAAAAAGCTTATCTTTTCCTGTTTTTCTGCTGCACGAGCTCTTGGTGAATCTGTAGTATAGCAGAATAGCTAAAATACACAAGGAGGTGCAGCATGGTCAGAAATAATACAGTTTTCAAGGCTCTAAACAAGGACAAACCCCTAGGAAAGTGCTCTGAAACAGTGGAAGTGAAATTGGACTGTGGCAATGTTGCTTCAAGAGCCCATTAACAATCATGGGAGGAGCACACAACAAATGCCTCATTTAGAAAAAGCTGCTCTTTAGAAAGGATTTTAATCATTGAGCTGAAAGAAATTTTAACTGGTGTGTGCTGTTTATTTTTCATGGTGATGTCTTATGGATTAATTTTTACATTCCGATTGTAATTTTTAACTTGTATTGTTGTTTGCCACGTCGAGCATCAAGTGCAGTGGAAATCCTCTGATTTCCCAGGGGTGGAGTTTACATAAGGTTGCTATTTCATGATAAGATCAGCTCAACTGGGCTAGCCTGGCTGTGTCTCCCGTACCCCGCCCCCCAATTGTAGGGCAGGGGTGGACCTGGGCTCCCAATCCAGTCCTTGGAGTTCCTCAAATGGCCCCATCCCTTTTCCCCAAACCACCAATTCTTTGGCGATTTCCAGGATTTTGCGCAGGTTTTTCCCCATTCTAAAAGGTGAAACGCCGCACCGGAGGCTTTCGAGAGGCAGCCCGAGCGCCCTCTGACAGGGATGCTTTAACTTGCAGCCCTGCAGTGAACCGGGAGTTGGACTCGCGGGCCTTATAGGCCCCTTCCAACTCTGCTATTCTTCTATTTTAAGGCTTAATTAATAGCAGTAGGCGCTTTCAGCTAAAATAGGCTGGTACTCTTTTTTGGGGGGGACACTTTTGGCCCCACACTTACTTTGCCCCGTTTGCCCCGCCACCGCTCCCAGAGTTCCTCGCGCGTGCGTTTCGGTGCCACCCCAGCGCTGGCGTTGTCCGGGCGGCTCGCCGCGGGAGGGAGGCAGGGAGGGCGCCGCAGCGCGTAGTGGCAGCGCCATCCCGAGCGCCGAGGGGGGGAGGCTCCGAGAGCTCCCGCGGGTTCCCGCCGCGCTGCGCTGCGCTTTCTCCCCGCCGCGCGTTTCTCCGCACTCTCCCCACTCGCTTCTCTCTCCTTGGCTTCCGTGCAGGGACTCGGACTACGACGACATGGAGGACGACGACCCGTTCACGCCCCAGGCACGTAGGCCGCCGACGGCGCGCGCGGGGGGGGCCGGGCCCACCCTGCCCGGCTCCTATAGCCACTGTTCAAGCTGGGGCAGCCGCGGCAGCCTGCGCCTCTCAGCCCCCCCCATTTCCAACGCCCCCGTCTCACAGTACATGTGAGTAGCCCCGCCCCCCGACCCACCTCCCAGCCCCCTCCCCGCGCGCTCGGTCGCAGCGCCCCCTGCAAGGCGGGAGGGGCTCGGAGCCGCCAGCGATGGCCCCCAGCTGAGCGCGCGAGGGGTGGGGGGAAGGGAGGGCAGCCCCCCAACCTGGTGCCCCCTGCAGCGTTCCCCTCACTTCTCTTCCTTCGCCACTCCTCCACCCGGGCGTTCTCCTGCAGCCTCCCTCTCCTCCTATCCATCTCCCACCCCCCGCCGTTGTTCGTCCGTTGCCTGAGAACTGTCTTATGTGATCCATCGGCCTGTCGCTTCTAGACATCCTCCTCTCGTCTGCTCAACCACCGCCATCGGGCGTCCTTTTCACAGTAGACAAACTACTCCAAGATAATGCGCCAAGAGCTTCATAGTTAGCACAGTCATGAATTCCTGGTACACAGTCCCCTTTGCCTGCTAAGCTCAAGGACAGCTTTCTCCCAAACTCACCTCTGGGCAGAAAGTGGGGTGGTGTGTATACATCCGCAGGGGGCTCACCACTTGCAAGATGTATAGCTGAATCTGCTCTCCGGGCCTAAGGCAACAGGTGTGCGGCATCCATGGAGGGCAGGGCAACCTGTTTGGGCCATCAGCCACTTTGGCAACGTGAGGAGCTGTCTTGGGCACCACCACAGAATGGCTGCTGTGGCAGGTACGCCAAAGGACACGTCACTTGCCCAAAGATTGGGTTCAGGACAGGGATGTGGGCTGAACCCCAGTGCAATATCATCATCATCCTCAGCAGCAGCAGCAGCAGCAAATACCACTTGATAGCAGAAGTCTTCTGAGTGGTTTACAGCAGATAATAGGAGCACAAAAATTGGTATCACAGCACTCTCAGCTGCCAATAAGTAAATAAACTCTGAGGGTAAGAAACTTTGGTGGGCCCCAAGAGAGGTGGCCAGGAATACACTGATGCCTCTGGGCACCAACTGCCAACTCCTGCTGTAGTGAATTTACATGCAGTCTCACCAATCACCACATGCTTTTAGAAAACAGTAGCACCAGCACCTGTTATCTCCAAGCAAATATGTTTGCAGAGAACAGCTTGGTGTGCCCCAAGACAGACATGAATTAAGATTGGATATGCATGTTTAGTCAGGAAAAGGACCTACAACTCCCAGGGCTGAGCTTTATATTGCTGAAGGCTCATCTTAGCCTCTGCACTGCCTGCTTTTCATTGTGTCTGCTCTGCACATGGGTAAAACTGTTGTGTCTCTGTGTTAGGAGTGAACAAACCAATCATCATAAGACCATATGCAAAGGCAGCCTCTCAGAATGACCTGCCTGCAGAAGACATCACTCGCCATATCTCTGGATGGCTTACTGATTTCTTATTTTTGGGGCATCGGGTGCGTCCAGAGGGCATTCCTGTTGCCACCAATGAGAAGGCACTATGCAGCTCTTCTGTCTTTTTCTTCTTAATCAATCTTCCATGATAAGAAAAAAGATGGGAAAAGACAGAAGAGTTGCACGTGGAAGCTGGAGCCCTGTAAAATTCTGTGAATGAGGCAGAGGGAGGGTACAATGCAAGCCTCGTCTGGAACCACCCATCATGTGAAGCATGCCTCCAATTCGAATTCAGAATAAACCCCCTATGCTTCAGCTCTCAGAGGTCTGAAGTGTGGGGGTGCCTTATCCGGACTAAGCAATCTGGAAGAAGGTAAGATAGAATCACAAGCATCCAGTAGCAATTCAAGAATCTGGTCTCGCTTCATGCGACTGAAGAAAGGGGGACTTCTTTTCCTGAACTGGATTGGAAGGAAAAGGAAGAAATGCTTATTTATTTTATATTTTACAATCTAATCCAGAGATGTTGAACCTCAAGCCTGCCTAGCACAGGTCTCTTTTCCCCTTTTCTCAATCAGCAATCACTTGGCAATTTCCAACGTGGCACAGTGTTTTCCCTACTCCAGAAGCTCAAATGCCTCTCTTGAGGCTGAATTATTGGCAGTAAGAGCTTTAAGCTAAAATTCTGGCATTTTTTGATCTTTCCAGAATGTTGCCCCCCCCCAACCTTTTTTGTCTTTCGTCCATCCACCACTGGAATGCGGCTGCCAAGAGATTCTCCTAAATTCAACCTTTGCATGGTCAGCAGCAATGTTTTAATCCTACTTTTCCTCCAAAGTGCTTTGGACAGTATATATGATTCTTCCCTTCCTCCCTTTTATCCTACCCCTGCAAGGTAGGTTAGTCTGTGTAACCATGACAGTCCAAGACCGCCATTAGGCCTCATGGCTAAGTAGTGAACCAGGGACTCCTAGTTTAGTCCAGCACTTTAATCACCACACTGCACATAATTCCTGCTTGCAGGACTCCCCCTGACCTCAGCACAGTATCCTTTAAGCACCCCTTTGCATTTCCTTCTCCATCACCACTGCCATCAACACAACTAAACCAGTTTCTAACAGAGGAGAAAAAAATTAATCCTTTTTACTTCTTCAGTCATCTGTCCCTGTTGTGTGTTACTCACCCATTCCCACCTTGTTCTCAAAACAATTATGTTGTGCTCGCTTCCATTCCTGTCCCTTTTTTCTAAACAGCAATATGGATCCTGGTCTTGGTTGGTCATCAGCCCATCAATCCCAGGATGAGGCTTTCCTGCATCCTGTATTAAAGATGCTTTTCTGGAGATGATGCTATATCCCTTCTGATCCCTTTAATGTAGTCGCAGTTGCTGTTCCTTTTCTCATGCCAAATTTAGAGTTGATTTCTGAGGGTGGTGGTGGGGAGCCCATCAATGGATTCTATTTATCCTGCCTACTCCCACCTTTTCATTTTGATTTTTCTTACTGCCCTGCTGGCACAAGATTCAGACCAGAATGTCTGAATCAAGAAGAGAATTGGACCTGGATTTATCATAGGCATGGCTGATACAGTCACCTGAGCTGTGAATTATGTTTGCATAGTGGAAGAATAGGCATAACCCCCCAACACGCATATACAGTATATACACGAACAAAACTCCAGCACAGGAGTGGATACTTGTATGCAGTGAGATTGCCTTGCTCTTCCCATGCATTTTTGAGCAGGAATAATTGCGCAGAGGCATGAGATGGGATTCTCACATCAGACTTGTGCTTTATTTGCACGGTGAAAGGGGGCATGCATGCACTCCACCATGTGAAAATGATCCACAGGCCAGGGGAGTATCTCGGCCATCCCCTGATGAGCCCAGCCTCTGTTCTCCAGTTCGTGCCCACCTGCCATGCAAGCAGAATTAACTAAAGGCCCCTTCTTTTCTGGAGGGGCTCTCCAGAAACCTGCGAATGATTGGCAGGGCAGAGGCTTCCGCTATCACAGGTGCTGCGTAGGAGCAAATTGGCCTTTCCAGGGCCAGGGTTGTGGTCTGGGAAGGGGAGAGGTGGGACGTTATCAGCTTCTTTGTCGGTGTCACTTGCAGGAGTCAAAGCGCTTCGTACAGTGGCAGTCCTCGATTTGAGAGTGTCCCCCTCATTGACCGGCATTCCCCACCCCCTTCGGTAAGTTGATGGTTGGTGGGCACAGAGTCCCCAGTATATGGGGGCCAAATGTGGCACAACAGCCATACAGCTTGTGGCTGTGTGGCCCCAACTCAGCAGCCAAAAGCAGGCAAGGGGACTTTATTAGAAATATATTAAACCTGATTTTACATTATCCACAATGTATGGCTGATGTGTATGATTGCCAGCTTCTGATTTCAAAAAGCTTGGGTGCTTTGCACCACCTCTTCATCCTCCAACATTTGCCCTGTTCATCCCAAGCTTTTCCACAGCCCTTTTAAAGAATTAGAGCAAGAAAAGTGAGTTCTTATTTAGCTATCATGCTAAATTGTGCTAAAACAAACATGCATAGAGCCAACTTGTGGTTGTATAATGAAACATAGAGGAAGGCAGAGAAAGAATGCCCCCCACACCCTGTGAGCAGGGAGGGAAACGTGTAAAGGAGCCAATCTTAATTCTGCAAAGACTCCAGAAGCAGAATCCTCTGTAAAGTAGCCAGTTAAAAGCCTCCGGAAGAGAAGCCCGAAGTGGAAGGCAGCTGCCATTAGCATATTTCCCCGCTGCCTTCATTTCTCACCTCTCTTGTCTCCCCGGAAGCTGCAAAGGCTGGCTCCGGGGGGGCGGGGGCAGTCCATGCACCCTGCAGTCTGCTAGGTAGTATCATGTGGCATGACGGACTGAGTTCAGGAGCCTGACTCACACTGCGCAGGTGTGAGATGCACGTGTCAAGCCCATACACTGAGCTGAAGTGATGGTTCTGACATACACTCCAAAACAAATCCTGGCTTTTACTCAAAAGGTTTCAGTCACTAATATACAGGTCCACAAATCCAGAGCTTCTTTGCTAGACAGTTGGCAATTTTACCCATGTGCCACATGTGGACTTTGAGTTGAAATATTTTAAATGTTTGCCAGTTTAAATTGCTAGCAAAAGTGCAAGACTGCTTATATAGTGTTTCTTACATACAGAATCAAGAGTGCCTATTGGCCCAGATTTCTTCCTCCTGGCTGTAAATGCAAGGGTGAAAAAATGTGATACCATCTTTGCTGTTGGTGTACATCCAGCCTAACGAGACAGGAATGGGCACTTAGCAACTCTCAAGACGTCTGGGTTTTTGCGAGAGTAATCCTATGGATGGCTGGGACGGGATAGCTGGGATTCCTAACTCCGGAGCTGGAGACAGTGCTCCAACACTGGAGTGGGGAATCAGAGATCCAGCCCCATTCCCTGTTCCCCTCACAGCCAGCACACAGCGAGGCCTCAGAGGAAGGGAAAATGGAGTGTTTCAATGGGTAAGGTGGAGAGACCAGGATGCCAAGCCGTTGCCTGGCTCCTTTTCTTCTCCGCTGAAACACCTTTGCTAGATGGCTCTGCACCAAAAGAGCAAGAACCCCTGGAGGTGCTGCTTTTCCACAATCTGCTTCTTCGCCTACCACTTGCTCTGTCCCAGAAAATGGTGGTGGTGAGACAAAGGGGCAGTGGATGCCGTGGTCTCCTTGCACTCAGCCCATCCAGGAAGAGAGTAGTTAACAGCGATAAGAATGAGGAGGAGGAGGTGCAGCAGCTGCTAACAGTGATGTCAAGAAGGTAAATTCACTGAGGAAAAGGGACCATAGAGGGACCCAGGGACCCTCGAAACCTGGAAGGGATTCTCACCAGGCAGCACTTGTTTATACTGATATGCAAAGCAGGACTTGCATGATGTGGAAATGCAGGAACCATGTTCTTGTCTACAGTTTGCTCACTCCCCATGAGGATCTTCAAATCCTCCTTCACCACTGTAAGAACTTGCCGGTGGACCAAGTGCGCAGAAACAGACTGTTCTCTTCCTGTGGCTTTTGCAATGTTCCTTCTGGAGTTAACTCTTCTGCATATATTGTTCCATAGTATTCCCCCAGCATGCGAGCGTCCTACGTTGGTGCTAGCGAAGAAGTGGACCTCCCCTACCGGACCGGATTCCTGCCCTAGATGCACCCCAGAAGATCCCAACCCACATCCAAGCCATCTGACTAACCCAGAGCAGACCTCCCCACCTCTTATCGGAGCACAAATGAAGTGAGCCCTCTCACCACGTGCCCCCTGCCCCTTCACCTGGATCTCTTCTTCACTCATTTCATTTGCCTGACCTCTGTAAAAAAAGTGAAGGAAGAGGAAAGTGGGGAGGTCACCCCTTATGAAGGGACGTTCACAGAGGCAGGAGCTGAGGAGTGAGAAAAGGCAAAGGAAAGGGATCAAAGAAAAGAATGTAAAAATAAGTGGCATGGTTGACAGATGAGACAAGTAAGGGCTTTCCACATGAAACACTTATTGTGTGCTCTAGTTTCACTTCTGTGTCTAACCAGCACTTTCAGCTACAAGTTTTTGTAGAACTGGGAAAACGTGGCATTTAATTGTGAAAGCAAAAAAAAAAAAAAAGGCTTCTTCTTACACAGTTGTGCTATTCTGCTAGACCACAGCACCACCTAGAGGTTATACAGCAGAAAAGCAGAAAGGGAGAAAGGGAAGCACTCCTTGTGTAGTTCTTGGGTATCACTTCTGTGATGAAAGGGAAAGTAGATGCAGCTTGAGCGGATTAAGAGCTGATTAATAGGCTCTTGTAGAAAAAAGCTCTAAAAGGCAAAAGGGATACCTGAATACATGGGTGAAAGAAGGACTGACAGACACCAGCTGGTGATAGAGAAACAAATACAAATTTAGAGTGAGCGCATGGAGATTTATGTACAATTAAGTGTGTGCAAGAGCTGATAAATGCGTGAAAATATGGAGGGACCGGATGAGTGAAAGAAGGGATAGATGAAAGAGCAAAAGGCTGAGGGAGACAAAGGGTGGCAAGCTAAGCTTGAAACACTGAAACAGCTAAAACCACCCGGCAAGAGACTCACCCCTGCTCCATGCTCTCATACTGGGCATACCAGAAAGGTGAAGCACACCCCTGGGCCCCACAGGGAAGGGGGGAGTCCAGTGGGGGCCTCAAGCTACCCCTGCTCCCCAACAGCCTCCTTGCTCCTCATTAGAGCCCCCCAACACTAACAAATGTTTGGAACTTGCCCAGATTAAAATAAAAGGGAAAATTTATTTTACATGATGTACCTTTCATTTTGTGTGTGAGCATGTGGTCATGAAGGTACTTCTCAGACATGATGGTGCTGGGAGAACTGCATAAGTTCATAAACTTCGGATTGTTTAAATTCTGGCCCACAGTTTTGAAGATTTACCAATGAAATTTTCAGATGGATTTCAAAACTCTGCTTTTTGAAATCCCAGCACTTGGATGCACATCATGGTGGGTTTGAACAATCTGAGTCAACACTCGGAACAGGAATACTAACAAGTGGGGACTGCAATACCGTTGCACCCTATGCCTCCGATTTCCAACCAACTTCTCATGGCTACTGAGCAGGTTTGACCCTCAAGGGACTGCTTTTCTGTGGGGAGGGGTGCGCCCTTAGTTATTTGGGGAGAGGGGAGGGGTTAAGGCCTTCAAACTTCTGCAGTCTTCTAAGATTCTTTCCTGAGCATGGCCACCACCCCTTCTCTGGGTTCTCAGTTGCCCCATTTTATCTCAATTTCTGTTGGTGCTCCCCACCTGTGTCCATGCTTAAAAGGTGGAGACTAATGTAAAATGCACATCCTGAACTAGAAATCAATACCAGTATCACAACTGGATTTTTTTTTTTTTTGGTAATTTAGATACGGGGACAGGATTTCAGAAATAAAGGACTTGAATGTTTCACTTCAAATCCACTGATGAAGGTGGCATCTCATTTCCATGGCTGCTGCACAAACAACCGCTATTCCCCCTCCAAATTAGTCACATACCAGCATTTGGACAGGTATCCATGAATAAAGCCATTTTTCAAAAAATACCTGTTGGGAGATAGCAAACATACTTATGAGTCCTTTGTGTCAGCTGCTCCCCTTTGCCAGATATTCAGCTCAGTTAAATTTAGTATAGCCACAAAAGGCGGTGAAGGTCGCCTTGCGGTTGCACCTGCTGCGATAATGGTTCCTTTTTCCAGCAGAGATGGGATGCGGCACAATCTGTTACTGAGTCCACCAAGTCCATATGGAAGGACGTAGCCCTTGTTTCAGTCCTTCAGATCAAAAGTACAGAATCCTCACATCTTCATTCCCTTTGACACAGTCTAAAATGTCCTTCCTCCCTCGCTCAATTTCAGTTTCTTTAAAATCAATCTGGGGTGGAGCCACCCTGTGTCCTACTTTCCAAAGAACAGCCCTTTATTTCAGCATCTCCTTTATGTGAAGAGCTGTCCAACTTTGTTACACAGATCAAGAACCGTAAGAAGAGAGGTCAGAGGGGTCTTGCATTTGCCCATTAACTGGCAGCACCTGGACGCTGACACACACCTCAGGGTGTAACCCAATGCATGTTTCGATGAAAAGACCCACAATTTTCAACATTCACCAGCCAGCCATGTGTGAGACAAATGCTGGGAACTGTAGCATTTTTTCCTCTCTTTTTGGTTGAAGGATGGCACCCTAAATCAGCCTTCTCTGGTATGGAGAGATGTACTTCTAAAAAAAACCGATAACCATTATTGCGTGTCCTCTTTTGGAGCTGCATTTCTTCTTTTTGGAGCAATACATAGAGAACTATTCTACAGAAAGCACGGTAAGGCCAGCTTCAGGTTTGAGGGGCGGGCAAATTGTCCTCTGGCGAGCCCACACCATTTCTCACTGCCACCTTCTAGGCCTATGCCAGAGGGAGGATGCTTTAGCCAGGTTTAGCTCCCCAAAATCCTCACAGAATTAGAATTGCAATAGGAACCCATGGGCTATTATGCATGACAGTCCCTTCTGATTTCCAGGTACCAGGTATTATTATTTTTTGCAAAGGGAGGGGACAAAGGCTCTGGATGAGCTCAGGAGCTGGGTGATGGCACACTTGTTGGTGCAGAGCCAGCCCTACAAGTAGCAGATTTGGGGTACTATAAAAGAGTTGCAAACTAGTCTTTAGACTGCTGATACTGCATTTTAACTGCCAGGGACAGGGAGAGGTGCTTGTGGAATTTTCTGCCTCAGGACCCAAAATAACTTGACCAGTGCTGAGAACTATGCACCTTGTCTCAAGTGGGGGGCACTGTTTGCTCCTCATCAGGTAGCAAAATGCCTTAGACTGCCCCTGGTTTAGTGTCAGGACTAGCTCTTTGGTACATCTGCATGATGCTGGCAAGCCGACACTGGCCATGTCAGGACTCACAGGGGGCTCAGGCTCTATCCTAAGCTGGGCTGTACCTCTGGTGCCAATGTCACTTCGAAAACAATTTGGTAAGGGCTTAGCGGAAACACGAAAGCAAAACACAGGAGTGCACCCACCACAAAAGCAAGCAGGGTTTTTTTTTCACTAGTAATAGTTGTGGAAAAGCAAGATGTATAGCAGGCGCAACCTCTTGCCCTTGCTTATCTGTTCCTGCTGAAATTCCCTCTTCTGTTCAACTTCTGCTCACCGAAGTCCTTCCCATTGGCTCACCCCACCTTCTTTAAAATAAGAGGGACATTGTCTGTGGTTTAAACAAAAGTGGGTTATGGTGAAGCTTTGACCTCGGGGCTGCCACTCCATGCAAAGAAAACCTGCTGGCCTGTGACGCTCTGCACGTGCTGAAAGGTTTTGTGTGGTGCAGTGGGTAAGAGTGCTGGCCCGGGACTCGGGAGATCCAGGTTCTAGTCCCCGCTCAGCCGTGGAGCCCACTGGGTACTCCCTCCCTGCAGTAACAGGATCACCAGTGCTTGTTGGTAAACCTCTTTATTGTACATCTAAGTCTCGGAGCAAAAAGTTGTACCTTCTCTGGTCCCCTTCACCCAAAGCTTTGCTTATGAATCCTTCTGTGCCTGCCATCAGGAGGCCGGAGTTCTCCATCCAATAGACTCGCTCTCTCTAAATCCCACCCCCAGGATGTTGCTGCTCTTCTTCATTCCCACAGGTGGGTTGACCGGGCCCCTCGGCTGCTCTTGAACTAATCTCTTCCCCAGCAGGCACAGGCGGGTATACTGCTGGAGCTGCACCCATTTCAACAGCCATCTCGTTATCAGAGCCCAAGCTGTCAGCCTTGCTGGGATCAGCCAGCTTCCCTTCATACAGCTCATTCTGAGTCTGAGCTGTCAGTGCCACCAAAATGGTCAGCTTCTCATGCTTGCCTGGGAATCTTTCCAGAAAGCATATGCACAACACTGGGTGAATCGGGGGCACTTGCTGCCTCTCAGCCTAACCTACCTCACAGGGCTGTTGTGAGGATAAAATGGAGAGGAAGAGAACTTTGTTGGCTATCTTGTGCTCCTTGCAAGAGGAACAAAGGTGTGATATAAATGCAGTGCAATAATAATAATTTGTTGTAAGTCGTCCAGAGATGCAGAGTGATTAGACAGGTTAGAAATATCACAAACAAACAAACAAACAAACATTCTCATGTCCCAGTGACAGGATGTGAGAAAAGCCAATTGCATTTCAGTCTGTCACACAGGCAGAGGTATTTTGCCCTCCAAAATCAGGCAACCCTAATTGGTGCTAATTGCTGAATATTCCAATTAGCTCTGCAGCACCTCATAAGCCATAGGATGCTTGGGACTCTAGCAACTGGTCTCTGTTTCCTCTGGGCTGTTTCTTCTTCACTTTCCTTCTCTTTCCTTGTCACTCATTGTATTATTCCCTCTTTGAACATTATCACCTTCAGAACACAATGATCTCTGTGGGGCTGCTGTATGACACCTCTCAGAGTTCAGTCAACAATCCCCTCAGATCCTCCGTCTGTAACCTTGCTAATCCAATCGAAGATGACTGAGCTGGGGTAATGATTCCAGACAGCCTATTCTTCAGCAGAAGCTTGCACAATGTGCTTCTATGGCTCCCAAACAGGACAGGTCGGATGGGTACACAGCTCAAACTTACAGTAAAGGTTCATTTCCCATAATTCTGCAGGGTTCACAAGTTTATGGCAGAAGCTTATGCCCTGAAGCCTTAAGATGGTACATCTGCCTCATCTAACTATTTTCTAGCCCAACAACAGAGCAGGCGAACATTTTAGAGACCAAGTGCCCAAACTGCAAACCAAAATACATTTATTGCAAAGTGCCAACACTACAATAAAAACTGAAAACTAAGGTTTTAGTTTAGAAAAAACCCTCACAGCCAGTCCAACCATATATCCGTGGCTGCACTCAGACTGGCCATGTGAAAGCTCGGACAAGACATGGCTAATGAGTCATGGCTTGTGAAATCAGCGCCTTGCACCGCTACTCCTTTCTGAGCATGTCCATGGCCCGGTGTGCGCTATTATCCAATCCCTGGCTGCTGGGGCGCTGCTGGGGAGACCAGGCCCGCATGCTTCATGAGAGGATTCTGGGTGCCTGATGTGGCACGCATGCCATGGGTTCGCCACCACTGGCCTAACCCAACCCTGGTGCACTCCCCTAATAGAGGGGTAAAATACGATTGAGAGGGGCAATTTTGAAAAAGCCTTCCCTGAGTAGCTTTTTCTGCACAGCTCAACATTTCTGCCCATTCTAAACACATTCCAGCTATCCAAATCATGCCAGGACACCTCGTTTTTCCAACCCCAACCCTACCCTGGCGCACGCCCAAACCCTAACATAGGGGTAAAGTTCCACTGAAAAGAGGGAGATTTTGAAAAAGCCTTCCTTGAGCAGCTTTTTCTGTACAGCTCAACATTTCTGCCCATGCTAACCACATTCCAGCCATCAAAATCAGGCCAGGACACCTAGTTTTTCTAACCCTAACCCTACCCTGGTGCACAGCCCTAACCCTAACATAGGGGTAAAGTTCCATTGAAAAAAGGGTGATTCTGAAAATGCCTTCCTTGAGCAGCTTTTTCTGCACAGCTCAACATTCCTGCCCGTTCTAACCACATTCCAGCCATCAAAATCAGGCCAGGACACCTAGTTTTTCTAACCCTAACCCTACGCTGGTGGACACTGAAACCCCAACATAGGGGTAAAGTTCCACTGAAAAGAGGGAGATTCTGAAAAAGCCTTCCTTGTGTAGCTTTTTCTGCCCTGCTCAACATTTCTGCCCGTTCTAAACACATTCCAGCCATCAAAATCAGGCCAGGACACCTCATTCTTCTAATCCTAACCCTACCCTGGTGCACAGCCCTAACCCTAACAGACAGGTAAAGTTCCATTGAAAAGAGGGCGATTTGGAAAATGCCTTCCTTGAGTAGCTTTTTCTGCACAGCTCAACATTTCTGCCCATGCTAAACACATTCCAGCTATCAAAATCAGGCCAGGACACCTAGTTTTTCTAAACCCAGTGATGCTGAACCTTTTAGAGATCGAGTGTCTCAACTGTAACCCAAAACCCACTTATGTATCAGAAAGTGCCAACACTGAAATAAAACCTGAAAACTGAGGTTTTAGTTTAGAAAATACAACTCACAGCAAGTCCAAGCATATATATATATCTCCTTGGTAGTGCAGTGACCAGCCTTGCAAAAGTTTGGACGAGTGGCAGCTAACGAGTCCTGGCTCGTGACGTCATCGCCTGCCACCACTTCTCCTTTCGGAGCATGCACATGGCCCTATGTACACTGTTATCTGATGCTTGGCTGCTGGGGCGATGCTGGCACAACTTAGCTTGTGTGCTAACAGGGAGGGCTCTGTGTGCCCACTTTGGCCTGCGTGCCATAGGTCCACCACCACTGCCCTACAACCCTCCTTCCAGTATGTTGGTTTCTTGCAGCTCTTCCCTGTGTCTTTCTTCTCCACATCCAAAAGAGGTTGTTAAGGACTTGAGCCTCCTTTTGTCTATAGATTCTAGAAAAATGTTTAAACTCTCAAATGCATCCTATATATATTAATTCAGCAAGAAGTCTCACAATGTTCAGTGGGACTTACTCTGAGGCAAATGCATGTAGCATTGTATCACTACAATGCAATTCTATGCTCATGTGCTCTGAATTAGGTCCCTATTCAGTGTATCTTGAAAATGTGCATAGGACTGCATCTCCCAATAGTGTATTTACAGGGACCAAATGGTCTGAAGATATAACACCAATTCTGGTCCACTTGCATTTGTTCCCAATATACTCGAGCCCAATGCAAGGTGCAAGTTGTAACTTATAAAGCCCCACCCAGCTTGGGACCACAATACTTGACGGAACACCTCTCCATCTGCAATCTACCATCTGCAATCTACCATCTATCTGTTAATTTCCATGAAGCAGGTCAATACATAGAGTGCACATTTATGACTAAAATAATTTGAAAGAGAGTACACATTCGTCTTTAAATCCATAAGGACTGTTCCAGTACAAAATGTAGCCATGTAATGAACTCTTCTCAAAAAGAGTTGCCAAAACATGTTTAACAAAAACATTAGCTGTACTGCACCAAACTAGACAATCCCTTATTAAAGAGGCGTGGTGGTATACAATAGATTTGAAACAAAAGCTTTTGCTGAATAAGATACAGCCTAGGATCTTTATCAACAACAGGTGGACACCAAGGTTGCAATCCACTGATGAGGCATTTTGTGCTGGTGCCCACAGCAGTTGGAGCACATGGAGAAAGAGGCTGTCAGTGGCTATGTACCACCTCCATCATCAGAGGCGGCATGCCTGCAAACTCCAGCTGCTGGAGAGCTTGGGCAGGCAGAGGTCTTGCACTCATCCTGCTTGGGGGATCCTCTGGACAGCTGGTTTAGCATCTTGTAAACAGAGTGCTGGACTGACGAGACCATTCGTCTGACCTGGCTTGGGTTTACTTATGTTCTTACGATTCCCAAAGAGCTCATAGGTTCTGAAAGACTGGGCACCTCTGATCTCCCCTTGTGACTTTCACATTGCTACCCACTTTGGAAGCAGTTCTGGCTAGTCCTGACAATGTTTTGCATCCAGGAGTTCTAGGCAACATGTAGGTTCTGTCAGCATCCCTCCAGGGCTTCTGCAAAATGTTCCACTTCAGGCACATCACTTAGGCCAGCCTGTAACCTGCATGCTAGAACTGAGTCTACTAGAAGTAACAAACAGCTTAGGCTAGCCATGTGTCATATCTTGCCACAAGCCTAACTGCTAAATGTTCAAAATCAATCCAGGAGCCATGCATCAAAACAGGCAGGGTGTACAAACTATAAATTTAGCACAACTGTTTGCCTTTGAATATTGTCTTTGTTAAATAGATTACTTATTACCAGTTTTTACTTTCGTTTTTCTTTTAGGTGGCGTATGCAAGGAGAATGCATTGGGATTTTGCAAGATACAAGTTATAAGGAATCTTCGGCCCAAAAGGGGTTTCAAATTTGAAGTCTAACTCAGCCTTCCCCAACCCAACACCCTCCAGTTACGTTGGGCTACAACTCCCACTATCCCCAGGCATCAGACAAGTGAACTAATCCAGAAAGATTGCCTTTTAATATTACTTAGGATTCCTCAGTTTCATTTTAGTTTTTCCCTCCTCATTTTCATTGTGACCCTATTCCTTTCCTTCAGAAGCGAAGGGAGGCAGACGTGTGCTTTTTTCCCATCTTACCCCGCCCCCTGAGCCTTCAGAGGTGGTTTGGGCGTGACTGGCAGGGACTTGAACTCAGAATCTGAACTCTGGGCGTCCATGACGCACTGGCAACACCGCAACGAACGCGCGCTTACTAAGCAAGTTGACTGACAGAACAGCCGCGGCTCGCGCGCCTGCGGAGCAACCTCTGTGACGTCACGACGCCCGCCCGCTCCACCCCCCCGACTGGTCTCGCCCCGCCCTTCCTTGTGGACAACCGGAAGTCTGGCTAGAGACAGACGGACGGAGTAAGCAACGGGGTGGTAGCGGTCGCCATCTTGGAAAGTGAGAGGCGCGCTCTCTGTCTGAGTGGCCGGGCTTCTGCGGCCTACAACGCGCCTCGCTTCGGACTCTGGCCCCAGAAACTGGATACTCGTCGCCCCAGGGGCAGCGAGGCTGAAGCCGAGAGAGTTGCTCGTCTTGCCCAGTTAGGCTGAAGAAGAAGAGAGGAGGAGGGTGGGGGTGGGTGAGGGGAGCAAGAAGACCCGGATGTAAGTGGCAACTGGGCTCTGGAACGGGACGAGCCGGGACGCAGCCAGGGAGGAAGGCAAGCGAGCAAGCAGGAAGGACAACTAGCTCAAGTGTTTTCTGTTCGGCCACGAAGGGTCACTGGGAGGGGAAGGCAGGGAGGGTGTAGAGGGGTGGGTGGGCTATCTCTTTTCAGGGAAGGGAGTTGCTGGTGACTGGTGTGGCGGTGCTCACACCTTGGTACATCTCGGATTGTAGTAAAGAAGAAAAGGGCCTTACAGTTGTTAGAGGGCGTTTTTTTCACCAGGCGTGTGAGGAATACAAGGCTCTAGAAAGGGGTGATAGCAGTGAATAAGAGCCCCGTCTCAGTTCTTTTTGGAAGGAGTGTGGGGGAATCGCCTGATCAGTCTTGCCTGCACTGTCAAGCTTCTTGAGATTCTGCATTCCTACCCCCCTCGCCCGCGGTGGAAGGAAGCACCCAGGAATTGGATTTCTGGGTGCCAGAGGGGTGGTCCCACAAGACGGCACTTCAGTTTGCTGCTAAAAGTGAGATGTTCGTCTTGTCCAGTTAACTTCCTTTGTTTGGCCTCTACTTGTGTAAGAAGAAACAAAGAAAGAGGAGGAAGCATTCGTGTTAAGTGGGGTTTGCTGCTCAGGGCTCTCCCACGCATTGGCCCTGCAGCCATTTGGCATCTGCAGTTTCCTGTTCCACAGACTCGAGGATGGCTACTAATATAGGCGACCAGCGAGCCCCAGAATGGTGATTCTAATTACTTATTTTAATTTGCTGAATTGGAGGAATTATAGATGTTGGAATAAGCTGACAAAGTGTATACTATTTTTGGTTGGGGGACATATCTCCTGTTTTGCATGGCTGTTCATATGTGACACCAGCTGTTTTTAAAGGGGAACTTGTGAAATGCAGTCAGTCAGTTTTGTTCTGTTTTCCTTTTTGGGGGGCCATGGAAATAACCCCTTCCAAATACATCTGAGTTCTGAGAATAATAAATTAAACCCTTTCCAGGTGTCCAGTTAAGTAAAAATACGTGTTACTGTGTGCAAGATTTTGGGGGCTGGAGATTTTTCCATAACTGGAGACTGAGGATTGTACGGTACAGTTGGTACTGTTCAGCCTCAAAACTGAAAACGAGGAACACTGGCAAGGATTGCATTAACTGTTTTTCCAAATGGAGAACTTGGTTCATGTCCCAAGTTTTGATCAGCTGACTGTTCAGGGAGCATATCAAAATGCAAGGGGGGATGGGCTAGAGCTGCTCAACTTGAGATGACTGTTGTGTTCAAAATTATTTAATAATCACAGCAGGTACTGATTATTAAGGGTAACTTCATATGTTTCAAACTTTAATGCTCTAATCAGATATGGTTTATTTTTTTCTCAGAAAATTGAAAGCTAGTTTCCAAATAGAATATCTTCTCTAGAGTTGAAATAGTCAGTTCATTTTTCAAATTTAGTTCTACTTTTAGTATCTGCTTGGATTTGCTTTTTGTTCTTAATTCATCCAGATAAGTACACTGTTTTTGTTATTGCTAGTGCAGGACTGTGTGACTGATCTGATTTGAATCCAGGTCACAGTACAAGTTGTTTTCAACAACAACAATTGCACTATCTATGTTACCTGAAAAAATTGCTGCTAACTGGAGTTTTGTATAAGCTAACCTGATGAGTTTGACTAAACAAATACCTTGGTCTCTAAATGAAAAACCACATGATTGACTTTTTTGAGTAGTTTGTTGTATTTTCTAACATCAAGTAGAGGCAACAAAGTAAGATTTTTCAATAGGTGCATAGTCTCCATTGGAGGGAAGAGAGCTCTTGACAGAAGTTAGTTTAGTAATAGAAGATGGAGTGCAAAATCCCCTGTTGATGAAGGCTTGTAACTATAACTGCTTACTGGGTGAAGGTTTAGTTTGAGGACTTAGCTGAAGATGTTGTGCTTGGTCCCACAGAAAATTGAAAGAACTTCTGAGAAGCCTTTGAATATTAGCTTAAGTTGAGAACAGCATTTCAGCTTGTGACATCATAATGCTATGATATCACAAGCCTGCTAGCCCTGCCAGCTTACCAACAGAAGTGAGGCAAATGTATAGTTCCTGTTTTTTTCAGGGCCCCACTCCCTTAGACAGCGGATGTAGGTGAGTGTTGCATTTAACACCTCTTCAGAATATAGTTGTCCTCAAGCAAGTAAAAAAAAGTAAGCTTCGGTTCAGTTAAAATGATTTGCCTGAACCTTGGCAACAAGTTATATTCTTGACTGTTTTGTTGTATATGTTCTCAGTAAACCATCCTGAGAAATTGGTGTCCTATAAATGCCTGCCTGCCTCCCCCCCTCCCACGAGAGAGAGAGAGAGAGAGAGAGAGAGAGAGAGAGAGAGAATATCTAGGGTTCTTTTTAGTCTGAAAGCCTTCAAACTGGCTAGCACATCTCAAGAATTAAAATTTAATTGCAAATACTTAATTGAGTAATAACATAAGATTTATTTATTTGTTTAAAACATTTCTATGACGCCCCCATCGCAACAAAGCCTCGGGGCGGCTCACAAAGAATACATAAATAATAACAATACAACAAATTTTAAAAAATTGTTTAAAAACCCCCGGTGCATTCTTGGCTAAAAATTTAAAATCCTATTAATTAAATAATTTAACAATTAAAATAAGTTTTAAATAAAAAGGTCTTAGCCTGGCGCCGAAAAACAAATAACGACAGCGCCAGGCGGACCTCTCTGGGGAGTGCATTCTATGGACATAAATAGTTATTCTTGCTCATTTTATCCTGCTTTTCAGATACATAAGGTCTCTCAGAGTGGGTCCCATCAATAAAAAAAGTGATCAGTAAACTGAAATAATAGGGAGGGGATGGGTGCTTAAAATGAATCATACGGATGCGTAATGTTAAAAGTCATGAACTGTTGAAAAGCTACCGCGTGGGAGAGACTTCAGTGTGAATAGATACTTCCCACACTTTTGAAAGTAAAACTGATCTTTTTGCATCATGTTGTGTCATCCTAAAGGTATAACATTTTAATGAGAGCCTCAGCTATTGGTTGCTATAAAAATGAATTAAATAATCTATTAGGCAGTCACAGACCCGAGAAAACTTAGAACATTCAAAAACTATTAAAACAGTTAAATAAATTACATGGGGATGACTTAAAAACAAATTATTATAAAACAGAGCCACATATTTTTCTGAGCTCGAGACCTCTTCATGATTAAAGGTAGACTCCTGCATGTTTAGAGAGTAGAATGTCCTACAGTTCCCGAGCCAGCACTGCTGGCTGTGGCATGCTGGGAGTTTTAGGACTTCTTTTCCAGTCTGAACATCGCAAGATTGCACCCCAAGTGAACACTAGTGCACAAAAGCTTACCCTCCCATCTTAAAGATGAACCAAGTAGCTGTAGTATTTTTGTTGAAATCAGCTAAAATGGATATTTTGTTGAAAGCTAGATATTTTAGTCAGATTATTCATTACATTTCTATACCACCCTTAGCCAAAGCTCCCTGGGCTGTTCACAACATTAAGTCACACATCTAAATTTCGACCAAGGCCCAGCCCTGCTTAGCTTCTACAGTTGGGCAGGATCAGACACTTCGAGCTGTACAGAAGCTTATCGATGTGCAACAGAAGTTTATAATGTGGTAAAACTGAGCGATAACACCCTCTTGATGGTAAATTATTTTCTAAAAGATATGAATTCTGCCCAAACACTAAGAATTAAGGCAGGATTTTATGTAGCCAGTGTCATGGTTGCTAGGGTCTACAATTAACCATTCAGATAACAGTTGATACGTAATTATTGGGACACAGTTCATGGAGCTTAAGGTGCCACTGTGTAGGAGGTGCCTTACATGTTGGTGTCATTTTTTAGTAAGGGCACAAGAGACAGCAGAAACCCAGTAGCATCGTAAACCTCCTTCCACTGGCCACCTGTTGCAACTGCAGGCACTTCCTAGCTGAAACATGTCTTCTCTCTTACATAACAGCCAGCTCTGCGTTCAGCCCCTGGCAGTGAGTCTCCTGCTCCAGCCTGCTTGCTGCCTCAGCTTTGCATGAGGTTCCAAAGCATCATGGCTTGTCACTCTGCCACGCCTGCCCAGGACTCTGTGTTGTAGAGAGTGAAATGACTCCAGAGTTTTAAGCCAGCAACAACACAGTGGACTGTTTGCCTAGTGCACTGGACCACCATGTGGGATTTGTGTGATGTTAACATTAAAATAAAAAAATTGAGCAAATGCCCAACTTGAACAGATTGCTTCTGGCAAATAAGAATTTTGTCTGGTTGTTCTACTAGCAGTGCTTTAAACCCTGTACTTTGTGGGTAGTAGCTGCCAGTGACTAAATTAGACATAGAGACAGTCAGCCTCATAAAAGCTTTTGCAAGCAAGTAGTTTTTATGGTCTTGTTTTCAAGGCTGAATTGAAAGCTGCAGTGGAAATGAAGTAAAATAAAGACTGCCTTGCCTACGATTATTTTAAATAAACTATGTTTGAGATTTAGATATACATTGCAGTTAGTTGAGATTAAGATTAAATTGGCTCAGCCCTAAAAAGATTTGAATACAAGGGCTGTGAGGATAGAGATTTGAGGGCATTCTTCTTGGATTCAGTGTTCAGGCCCCACTCCTCATCTTAGTTATTTGAAACTAATTGTGCCAGATGTCTTCCTGTGCCTCTGAACCTTGTGATAAGATTCCTTGATTAGTTCTGCTAGCATAATGGGCCTCTGTTAGCACTGTGAGTGAATCAACTGCTTGGTATCTTATACTCTTTGATAGACCCCTTAGATGCCATTGATTTAGCTCAGAGGTGGAGAATCTTGGGTTGGGCACCAAATCAGTCCTCTTGGGGTCCCAGTCTAGCTTTCCAGGGTTCTCAAGAGGGCCTTGCCCCCTTTTCCCCATCCACCAATATTTATGTGCTTTCCCAGCATTTTTGCTGTTTTTTCTTCATTCCCAAAGTTTGGAATATTTCTCCTAAGCTATAGTTAGTGGCAGTAAGAGTTTTAAGCTACCATATGCTGGTGGTTTTTATATTTTTAGCTTTTCCTCTTTTGCCTTCAGTTGTTCCTATCCCTGGAATGTAGCCCCTGAGAACTCGAACAGAATTAGGCTGAAAGAGATTCCTCACCTGATGTAACATATCTAATGTTGCACTGGGCCTGCTCATCCTAGTCTGGAGTTACTGTGAATTAGAGGAAAGCCTTTAAATCTGAATTTGGAGCCTCTGGATTCATGGTGGTATGCCATAAGCAATTTGGTGAAACTTTTTTGGTGCAGATCAGTTGAATGAACGTGGAAGCATAAAAGCTGGAAAGGAACAACTTATGAGGAGAAATGTAGCATGACTTACTGGCTGTTGAATGTGCTTAATGGTGCTTAATTTGGACACAAATTCAAATTATAGCTACTCAGACTTACTGACTGTGTCCGTGAGCAATCAGGCCTGTAAACTAAGCAAACAAAGACTGGAAGTACTGTATGAATTAAATGTTATATTAGTGATAACTGGAAATGAAGGGCCCTCTGGTTACTGATCCTGGAATATACTATTCTTCCTTCCCAATATGTCATCTTGCAGGGCTCCCCAGTACAACCTGGGCAACGGAAGTACACGAGAGAACGGAATGGAAGGTCCAATGCATGAAAATCCTGAATGGGAGAAGGCCCGTCAAGCACTGGCTAGCATTAGCAAAGCCAGTGCTGCTGCTGCTTCTGGCAATAGTAAAGGTGCTTCCAATGGACAGACAAATGCCCAGGTAAGAAAGTTTGATGTTCTTCAGCAGAAAGTAAGACTTGAGATGATTTGGGTATCAACTCTTAGTATTCCTGACCATTAGCCATGCTGGCAGTGACCTTTTGGAGTTGAGGTCCAAAAATAGCTGGTCATCTACCTTTTGCTTATCCTTTTAGAGCATTAGACTTTATAGGATTTAAAAAAAAATAACAAAAAAGCCATCTTCATGTGCAATTTTGTCTGTTTAAAGCTGTGGAAGTCTCTCTTTTTTCTTTATTTTTTGCTTTGTTAATATTTGATAATTTAGACTTAATGTGCAAACAAGAGTGCAGACTCTGTTCAGAAACTATATTCTGGGATAGGTGCACTGCAAAGTCCCATGATCTTGAACTCAGTCTTTATCTCTAAAGCACTTTGTCACTTGGATTGAAACAAACACGCAAGCTGCCAACATGCTGTTGGTGAGTCTTGCATAACTTGAAGAAACTGGAGCACGGTCTGCATGACTGGGACGGTTCTGGGATCCTGGTCTGTAGGTGCAGAAGGCTCGGTTCTTTGGGAAGACATTTGGAGCGTTCGTTATTGAAACCTGGGTTTATTGGTCAGTTGGCATGTCTCTTTCTGTGTTAAATAACTTCCTGAGCATCCTTTCATGACACATCTTTGCTCCTTCTTTACACAGTACACAGCCCAGCAAGGTGATTCTCTGCAGCAGCAGCAGTACTATCAGTGGTATCAGCAGTATAGCTACCTCTACCCATATAATTACTATTACCCTATGGTGAGTAACAGCAGTTGGCCTTCTCTTCTTATTTCTCGACTGGAAAGCTGGAGACGTCTGTACAAGGATCCTTGAATTCTAGGACAGGGAGGGACTCGCCAGTCATTGTAGGATCCTCCACATCATTCGGTTTCACTGGTATCCTTCACAATTCCTACAGATTAACTGCAGGTTGTGCCATAGAAGCAAATTACCCCAGCACATACCTGCTGGTTATGAGGTAAAATGCAGGTTTCAAAATAACTTTGAAGCAGCAGCCACTTCCTTTGATGTCAAAGTGTCTGGAAACTTATTAACTAGAATAAGGTGGTCAGGTTATAGGGAGAGAACAAGCAAGAAAATTCTTTTCAGGGAAATGAGTTTTTGTTAATTATGCAGTCTGTCTTTAAAGCAGCCTTTCCCAACCTGGTGCTCTCTTGGGTGGTGATGTGGAAAGCCCCCCAGGCCTGGGCCCCAGATCTTCAGAGCTGCCTCAGTTGCCATCAGCAGTCTTAATGCAGGCCTGCTTCTTCCATTGCAGTTACTGAGAGACCTCAGGAATAATTCCCTTAGTGTAAAGGCATTTGTCTTTTAAACTAGAGATGAGACACGTTTGGTTCCACACTGATAATTATTTTCTTTAAGTCCAAAGTTGCCTAACAGCACTGATTCAGCAGAGGCCTACTCAGTGGGATAGAAATATAATAAATACATAAATCATTTGGAGAGCACTAGGTTGCAGAAGGCTGCTTCACAGGGGTAGAAATCTTGGCTCCTTTTATATTAAAATTACTTGTGAAGTAGCCATTTTGTTAACTGTGGTTAATACTGGTGTATTCCCATGACTTGCCCTCCCTGCAGAATGTCTACCCTGGTTACAGCTCAAGTGGACAATATGGTGTCCCAGGTTCTTACACATCTGCGGCACCCCAGCAGCCTCCAGCTCCTGGACAGCACCAAGGGAGCATGAGCCAGGTAATGGATACCTGCTATCTGTGTAGCTTCCTTCCAATTGTTCCTTCTGTCTTTTAAGTAGGGTAGGGAAAATACCCCAGCCCAGCTCTCCTGACTTAGTGCCCTCTGGATGTTTTGAACAACAGCATTCCTGACTATTGGGCAGGGTTGATGGGGCGGAGGGGTATTTACATCCAAACTATCTATAGGGAATTTGACCGCTCTGTACACACGTAATTAACTTGCAGCAAGATTCAAAGTCCATTTAAAAATCTACAGTAGTGTCTTAGACCTTGCTATAAAAAGTCATTTCAAATGGGTTGAACAATCTTAAGTCAGGGGTCCTCAAACTTTTTCACCAGGGGGCCAGTTGAAAGGTGCTGGTGGGCCAGAAAGGTGGTGCTAGCGGTGCGCCCGGGCTGGCGCGGGGCTGGCGCATGCGGGAGCGTGCTGAGGCAGGGGCGGGGCACGTGGCGAGGCGAGGGCGGACACACTCCACAAGGTGGGCGCACAAGGCAGCGGCTTCCTTGTTTGGAGATTGTTTTCTCGGAGTGAGCACACCACTGCCTCCCCACGCTTGGGGCGAGGTGGGCGGCACTGGGCGTGCGCTCGGGTGTGGGCATGCGTGCAGTGGGTCCAGATGGGCATGGCAAGCCGGATAAATGGGCATGGCAGGCCGGATCCGGCCTCGGCCGTAGCTTGAGGACCCATGATCTAAGTGGTAGATATTTAGAAAGATGATTCAATGCTTTGCCCCTTTCCTTCCACAATAAAGGACTTTTCCATTGGACGCAGCTATGTTAAAGACAGCAGAAAGGGATAACTAATTGTTTCTTGCCTCCCATTCACCTCCCAGCCTTGTCCATCTTTGACTCAGCAAATTTTGCTGTCAAAGCGTGATGCCACTTTGATGTAGGTAATTAGTGGGCAAAACAAGCTGTTCCTTGTGCTTTGAGGTTTGACTTCATGATTATTTGAGCTCCCCAAATAATTCCTTGCTTCAGAAATTTGCAGTGATGGTGCAAGAGTTCCTGACTGGGGTATTGAGAGAGATTAGCATGTAGAAATAGCCCTGTGCATCCAGGAACTCAATAAAACAGATGCTGGATTCTGACATTTTCCTTTATTCTGAGAAATGAAAGAAAGCAGGGGCGGGGGGTATAGGTTTTCAGGCAAAGGATGGATCTTTATGAGTATGAAAGGGTGGTTAACTTCTGGCCTTCCAGAAGTTACTGGACTCCACTATCAGCCTCAGCCACCACCATGGTCAGTGCTCAGGGATGATGGAAATTGTAATTTAACAGTATCTGGAGGCCTGCTGATTACCTCCTCCCGGTTAAATTGAACTGTGCATCCTCGGTGCTTCCTGTCAAAGAGTGTCCTTGCAGTGATAGTAACAGCACAAATCTTCTTTCTGTTTCCCCCAGCCTCCAGTCCCAGGCATGGAAGACGGAGGGTTGCCCTACTCAAGCCAGCAGCAGCAAATGCAAGTCCCCAACCCACCACAGTCCCCTATGCAGCACCCCAGCCATCCCTCACAGCATAGCAACCATCCCATGGGTTCCGGGGGGCAGCAGCAGCAGGGGGGGCCTTCTGGAGGGCCACATGCCCAACCAAACCAATCAAATGCCTCCTACAACCAGCAGCAGCATTCCTACCAGGATGCAGCCAAGCCCAAGAAAGGGCAGCAGCTCTGGAACCGCATGAAACGTGAGTTTCTGAGGGCTAGAAGACGGCGAGGGGAGTGGGACTTCAGCTTTGCTAGAAGAGGGAAGACAGGGGGGGCACTTGGCTACTGGGAAAGGGAGTTGACTGGAGCAGGAAGGTGGATGTTTCATTGCTGGTTTTTGTTGTTAGTTGCAGCCAAAAAATTCTCATTCTCTCTCTCTCTCATAATTTAAAACATTGATTTTAACCAGTTAACTTTTCTTGGCGTTTGTTAAAATTATAAAGGTTTGAAAGGATAAAGAAAGGAAATGCTTTGTTTTCTATAGTTGTATTCCTATTTTCTCTTAGTTCATATATTACCAGGAGTTTATACAGTTTACAGGTCAGCAGTAATAGCTATGAATAGCTACTTTCATTCATTGCAGGGCACTGATATAAGACAGATGGTTTTTTCAGCTTTTTACATAAGAAGTGAGAAAGCCAGACTCTACCAGCTACTCAAAAACAAGCCCAGCAGAAATAGGGGGACCTCAACAGTCAAGTAGTAACAATCCCTTCCACTCCTACAAGAAATTCTTTGGATTCCAGCCATTGTTTTTGATCCAAACTGAATTAGTTGTGCTTAGGTCCTATTGAAACCAGTAAGGCAAGTTATTCAGTTTTGCTGCTTAGTCTGGATCCAACATATAGGGGCCACAAAAATGTGGAATGTACTTCTTTATATTTCAGGAAGAGCATTCCTCTATTTTTGTGGAAAAGCCTTTATATGAATGAATATTTCTGGCACCTGACTTACCCAGTTCAAAGCAGTAGGAGTACTTATTTCCAAATCATTAAAATAAACCCTTATTCCTCTGTGTTAATTGAAAAGAACTCATTTCTTATGCAGAGGCATAAGGCCACTACTTCAGTAGTAGATTGTGGCATGTCACGTAGAGTAGAGAATCTGGGATCTTGGTTACTTGATGAATCCATAGTGTATGCATGAAGCATGTTTGTGTCATTCAGTTGAACATCAGATTCTGCTGAGGTGTCGGTGGCCACAGTAAGCAAAAGGACTCTCGTTGGTAGAATTTGTTCTTGTAGGATGCTGAAGGCTAAAATTCTTTAATCAATCAATCAATCAATCATAACATATCTCTTTATTGGAACAGAAGCACCTGGGTCTGGTGGTCTGAAATTCAACCTCCCCAAACGACCCTTTGTGGTAACAAATCAGAACTTCAGTTCTTCAGAGCAGCAGCAGCAACATGGAAACTTCGGTGCTCAGCAGAATCCTGAGAAACGTCACAATCACAGGTGCACACAATTTCTTCTTTCACTTTTGTTATTTAGTTTGTAGGCAGCACTGCCTTTAGTCAGGAGGAAAGCACTGGGTCGTTGGTGAGAAACGGGCAGCCTGATGTTTTTGAAATGTTTCAGGTTTTAGTCCTCAGAATCCCAGATGACTGGCCATGCTAGCTGTGGTTTCTAGTAGCCCAAAACAGCTGGAGATTGCATTGTCCTGCTCAAGGTTGTAGGGCTATGTTTCCTCCTGCCGCTCCTCATTTCTAATCCTGTTGCCACAGCAGTAGTGAGGTTGTGCTTCTGAGTTCTGTGTATCCGTGACTGAACAGCAAGATGTTGACTCTGTAAGTTGCTCAGCACCTTTCTTTCTTGATATCTGTTACTCAAGAGTTGAGCTGGAATTCAGGAGATCAGGTTTCAGTCCCCACACCACCATGAAGTTCGCTGGTTGGTTTGAGGCCAGTCACCAGGGTTTGCCAGTCCAAGGGCCACTCCTGGCTTCAGTGCTAACTAGCTGGGAGAGGGGGGAACATCGGAGAGCAGTGGTGGCTTTCTCTTGGACTTCTGCCCCTGTGCCGTATCCCTGTGTCTTCTTTTCTAGCATATACATGTGCCTGCATGTGCACAAAGATATCCCTGCAATAAGAAGATATAGCAGAGGTGTCTGGAGTTAATCACAGGCACAACACTCTCCATTCATGAGTAGTGACCTATATGAAATGAGTCCCCCTGGAGCATCTTCTCATTGCACAGTGGTCATGCTGGGAGGGACATGGCAGCAGAAGGGCAGAAGCATCTCGGGCAACTTATTTGTGGGATGATGCCTTCAGAGGGAATCAGTGATGCCAGGAAGGCGTGGGGAGAGAAGCCAGAGAGCAGTGCTGGCCGGCAGAGTTAGGTTTTCTCCCAGCTGGCTGGTACATCTTGCTAGTATAAACAGGAAGATTCTCTAGATACCATTGTATTTAGTGCCACCCCTCTGGAGCATCCTCTTGTTTAGGCCTAGGAAAGTTTTTCAGCCAAAGTGTGTGTTTCACCAAGGCTTGGCTTGCAGAAGTAAAGGGCTAATGTTGAAAGAACTGGACATACCGGATTTCAGAGCAAGGTAACTGTGAAGGTAGTTGGAACTCCTTTCTTGTAGCTCTTCATGCAAACTCTGGATAGCATCTGATTACATGAGTCCACATGTAACTATCTCTCTAGGATGCCAACCAACCTGGTAACCACAGTTGCTGTTAGGTGAATCTTATCAGTGCCTGGGAACTCATTCTGGGAACTCCATGTATGCAGCTCCTCGAAAACTTTTGCATTACCCCCCACTCCTCCAAACTTCCATTTATGGAATGCGCTCCCCAGAGAGGTCCGTCTGGCGTCATCATTGTTTGCTTTTCGGTGCCCGGCGAAGACCTTTTTATTTAAAAGTTATTTTAACTGTTAATTTGTTATTATTGTATTTATAGATTTTAATATATATAGCCGAGATGGCACCAGTTTTAAATTATTATTTTTTTATGAATGTTGTGAGCTGCCCCGAGGCTTAGTTGCGATGGGAGCGGCATAGAAATGTTTTAAATAAATAAACAAACAAACAAACAAACTGGGCAAAAATACCTACACTGTTCAAGGATCAGATAAAGGCTTTGAGGAAATGTTACTGAGGCTGTGGGGTATTAATACATTTCTCTCTACAGCTCTTCAACAGGTAAGCCAGAAGACTGGCCGCAAGACATGAAGGAATATGTCCAGCGCTGTTTCACAGCCTGTGAATCAGAGGAAGACAAAGATCGCACTGAGAAGCTGCTCAAGGAAGTTCTGCAGGCCAGGCTGCAGGATGGCACTGCCTACACGATTGACTGGAGCAGAGAGCCACTTCCGGGGTGAGTGGCTGCAGGCCCAAAGAGGCAAGCCCGAATTTCTGGGTGCCACACATGGGGAGGTGATCTTATTTGTTGTTACTTATTTTATTACACATATATCTCATCCTTCTTCCAAGGAACATGGGGTAGGATCCACATTTCTTCCACACCCCCAATTTTTTATCCTCTGAGTGATCATGTGAGGTAGGCTTAGGTCAGAGGTCGGCAGCCTGTAGCCCTCCATTAGTTGTTGAGTTGCAACTCCCATCGTGCACCTGATTGGCCATGCGGATTAGACTGATGAGAGCTGGAGCTCAACAACCTGCAAATTAGGCAAAGAGATGTGAGTGGCCTCAGGTTACTCCATGAGCTTCATGGATGAGTGGAGATTAGAACTTTTATTACTCTGGGGAGGGCTCTCCCTCGTGGTTTTGATGGTGGGTGTGCAAGCACTTAGGCTTCTGGACTGTGTGAGATAGTAAAATGCTGTACATCCTGACTTTTGAAAGATCTGGTGGATTTGAGGAGAGCCGCATTGCCAGCCATAGTTCCTGTTTCTTCATGGCAGGTTTTCCTTGAGGGGGAAATAAGGGTTTGAAATTAACTAAGGACTTGATTGCATCCAGTAGACTTATTATTTATTATCTTTTTATCCTGCCCAATGGCTCTAGGTGGTTACAATTCAATCTGATGCAATCCACAAACCTGGTATGATAAAGGAGGCATCATTGTATGATATAGTGGTTAAGATGATTTTGAACAACAACAGCTCCATTCCCAGTTATAATTTTTACTACTTAGTAAAGATTTAGTAGTGCTGTTACTTTCTCTGCAGCCTGAGCCGGGACAGCATGGCTGAAAGCCCCAAGAAGAAGTCGCAGCGTTGGGAGGTGTCTTCTCTGCACTCCACACGTACCTCTATGCAGTCCAGTCTTTCCCAGCAGCAGCAACGGGGCACTGGTGGAAACGCCCAGCCCCAGCGGGGGGGAGGCAGTGGGGGAGCTGGAACTGGCCGGGCTCGTGGAAATGGCTTCCCCACTAAGTTTGGAAACCGCAATGTCTTCATGAAGGAGAACAGCTCATCCTCAAGTGTTGATTCACGTTCCAGGTCCCGGTCCTCATCACGGTCTCCCAGCCGCCACTTCCGACGGAGGTAAGAGTCTTGGGCAGAGGCAGCAGAATGTACGTGTCGCAGCGATTTTGCAGTTGGTTGCTGTTGCAAAGGAAGAGAACACAGATGTTGTGTATTTAATCTTCACATCTATATTTTTTCTACACTAGAGTTAGAATCTGCATTTTTTTAAAGGAAGTAGAAACTGGTTTCTTGGGCAGTTGTTTTCTGTGATTTCTCCTCTGCACAGACAGCTTAGGGTTAACATGATCAAATGGAACAGGTGTTCCTTTATTACTCCAATCTTATCATTTACTTGAAAAATCCAGCATTTTTTTGAAAAATAGAATTGATCACAGTATTGGGTTTAACTTGTGCAGAAGACATAAAGGTGAAAATACTTTTTTTCATTCCCTTCTCAAATAGTGATTCCGATTCAGACAGTTCCTATTCAGGCAATGAGTGTCGCTTGGGTGGCCGCAGGAATGCCCAGAAGAACCGTGGTCGTGGAGGCCACATGGACAGAGGCCGGATGAGAGCCCAGCGAGGGAAAAGGCAAGTCTGGAGGGGAAAGAATGTCATGCCTAGCAGTTAATATGTTCTGTCTGATCCTTGGAGGAACAGTGGCTAAAAAGCAATTGGGTCTTTTCCATGAATGCTACGCACCAATGCCAAATGATCCTCTCACCATGAATTTTGCAGGCATGACCAAGGACCTTCCAAACGCAACCGGAAACGCAACACTATGGACTATGAGGATCCCGAAAAAGAGTTCAAGAAGGAGCGGCGGGCAGCCCGTTTCCAGCACGGGGCCCACTCCAAAAAGCTGCGTCTGGAGCCCCTCATCCTGCAGATCAACAGCCTTGACCCTGCTGGCTCAGATGGTCTCGACTGGAATGAGCTGAAGATTGTTGGTACCTGCCAGGAGATTACCAAACATTACCTGCGCCTCACTTGTGCACCAGACCCGTCCACTGTCCGACCTGTCTCAGTGAGTAACCTGTAGGAGAAAAGGGCTTTTCCAAGAGATTCCCTTGTACCTTTCTGATTCAGAAGTTCTGGCTCTTCCCCCTTGGTCTTTCTATCCTTCTGTGTTATTTTCTTGGGAACACCCGCTAAAAGGATTCTACTGATGACGTTAAAAAGTCCTAAGCATGTGGCAACCAAACAGTACTTGAGAAAGGTTCTGTGCAGAAAGTAGTTAGTGGAATGCCTTCCTCTGCAGCACAGCTGCCGAGTGACCCATTAATGTACACATTGTACCGATAGACAGGAAGAAACACATCTGGACACTACTATTGGGAGGAGAGTTTTTTAAATATGAACTTTCCTTATCAGTTTTATTAGCTGTCTTGAAGATTCTTGGGATACAGGCTTAGAAGTACTTAAATAAAGCAAAGAAATGTAAGTGTATTGTGTTCAGGAAAAGAAAAACATTTAAACAGGTAGCCTTGGCAGTAGTTGCCATTCTCCTGTCTCCTATCCCAAGGTCAGCTGTGGTCAATACCTTGCCCATCCCTCTTCCAAGGTTGTTTTCAGTGGATTACTTCCTGTCCTGTTCCAGGGCTGGTGAGCGGCAACATCTTTTGACAGGTGTCTCCAAATTGGCTTTTCCTCTTTTCCTCTTAGGTGCTTAAAAAATCCTTGAACATGGTGAAATCCCACTGGAAAGAGAAACAGGATTATGCCTATGCTTGTGAGCAGATGAAATCCATCCGGCAGGACCTTACAGTAAGCTCATTCAGGCATTGGAGAATGGGGGTCAATGGTGGGAGGTGTTACTATGGCTCTGGTAGGTGAGCTAGAAAAAGGTTCTTAACATACTAACGTGGTTTGCCAAGAATACTTTTAATTGCTAGTGATGAAAGAGGGGTGGGGGGTTTGAAGTTGATACTTTGGGATTCTCTGGAATGGAAGTTAGATCGTCTGATCGGAGCAGAATGCCTGTGTGGGACATACTTTGTACGGGTGTGAAGTTTGGTATTGGATACATGGTTTGGCATCCTGAGACTGTGTGCTTGCTTTCTAAAGTTGGATTTGTGAGTGTGTCGGCAGTGGGATGTGTTTTGCCCACCGTTTTCTGTGTTGGAATAGTCCCCATGCTTCATACCTCATCGTCTCATTATTTATCCAGTGAAGGCTTACTAGGCAGCAGAGAAAGAGGCAGCATCTCTTTAGGATCCTTTGATTTTAGCACATAGGATTTCAGTGTGCTGTTCCCCAAGAACTGTTTTACCCACTTGCCTGCTTCCTCAAATTTCTGATACCACTTTATGTTGGGTGAGTTTTACCCTCACATAGGTAGGACACCAGAGAATAGCACTCATTGCTCTTACCCTTCATCTGACTCAGGCTGTTCTCCTCCTGGCATTAAATATCAAGGAAGAGAATTGCCTTCTGGAACAGCTGCTGGATGCCTCGCTGGAAGCCCCAGGGGTGATATAGGATCACTGATGAGATGTCACTGATGGGGGCATTCGTAGGTTTGGGGCAAGGGAAGGGAGGTGCATCAGTGGCTCTGCATCATCACTGAGGCTTCCACGGGCAATTAAAAGAATGGCAGTAAACTTTACTGGCTTCCATGTTCTGAATTGGATTACTGGGGTGGAGGGCTGGGAGAGACAGTATTTGAGGATGCTGTATTTTACACAAAGGAGAGTGTGTGCACCTCATATTCCAGGTTCTAAAAAAATCCATTAAAAATGGAGCTTCATAAAATGGGTGACTTTGAGGCTCAGTTTAGGGACAAAGCAGAAATAAGTATTGTTTTCAATATATTATTGAAAGTATAGTGCATCTTGAGGTATGTGGCCTCTTTAGGCACACATTATGATCTACATTATTTGAGGTCATCTGTGTTTTGTTTGTTTTCATGAAGGTTTTAAGTTTTTCTGAGCCTTCCTCATTTCAATTAGTTGTATTGGAACAACATTTTACCTCTATTTTGGCCCAGCCTATTTCTGGTCAGATTACTGCCCTGTAGTTCCCATACCCATCACAATAGGCTAAAATAGGAGTTAAAGCTGAAGCCTTTCTTCATAGTCAAGCCCCCCTTCCTTTGTGAGAAAGCAAATTGGAATTTAGCAATGACAGACGAAGCAAATATATGGAGATTTAAGGTTCTGCATCTCCCTGGTAATCCTCTCTCTTTTTCTTGTTTAGGTTCAGGGTGTCCGTACTGAATTTACTGTGGAGGTCTATGAAACCCATGCCAGGATAGCACTGGAGAAGGTAAGAATTAGTCTAGTGGCTAGAGTAGTACTGGGGAGATCTGGTCCCTGGTTTTCAACTAACCTACTCTGCAGGGTGGTTGTGAGGTTAAGGTGCAGGGCAGGTAACCATTGAGCTCCTTGGAAGAGGAGTGGGGTATAAACTTCGTAAACATATTGAAGGAAAGGAAGGGTGGGCAGACAGACACAGAAAGAAAGGCGTTATTTCCTGTGGTGCTTGCATCATAGAACTCAAGGCAATATACACTGATTTCCTAGCTCATCTCCCATTCGGATACTAACCAGAAACAATTCATTCACTTCATCAAGGGTGCTTCACAGCATGTCTTCAGGCCATTACCTGAGTAACCGCTTGGTAAGGAAGGCCATCAGTCTTTGATGCCGTATAAATGTGGAGAAAAGTACCTGCACTTTCTGACATGTATTCCAAACCCATAGGAATGCAGCTTATGTCATGCAAAAATTTAGAATATTTGCAGACCTCCTGCCTTGGTTCTTGTGTCCCCCTTTGAGGTAAGGAGACACAGGTGCAGGATGCAGCTACTGCTTGAGGCACAAAGAGTACCTCTTCTCTGTATTAGTGAGGGCAGAACCAGTGAAGAGTGGCAATTAAGGGGTTTGTCACACATCATACTCGGGGTGCATTCATAGCCTGAATGGAAACTGTCTGAATCAGAATACTCCATGCTACATGGAGGAGAGGCAGTGGAGCCGATCTAGTGAGTACTGGGGCTGAGTTCGTAGGTCTCAGAGGAACGGTGATGTCAGCTTGAGACTCTTCTGTAATGATGGATTATCTTCCCCAGGGTGACCATGAGGAGTTCAACCAGTGCCAGACACAGCTGAAATCCCTCTATGCAGAGAACCTCCCCGGAAATGTTGGGGAGTTCACGGCTTACCGCATCCTCTACTACATTTTCACCAACAACTCGGGGGGTAAGTGGCAGCACTGGGAGAACATTGAAGGACCCACTAAATCTGGGTCAGTCTCTCAGATTTCTTCAGCATGTGTGGGATTCCTGTTTTTTTTTAGAACTTTTCTGCATGAATGTGTATTTATAGCCACTTAGGCTGTGGGAGAAAGATGAGATCACTGCAGGCTGGACTTGAGGCTCATGAGGTACTCCAAGCCCCAGTCTGCTGGAATAAGCTTTGAGGAAGACAAAGGGTAGTGCTCTTTTTATCAGCAGCTGTCCATAGCAGATCACTGAGCATATCCAGGATCTTGCTTTCAGAAGACTGTAAAGTTACAGCAAAAACTATAGAGAAGAGTTCTAGTTGGGTGGAGAAACGGGCCTGCCTAAATTCCTGCCTAATTTCACTCACAGGTTGAAATTGGTCTTGGGCTAGATCCAGGATTTACCATCTGCAGGAGGAAGGGCCTTACTTGTGGAAGGTTCCCTGTGCTCTGTTTTTGAAGATGCCCTTGCCTACATACCTCAGGCCACCCCATTCAGCAGGGCTCCTGATTATGTGTAATACATTGTGGGGGAGGCATTGCCAAGGGAAGGAGGGGGCAGGGAAGCTCACGTCCCTCAGCATAGCTATCCAGAGTAAATTTGGATCCATCGTGTTGCTGATAAATCAGGCCAGATTGAACCACGTTCATGCAGAGGATTAGGGAGTAGCCCTAAATATTTAAGCTAAAGGTCAGCTTAAAAGAAAACAAAGAAGTAGGGTACAGTGTGAGCAATGGTTCTTCTTTCTCTCCCTTGCAGACATTACTACAGAGTTGGCATATTTGACAAAAGAGCTGAAAACAGACCCCTGTGTGGCACACGCACTTGCCTTGCGAGCTGCCTGGGCCCTGTCCAATTACCACCGTTTCTTCTGCCTGTACCGCCAGGCGCCCTGCATGTCCGGCTACCTCATTGACAAGTTTGCAGAACGGGAGAGGAAAACAGCCCTCAAAGCCATGATCAAAACGTATGTGAAGCTGAACCAGACTTCCCTGGGGTGGGGTGGGGAGAAGGCCTCGCACCAGCACACTCTCCTGCCTCTCCTCCCTGCCCTGACTGTTGTGAGGCAGAGGCAGGCTAGTATCCTGTAGGGAGAGGTGCGTAGCATGGGACTAGGTCCCTGCGGCCTTAGCTGAGTGGGCCTTGCCCTTGGCAGGTAAGTGGAGCAGCAGCGTTCTGCTAAGGCCACCGTTGACTCCTGGCTTTCAAGAAGCCACCCCAGGGCCAAGGGTCCAGCTCGCCAGGGAGATGCAAGTAGCATCTCACACAGAAGGCTCTGACTCAAAAAGCATCTTTGCTTGAAGCAGGGGATGCACCTTTGGAAGCTTTATCTGGTTTTGTGAAGGGACACAGCGCTTTCAAGCAAAGCAAACAGGAAAAAGGAAATGTCCTGGTCAAAGACAGACATTCAGAAACAACTATTAGTAGTGCAGACCTGTGAGATTTGTATTCACAGTTCAGTTTTCCCTGCCTGTCCCATGGCATCTCATGGCTGAAGAGGAAGGAGGAGAAAGACAAAAGAGGAATTGGTGGTTCCTCCGTATTCCTCGCTAAAGAGAACCGCACCTGAAATCAGCTTTTTGCGTAGTTATCACTTGCGGAATTTGGAGCTGCAGAGCCCAGTTGGAGGCTTATCTGACCACACAGGCCGTCTTTCCACACTGCAGTTATTTCAGTAGGGTGTTCACTTGGGTGGGCATCTCGACAAGGGCTGTATGTCCCAGTGAAACCAGGGAGGTGCAGTAGGTGGCATCCACATCAGAGATGCTTCTAATACACATTCAGCTTAACTCACAACGCTGTTAAAAAGTGAGGGAGGCCTCCCATTTATAAGTGCCCCCTCCAGGCCACAGTCTTTTCCCCTTCCTAAATCAGGTCACCCAGCATATCCTGGTGCAAATCATGCACTTCACCAATAAGGCAGAGCGACCAGTGCTTATGATAATGAGCACCTGGACGCTAGATGATGCACCACTATGTGGCCCTGCCCAAAATAGTATTTGGATCGGGGCAGTTGCAATGTTGTGGGGCGGAAAGAGGCTTTTGGACTCAGTTGCAAAGGGAACAACAGTGAGGAAGCAAACAGGCTTCCCAGATGGTTGGCAAGTCAGTCAAATTCATTGTCACGCTGTGCCTGGCAAAGGGTGCTAAGAGAGTAAAGGCACAGAGCTCTTGCTTTGTCCTAAAAGAAGGGTGCAAGCTTGAATCGCTTCGTTTTACCTATACAGTCAGAACCAGTTGCCTCCCTTGGCGTCTACTCTGTGTGAGGCTATTGGGAAGTTACAGCAGCCCACCTGTAGGGACGCCCCAGCGTGCTGGGGACCTGCAGACACCATTCTTGTCTTGCCGTGGCTTGCAGCCATGTAAACTCAGACAGCAAGGCTTCTTTGACGGTCAGATAGCCCTAAAACAAGGCATGGGCTATTTGAGAGCTGTCTGATCTTCGAACTGCTTGGGTTTGTATGACACAGTATCGTGTGCTGAAAGTCATTCTTCTATCAGTGGAGGGAGGTGTTGCAGAGTGACCTACTTCTCCCACTTGCTATGCAGGCAGAGCTGTGTTCATTTTTCTAAGTTTGTCTCTTCAAGTGGGCGATGTCCTCCCTCCACCCCCAGACTTCAGTTTTGACTCTGCATTGACAGTTTGTGGGAGCAACTGCTTTATCACTCACTTGCTTTTTTTTAACAGTATGGTCTGGACATCTTTAGCCTCCCTCCCTCCAGTTAAGCTAGTTCGGTATGAAGGAAGCTAGAGAAAAGCAGTGTATTCTGTCCCAAGCACAGTCAGAAAGCACTCAGGGGAACCAATAATTCAAAAACGTTGTGAGATCTGAGCTTGAGTTTGGATTTAGTAGTTAGAAACCCTTCACGCTTGCTTTTAAGATCAGAATTCACTGCCTTCCATTCAGCAGGACTGTAATTTAAGAATCACTAACCTAGAACACTCTGAAGCTTTCCTGAATGTGCTTGAGTAAGAGCATAGAATTGCTCGAAGATTGCAACCTTGCCCCATGTCTTTGCAGCTGGGATGGGTGAGTGAGTGTGCCCAGCTGTGCAGAGTAAGCACTGTCCTGAGAATGCATAGAAGGCTCCTTAATATCCATGAGGGCTAGGAACTTAAGCAAAACTAAGGGATCATTTGGCTGCATCTTGTTACCAAGATAGCTAATGGTGACTTAATTGCATACTAGTGGCAGAATTCTGCTTGTCATCTTAGATTGCCTTCATCTGCTGCCTTTTCCCATTCACCAGTGTCTCTCTTTATCTCCCTCAGTTTCCGCCCGGTGCTTCCCGTCTCCTACGTTGTGTCAGAGCTGGCCTTCGAGAGCGAGGAGGAGTGCCAAGCCTTCCTCGCTGCTCTGTCCCTTGTGTATACTAGCCCCGACGCCACCAAGATTGACTGCAAGCAGAGCTTGGCGGTCCTGACCAATTTCTGAAAGTGTAAACCCACTGCCCTGCCCTGCCCTGTCTTAACATGTACATATATATGTGTGTGTGTATATATGTATATAAAACCAGATTAAGTTAGCTGCTGTGGGCAAGCCGGAGCCTAATTCTGCCACCACTCCCGCTGTCCACTCCGCACACGGATGGAAGAGGGTAAGATCCATGGACATCGGATGGCATCTAAGACCACCAGGAACGGAGAAGAGCAGAGAGTTCATTCTAACAATTATTTTTTTTTGCCAGCAGTGGGGTAGGGAGGTATGTGTGGGGATACATTTACATCAGTTTACGATCATCTGGTGTGTGTTTGCTTCCCCTCGTGTCAAGATGCGTGAGAGAACATAGAAGCAAAACCCCCTCAATCATCCATTGGTTCGAAATTGCTGAGATAAGGGGCTGGGGAAAGAACAGGGATCTGTAAAAGAATTACTGGGAGATACGGATTTAATTACTGTGTTACCATCCCTTCGCCCTCAAAAGAGTGTTCAGGAAGCTAGAATATTTTCTCCCTAGACCACAAGAGAAATCTCTTTGTCTTGTTCTTTCTAAAACTGCACCAGTATCTTTCCAGACACATAATTTCATCTAGATTCTACTTGGCAAACCTTTCAGAAGGCAGCGGTACATAAGAACAAGTGGTTCCTTTGTGTAAATATGTGGAATATGATTTTGTACAGAAGCTACAAGTTGTAAATAATGCTAGGAAAACTGTTGTTTTCTAAGAGAAAAAAAACCTATGGTTTTCTACTTTTATAATAATGAGTTTAACAGATGGTTTTCTCTGAAGATGAAAAATCCAGGTTGTGTTGTGTGCGCATTTTGTGTTCTCCATTGTGCTCCTCAAACTAACGGTGTCTCAGTTTTTTCCTCTTCCGAGCTATGGCCTGGCTTCAAAAAAGCACGAGAGAGATGCCACCTCTCCAGTCAAACAAACAGCCTGAGGAGGAAGAACAAAGCAAAATCTGCCTCATGCATTTCCTACCAGTTCAAAGACTTTTTCCTATGCAGAGGAGAATGTAACAGACTTCTTTGTAATTCAAACCCTTGCGGATGTGGCAACATGAAGCGAAGAGAGTCAAATCAAGGCAATAAGCAATATCTCTGGAATCAAATCAACACGCAAGCTGACCATCACAACCTTCTCATTTTCAATTGTTCTGGAGTTGTCATGCTAATTTTATTTATTTATTTTTTTCTCCCTCTGTCCTCAGTTCTTTACAGGTAATCTCAGAAAATGCACCACCCCATTTTCACTTTTTTCGTCACATTGTTTCAGTTTTGTTTTAAAGTTTTAAAAGATTGTCCAATTGTCTTATTTTCCTTTTTCTCTTTCTTTCCTCTTTCCCACCCTTAGTCTCTCTAGTTTTCTCCCCCTCCCTTCTCGCTCTCCTCCTCTAACTCTTCCTTTCTTTCTATTTTTGTTTTTGAACATGTGTAATTTTGGGATGTTTTGGCTTGGGCTGGATTTTTCAAAGATTCCTTTTTCCTTTTCAGAAACTTATGAATTTTTTCTATTTGATTAAAAACGTTTTTAAACAAACATCAACAGAATGAACCCTGTTGTGATGCTGTTCAAAGTTCATGGGGGCAAGTTCCTGCCTGTAGAAATAAAGGGGACAGTCAGCAGGGTTTGGTGCAGTGGGGGGGTGGGGGGAATGCCAGTTGGTGTGTAGAAAGCAAGCTTTTTGGCCTCTGGTTCAGCAGTTTTCCTTAGTTCCTGTCTTGCTCCCTCTCTTTCTGGTTCCTTGGAACCGTCTGCTGCTGATAATGGTGACTGTATTACACTCCCATTTTCCATAGTCCAGGCAAAGCTATTTGTTAATCGTTTGCCCCCTGGGAAACAGACTCGCGTTACAGCAGGGCTGGTGCCCTCAGTAAAGGGGTGCAAGGCAGGTCCAGAGCCTGCTGTATTTGGGCATGTGTGGAGCCTGGGTACCTCTCCTGCTTTGCTCCTGCAGTTAATTCAAGCAAGCAAAAAGCATGCCTGTGTAAGTGAGCCTTATGAGGTGACAGTGGCACCTCATGGGTTATTTAACCCCATCATTCATGAGGAACTGTACCATTTCCAGTTTCTAGAAATCCCCACACTATGTTGCTTACAGAAAATGGAACTGGGTTCTGCTCAGCATGCAACTCTGCATATCCCAGATTGATTAATCTGCGGTAATGTGTGAACAGCCCAAAAATCTGGGACCTCAGGTTGCTGTACTTGCTTTCTAGTTGAGTTAAAGGACTTAGTAGAACCTTCCACCGAAATTAAGAGCAGGTATCTGGACAGTACCTTATTATGCCACAGAAAGGAGATGGACTGTTTAACATCTGTGGACTAGTCTTAATTGTAAACAGAATGGAACGGGGTATGTTTTTCTGTCAAATTCTTTAAACCCAGGCCTCTACTGTTAGTATCTACACAAGAATCCATCTTTCTAAATGTGCCACCCTATGAAGATTGCAATTAGAAGGGTGAAGGGGGTTTTCCATGCTATCATTACATAGTGGTGGTTTCAGAACCATTACCAAAGAGCAGAGCTGTAAGGATCACTAAAGCAAAGCAGGCGGTTGGTTGGATAGAGACCAGCACATTTTTTGCCTATTCCATCTGTCAGCATCAGTTAATAGATAGTTAAGGGCTGTTTGTATTCTCAGTGCCTTAATTACCAGTTTCATGTCCAAATGGTCAGAGTGGATCGAGAGAATGTAGCTGTTGCACGTTTGCAAATTCATCTACACAGTATGTGCAGGCGCATCAGTCGTGTTTCTAAAGCAACATGCTCACGTCTGTTATGTCTGTCTGTCTATCTTGCTCCATAGGAGATTCTACTTCAAAGCAGAGGGGAGGGCCAGCAGTGGAAGGTGTACAGTTACAGCATTCATCTTGGCAGGCTGTGTGTTGCGTTTACCATGTCCTTGCTTTTGCTTAGAGTGCATTTGGCTGCAGCACCAAGACTCCTTTGAAATCAGTATGGTGCACAGTTAACTCCCTCTTCTTTCCCTTAGTAATGACAAATGAGCAAGTTTGTCTGCATTGAGAAGTCTTAGTTCATGTTCTGTAGAATGGCAAGGATGCCTTTAGCAAGAAAGATTTTACTATGATTCTTCCTAATTTTCCTTCTCTATTAAAACTCCCTCAGTCATCAACAAATCTCCTGAATTGAAATCATAAACCAAAACAGCTTGGAATCTGGGGTCTCTTCCAATGCTCTCAGCTTTTTAAACTCTGCACCTCTAATATTCTTTACTGCATCTATTCCTCTACTGAAGACTTGTCTCCTGCTACTTGTTAAAATTGATACAGTCCAGCATAATCATCACCTTTCTACGGAGGCAGGCAGTGCAGGATCTGGGTGCCTCATTTTCACTACAGAAGCAGGGCTAACCCACCAGCTCTCATTCTGCTTTCCCCAAAAATAGTTCTTGCACTGGACATGGGTGTTGAACTTGTAGTCGCCTTCCTTCTGCACAGAGTGGACCTTGGCCATAAAGATACCAGGTGGACAGCAATCCTCTCAGTATAAATCTAATTTAAGTAAAGTGCTGTAAGCCCCATTAGTGCCTCTACCTTTCCTTGCTTCACACAAGCATAGCTCTTGTACTGCCTGTGTACCTAAATTCTCAACAGTGGGAATCCATGAAGAATCTTGCGGCAGTTGAGGCCCTGCCTTCCCCGGTGGGATCTTCACCATGGTCAAGTGGAACTTCTCTTTGTCTGGAGGATGAATGATGGTCAAGTCTTTCTTGCTAAAAGCACCCTCCAGGGTTCGGGCCAGCAAACCCAAATCAGCTGCAGATGCTGAAGCCATGTAAAGCACATGTGAATGAAAAGTCTCAACCTGGTGGAAGGAGAGAAACAAAGCTGGGGGCAGCAGGCGCTGGTTACTGGCCTGTAACTCTCGGAGAGCCGTAGTTGCTTTGTAAATTTCTTCCGGGGTGTGCAAGTGCAGCAAACAAAGTGTAACATGTAGAGCAGCCAAGGGCACACAGAAGTTGGCTAAATCAGGGCAAGCTTCACAGAGGGCACCTTGAAAACATTTCACAACTTCCCTGATCTCTGGGCTTGTGACTGGGATTGCTACAAAATGAGTGGGTCGCTGTTTGAGATGGGGAAAATGTCTTGGTTTCCTATTTTCCAAAGCTGCCACTTCCTCCTCTGCTATTGGGTCATTCCCCTTTTTGATGCTGTGAACATGAGTGGACATATCCTTGATCGAATGTCCATCCCTAATAGTGTTAATTGTCTCCATCTCCTTGCTCACCGTACTTCTATCTAGGGTGGAATGTGTGTCTCCGGCTAATTTCAAATTATCCATAGTTTCCAAGAGTCCCTTGGTTACTTCCTGTTCACCAGTTGTCCTGTTTTGCTGTCCTTCACCACTAGCAGAACCATCAGGGTCAATTTCATCCCCCTTGTGCTGGGCCATTCTTTGTCCTACAGTTCTCATCACCTCCCTTTTGCTTCCATCGGGAAGATGACCATGAGTAGCCATAGCTTCCTCTTCTTCCTTTACCACTTCCAAGATGGTTTTCCCACTCCCTGTGGACCCAAAGATATCATCTGTGCGGCTGACTTTGTCCCATACGATACGTGACCTGTATTTGAAATACTGGATCCTATGTTTAGGGATAGCCAGCACCCCAGGCCCAGCTGAAGCCAGATCTTCCCATGAGAAAGCAGAAAACGGCTCTTCCAATATCCCCAAAAACCGGTCAAGATAACCAATCGTGAAGTGCTCAGCAGGCACCTGGTTGTCCCAGAGCAGGCGAGAAATAACATCCTCTGCTGTTTTCATAGCAGGCTTCTTGTTGGCTGGCTGCTGTAAGGAAGGCTCGCAGGTGGGGCTGTGGTCCTCCAAATTAGGGTTATCACCAGGGTGAGGGTTCCAGCAGCGGGCTCCAAAGCGGCAACGTCCTTCCAGGAAGAAGCAACAGGGGGGCCCGAGCTCAGTAGAGGAGTGCTTGGTCGGATCTGGATCAGGAGCTGGTGATGCTTCCACAGGGATACTGCAGCTGAGGTCAGGAGGGTCCTCCTCAGGGGAGAGAACCTGTTCTGCCATAGCTACAAATAAGGGAGAAAGTAGAATTGGAAGCAGAAAGATTTTCACATCCAGGCCTTACATGCTGGCTCAACAGCAGTGCAAAGCCAGTTGGTGGGAGAGGAAATAACAAGGAAAATGGGGGCCCTGGGCAAGGAGTAGCATTCTGCAACAGGCTATCCCAAAGATCATGTAGGACGGGGGAATGAGGGAACAGGGATTTGTCCAACGTGTAATGCAAGAGTTGGAACTATGAACCAGGAAGTCCCCAGTTAAAATCCAGCTGTGAATTTACAGGTGCTGAACTCATGTATGTGAACAGCCTTTAAGCCTTGGGGTGGGGAGAGGAATGGGCCTCTTCATTTTTGATTATTGTATCAGTAAGACCCACAGGGTGACCCATACCTAAAGCACATTCAAAACTAATTTTAAAAATCCAGAGCATAAAGGCTCGAGAAAATAAAATGGGCTTACTTTAGGGGAGTCTGGGTGTTTTCCCAATTAGAGTGTGAGCAGTAGGGGAAATTGGAGAAGGGTCTCTGATGAGGATCTAAGAATGCAGACAGAAGCAGGGGAAGACTGAGGATCCTTGGACTCAAGCGCTCCTTTTCAGTCCCCCTTTGTTGCAGGATATGGTTACTCTAGAGCCCTGGTACTTAGGCAGCCTTGGAATTATAGTTTGGATGGGTAACACATCTTTCTAACAGTGCTCAGGTGGGCAGCTCCGACTGGGATCTCAAAGATGTTTTTGTGGTCTCCAGTAGATAAAAACGGCTTTCCGACTTGGCAGCAGTAATAAATTAGGTTAGTGACACATCCCTCTGTATGCAATAAAGGTTACTGAACAAGAATGATGGGGAATGGATCTTCGGGCGAAAAAGTTTATGGACGTGGTCCTGGTACTGAGCAGAAATTCTTGGGCTGTACTGTAGCACACTGTCACTTCATTCTAGAATACATCCTACCTGTCTGGGGCGCCCTTTTACATCCGGTGTATTCTAATAAAACACGAAATCGATTGCACAAGCCTGAAGCTCCTGTGACAAAGCTCCACACTCAGCTGAAAGTTCCGGGGATTTTGGGGCGGGCGGGGCCGAGAGTAAAGCCACGAACTTATAAAGCACCTTTCTAAATTTTCTCTTCCCTTCCTTGTCTTCATAAATAAAATAATAATCCTGGACTATGACTAACTTAAGCCCTGACTAACAAGCCTGTTGGTTTTAGTGGGTTTGCACTAAACCTGGATCCTGCCCGTCTCGTCCCTGCGTCTGTCCATCCATCCAACTGCCCTCCAGTTTCTCTGGCCGATCCTCTACTAAACCTGCGCACCATCTGCTCGCTCACGCATGCACACGCACCCTCCCCACTGCCGTGTCTGTTGGTCCGTCCAGCAGACTGCAAAACTTTTACGGGAAGGTGCTGCATCAGTCCAGCAGCCTGCCGGTTTTGGAGCAGTCCGTCAAAAAAGAAAGCGGGGCTGCTGGGAGGGGACGGGTATCTTGCCTTAAGGAGATCCGCTACCTCTCCCTGACGCTTCCCGACAGAGGCTTCCTACTCCGGCGCCGAAAGTGCGCTTCCCCAGCTCAGCTGCTCCTCTTCCTCGTGCCCCTGAAGACCAGCGAGCTCTTCTTCCTGGTCCGACGGGGCGGGGAAAACAAGGAAGTTTGCAAAATAGCTGCAATGCACTCTGGGATGCCAAAGGAATGGAGCTAACCCCGCACGGCATCCAGCAGATGGCGAAGGATTTCCAATTTCTAACTGAGCGAGTTCGGGAAAACAAGAAACCCGGCCCTGGAAACGGTTTACTACGTTTTCCATAAATGGAAACCGAAGTGAGAAGCCACTTGGCTGCAATAGGGATGAATCTGACCCAACACGGGATGAATCTGACAGAACACACTTAAAAGCCCATTATTGGGCCTATTCCATGGCTGTGAAAAAGAAATTCTTCTCTGTTTCCATTGCCTTCTCACAATGCTGTCTGGTGGAGTTTTTTCGAGTAGTACAAGAGGGCTGGTTGATCCTGGCCCTAAGGAAGACCCAATACCACCTTCACAAGCCTGCTGTGATGACTTTGCCAAGCATTTTATGGAGAAAATCACTCAGATTCATCACGAGCTGAACTCCACTAGTGACTCAGAGGCTTCTGGGAAGATACCAATGTCGCTGTCTGGTCCAAAATTGATGGATGACTTTCAGTTACTGCGGCCTGATGATGTGGACAAGGTGCTTGGACAAGTACGTTCCACCACTTGCCTATTGGACCCTTGCCCATCTTGGCTAATTAACAACTCCAAGCATTGGACAGGGACCTGGATCTTGGAAGTGGTTAATGCCTCTCTGAGGGAGGGCCGGGTACCTGCCCCTTTAAAGGAGGCAGTAGTCTGACCAGTCCTGAAGAAGACATCTGTGGACCCAGAGGTGGCCACTAATTATAGACCAGTGGCCAACATCCCATTTTTAGGCAAGGTGTTAGAGCAGATGGTGGCGGGACAACTCCAAGCACTCTTGGATGATACTGATTATCTGGACCCATTTCAGTCCGGCTTCAGACCCAGATATGGTACTGAATCTGCCTTGGTCACCCTGTACGATGACCTGTGCAGGGAGATAGACAGGGGGAGTGCGTTCCTGTTGGTTCTCCTGGACCTCTCAGCGGCTTTCGATACCATCGACCATGGTATCCTTCTAGATAGGCTAGCGGGATTGGGGGTCCCAGGCACTGCTTTGCAGTGGTTCCACTCCTATCTCAATGGCCGATTCCAGAAGGTGGTGCTGGGGGACTACAGCTCTGCACCATGGCAGCTATGCCATGGAGTACCGCAGGGGTCCATTTTGTCCCCTTTGCTGTTTAACATCTACATGAAACCACTGGGAGGGGTCATCAGGAGGTGTGGGCTGAGGAATCATCAGTACGCTGATGATACCCAGCTCTACCTCTCATTTTCTACCAATCCAGGTGAGGCAGTGGCTGTGCTGAACTGGTGCCTGGCCGAAGTAATGGGCTGGATGACAGTGACACACGTGTTGGTGACTTCCCGACTTGACTTCTGTAACACGCTCTACATGGGGCTGCCCTTGAAGACGGTCCGGATACTTCATTTGGTTCAAAACAGAGCTGCCAGGCTGCTGACGGGGACTGGGCATTATGTTCACATGACTCCAGTTCTTCATCAGCTTCACTAGCTCCCCATTGAAGTCTGGGCCCAATTCAAGATGTTGGTTATGACTTATAAAGCCCTTAACGGCTTGGGTCCTGGTTACCTAAAGGAGCGCTTATGTGCCTGCCCGCCCCTTGAGATCAGCGGGAGAGGCCCGTCTCCGGGAACCTTCCGTGAAGGATATTAGGAGGGTATGTACTCGGAGGAGGGCCTTCTCTGTGGTGGCGCCCAATCTATGGAATGCGCTCCCCAGAGAGGTCCGCCTGGCACCCTTGTTATTTGTTTTTCGACGTCAGGCGAAGACCTTTTAATTTAAATGTCATTTTGTTAATATTATTTATTTATTTTATTTTTATGGCCAGGGTGCCTCCAATTATATTGTTTTATATTGTTATTTATTTATTGTTGTAAGCCACCCCGAGGCTTCGGCGAATGGGGCGGCATAGAAGCTTTCTAAATAGATAGATAGATAGATAGATAGATAGATAGATAGATAGATAGATAGGGGCGGATGGACGATTGGCTTCCATCGGCTGGTAGATTTCCGAGCAATTTGCCATCACAGCCCACTCAGGATTTCGGAGTCTCCATGGCAGCGACGAAATGGCACCAGCTCTCCTCAAGCGTTCTGCTGAATGCTTAATTCGATTTAATTTTGGGATGGAAGGACAGAGAGCTCCGCTAATCAGAACAAATACCTGGGCGCATTTAGTTCAAGATGTCTGTATTTTGCATTGGAGGAGACCAATTGGAGAAGGTCTAGGAAAAAACGTAGTAGGCCCTGTAGACCTTAATTGGGCCCACCTCTGGTCTCACATAGAAGTCAGTCTGATTTGCAGTAGATCCGAGTTTTCTTCCCTGGTCGCTCAAGGCAACAAGCACTACAGGGGTTTTCCCCTTCTTTTCTCCCCAAACTAGGCTGCGAAAAACGGGGGCGGGGGGGGGGGAGAGATTAGGTTTGGGTTTCAGCGGAAAAGGATGCTGGGCTCAGTTTTGGGACTCCAAGAATTTCTTCCAATTCTCCAAGAATTGGGGACTAAGCATGTAGTCAGAGGCTGTTCTTGTGCTCGCCTTTTGCCTTGGCACATTTTTCGAATTGACTGTTTGGTGCTGGCAGTTCTAGTGGAAGGCAAACCAACTAAAGCCCTACCAGTTTGAAGCCTGCCTCTCTGTGCTTAGCGATAGACCAATGCACAAATTTGGGCTGAGACAACCTTGGCAAAAAGGAGAAAGCTACACTCTTTTTAAAAAAAGGGGGGGGGAGGTGCCCCCACGCATGGGTAGAGTGCCACTTCTCTGCAACTGAGTAATCACAGCCAATTCCCACACTTCAGGCGTTAAGGAGAGAGTAGGAAAACAGGGTGGTGTTCCCAGACTGGTTTGGGCCCTGGCATCCTCCTGTTTGTTTGTTTTTAAAGAAATCAATCATCACCTTTAACTCGTTTAGGGAGGGTGATAATGTGCTCCAAGGGCGGGCATATCCCACCATCTCCAGGGCTGGCTTGAATCTTCAATCCATCTTAAGTCTGATGCCAGATCACTTCCTTGATGCAAAGTAATTTTCATACACAGGCCCTAAATCTTGCTGCAGGTGGAGACATGGAGTGCATTTTTCCCTGGGTAATTTTCCTACCCAGAGCAGTCCTCTTATGTGTACAAGTAACTGTTTCTTTGGAAAGCCAGGGTAACGCAAGCCATTTGAGTTTTGTGCTGGGGCTCTAGACCCCACTCAGTCAGGATGCTCCCTGGCTGACTTTGAGCCTGTCACTCTCTCTCACTTGCCCACCTCACGGGGGTGTTATGAAGATAAAATGGCGAGCAAGGCAACCATATAAGCCATTGTGGTTCTTTGCAATGGGAGAAAATCAGACTAAAAGTTGTGTGTGTGGGGGGGGGGTGATGGAAAACAATGTGGGGGCAGGGAACACAATTGTACCCAGGACCAAAGAAGAACTGAACTCCTTGAAGGACTTTTTCATCAGCCTGTTACTCCTGGGACTGGGCTGCTCCTGACAGCCATTGCTAACCCAAGGGCCTGGCCTGCCTTGGTGCAGCAGTCAACCGAGACTAACAAGAACGAACAACTTCACCTTAAGTCAGAGAGCATCGTAAGCATCCTCTCTTTATCCGATGTCCTCCCATTATGTCCTCCCATTATGTTGGACTACAACTCCCACCTTCCCAGCCCCCATGTGCCCTCTCAGCCACAAATGCAGCCCTGTGATTTGCTGCCCAGGGTGGAGCGATAGGGGCAAAGCCTGCAACACACACCGCCCTCCCTCCCCTGTGTGGGTAGCTCTAAGCACCAACCTCCTTGACCTCCGGGTTCCCGCTTGTTGCCAAAGAGGGAAGCTGAACTCTTGTTAGTGCTTCTGGTTGCAAAACTGGACATGGGCCTGGCAGGATTAACAAATGATGAATCCGGATCCCAGATGCCCCAGCTGTACCCCTTTGTGAAGACCCGTTCGGTATGACTTTTGCAGCCAGGCACAGTCAATGAACAGCACTTTCCACTTGCTTGGGGTGCATTCTTCTCCCCTTAAGACTAGGAGGGACCCTGCTGCCGCCTGTGAAAAAGCCTGCTAGAGAACTGTCTGGAGCGCTGCTGCAGCTTGCGCTCACTGGTATCCACAGGTGCAATTTGCACTTCATCATGCAAATTGCATCAGGAAGCCCCTGTAGAGAGCCAAGGGCATGACTTCGGCAGGGAAACATCTCTTCCCAGCCCCAGCCACCATCCTGTGCTTTAAGACAACGATTTTCCTGTTCAATTCTAACATCTCAAGAATGTCAGAGCAGCTGTCAAGCATGGACTGGGGCTGAATAAAACTAAACAATAGCAAAACTGTGTGCCAACCCTGATTTTAAAATCAGGGTGTTTGCATTTTGCATGTTTCATTTGGTAATGACGTGGCCTTTTCAAAAGCGCACTGAGAGTCACAGGCCCTCTTTGTGGCCAGACATGCTCAGGACTGCACGTAAATCACAGCTCCGTGGTGACAGCAAGAGTTGTGCGGAGGCTGGTTCCCCTGTGCGCCTCGCCAGCCTTCCTCTGGATAGCCATTTCGGGGTCCTGGGTGCCGGGCTGGGGCTTTGCACCTCGAGCCACATCACTGCTTGGATCCGCGGTCTCAGAGGGAACATGGGGCCGCACAGGCAGCTTGTGTGCCAGCAGCCAGCTCTGAGTTTGGCCATCCAAATCTTGGCCCCAGGCAAAACATCCCTCTTTCTAACATCATCTGGTCCCTACCCCGGTGCTCAGCAATGAGATGGGATGGAAAGCAGGGAGCCATCTCGCCCTTGCCTCAGGCAACAGCATGCTTTAGCTCAGTCACTCCAGAATCCTCTCCACAGATTTGTTGACTGGTTGGCTTTGGTTACAATTTCTTGAAGTAAAATAAAGCACGAGCCTTTTCCGGAGCAGGGGCTGTAGCAGTGCCCTCTAGAGGGAAAGTAACTTTACCCACACACCCCACCCCCTTTTTGCAAGGCATTTTGGGTACAGGATGGAGCCCTTCACCAACTAGAAGAGGGCAAAGAAGGAATAGCTGGGTCCCCGTTGGTTGATCGCAGCTGGTGTGTTGCCTCTGCAGTGGTTTCCTTCATCCTGTCAGGCCTGGACTGTGTCAGTGCAGGCCCCTGATCTGTTTATCCTCTGGCAGGAAATTCACAGCTGGGATCGACCAGCAAACGGAGGCACCAGAATCACAGATAAGGCTAGAGAGAGGGGGATGCATTGCAGCTGGAGTCCACCGACCCACGGACCGGGCCGTGGGGGCAGGAAGTGTGACTGGCTAATGCTCTCACTTTGATCCAGGCCTCTGGCCTCCCTCAGTCTGCGGATGTTGGAGCGTAGCCTCAGTAAACTGGAGCAGGCTGGGCCTTCCCCTGCCAATGAGTGATCCATCCTACTTCTTTTAAAGACCCACACACCGCTCTCTCCATGCTCTCTCCATCCGAAGGGGAACTTTATTGAACCGATCAACCTCTGAATGAGCACAATGATGTAAACACAGAAGGGAAAAAATAAACAAAAGCTCCAAGCTGCATCAAGAAGCTGGTCTGCATGGTGAGCTTGCACAGATAAGAGACATCTGCGGGGGAGGGGGCCTCTCCCTGTTCAGATATTTCAAGATACTCCAGTTCCTTCTTCTCTCTCCTTGCCAACCCATGGTCAATCCACATTCGAAGGCCACTGAGTATGCTCCATCCTCATTGTGCTGCTGCCCAAGTAAGTTTGTTTTTCTTTCTTTTTGCAGTTTTGCAAACTTCAGCTCTACCCAAACTCTGCTAGCACTTCTTCTTGTGTGTAGGTGGTGCCATTTTGGCTGTGTCAGCATCGACACTCACAGCTTGAGCAACTGAAATGGAAGCAGCAGTTACTGTTAGGATAGAAAATGTGGAATAAAATGCAGGCAACAGCAGCGGGCTAAACACATCCAAAGAAAGCAGACTTTGCCTCAAACTTCCATGCGTGGCACCAGCCCATGCCTCCAGCCAGATCGTTCAATTCCACGCCGCCATTCCTTTTAGCCCTGCTCTGCCTTCATCTCCACTACCAGTGGATGTTTTTGGACTAGTTAAAGGACTATCATTATAGGCAGAAAGGGAGGGAGAAAGTGCACATATATCACAAAGATATCTGCAGGACGAACACGTGCATTTGTATATGAAACACGCGGTGCTGTTGAACTACAGCTCTGCAGTAAAGTGCATCCTTTGATCCCTGTCATGTTTCATGCAAAGTTTGCAAGAGATGCAGTAGCAGGAAACGGGAAGGAAAGTTTTGAGACCCAGAAGAGCTGCTACTAAGCAGAGTCAACAGTTCTGGGCCAGATAGATGAGGTGGCATAATGAAGACATTGCTCTGCACAGCCATGTGCATCCTTGCGCTCCTCTTAAAAGAACCTGAGAACGCTTTTTTATGGGTCCTGATACGGGGTTTCCGAATGCAGGGCTTTGTTCCCTCTCAAGGGCATGCAGGAGTGACTGCCTACGGGAGTAAAGAGGACCGTGCATATAAAGGACCTCCATTGTGGTGAGGAGGCTAAACTGGAAGCCAGGAGGACAAGCTGTGGCCCTCCCCACAAATGTCTTGCTGCTTACAGCCCTTCTGCTTCGCCCCCTTGGATGTAAAGAGCCACCTCTGAGAAATGGCTCCTCCTCTAAGCCAAGCCCCACTCTGGCTTTGCTCTCTTGGGTGACTGAAAGAGGACCAGAAGATGGGATAGGACTGCTGTCTTTTCTGCAGGAGTGCTTATCCCCACCCCCACTCTCTCTGCAACTGGTCCCGCTCGACTCATCATAATTAAAGGGGAGTTCCAGATGTTAGGGCTGGTAGTGCCAAACTGGAAAGGAAGGGTGGGGAAGTATCTTCAGAAATGGAACAGCTGCTTCTTACCAATGGATGCAGTGTGCGAAATATGAACAATAAGCAAGCTTTTCTTGCCACACATGTTGAGGCAGTGCTGCTTTTAGCAGTGGATCCCCGTAGGAGCATCAAGAGGGAGCGCACATCAGGATCCTTGTAGCAGTATTAACAGAGACAGTGCTTTCCTAGCTGCACTCCATCCCCTTACTTGGAAGAGAATGCAAGAGGTCTGAGCAGAGCAAAATGTTTTGGGCCGTTCCAGGGGTGCATTCCAAGCAGAGACAGCAACAGCAAGACAGCACAATCTGAGCCCTACCAAAGACATTGTGTAACTAGCCAGTCTTTTCCTCAACAATTTCCTGGGATTGGGAAGAAAGCAAAAAAGTGGAAGAAGCACAGTAGGGCATAGGAGTTGTCTTACAAAATTACACATCGGAGGCAGAGTAATTGCAGGATGAAGCCTCATCTGAAAGGCCCATGTTAGAGCAACCTGGTGGAGACCCAGCCAGCACGACCAAATGGGCAGGGATGCTAGGAATTGTAGGCCGAAACATCTGGACAGCGGCAGATTGGAGAAAGCTATGATAGAGTATGCACTTGGCAGCAGGCTTTGGACTACATCTCCCAGCATGCCTGCCCTTAGCCATGCTGACTGGGCAGTGGGAATGGAAGTCCAGGCTGTTCGGAGGGCACCAGTGTGAGGCAGGCTGCTTTGCAGAGTGGGCGGCTCTGGATCTGCTCGATCTCTCCCCTGCCAGGTAGAAAGTATCTCTAGAAGCTGAAGAGACAAGGGCCCCGCTTCTTGTTGAGACCTTGGGCAAGAAATTAGCTAAACGGACCTGATGCTGACTGGCTGTGACTCTGTGGTGGAGCACTTACTTTGCAGGCCGAAGGTGACCGGTCCCACCGCCAACATCTCCAAGAGGGCTGGGAAAAAGCTCGCCTGGAATCTTGCAGAGCAGCTGCCAGCTGGTGGGCATGTTGTGCAAACCCACCCAGCCAGTAAGCCCCAGCGGACTGGTTGTTAGCCAAATGACCCATAGGATGCCCATCAGACAACCAGGCTCACCAGCTTCCACTGGGATGGTCCTGCAAGTACCATCACCCACAGCAGGACCAACTTGATTCCCCCCACCTCCTTGCTGTGACCACAAGCCCAAACCTGCTCACCACATTTTTCACTTTCCCATTGTGCCCCGAGACTGGGAGAACAGGGTTGATGGCCAGCTTTTATACCCCCTTTTGTCAGCCATGGACAGACCTGTCAAAGTGTCTGAGTGGAGCCTTGGAGGGACGGTCAGGGTCTGGCCGGGTTTTTTAAAATGTGCAAATAGGTTTGGTCTTTAAAAAAAATTATCACAAGTGTGAAAATTTGTAGCCTCTACTGGGGTACATGCTGTCAAGGTGCAGCAAGTATCAACCCTGGACATTGCCCCAAAGAGGCTTGCGATAAGTCCCAGCTTCTTCAATTTCTCTTGACAGCTGTCAAATGGCAACCTGTCAAAAGAAACCAAAGGAATAAGTGATATTTGCTCACAAAAATGGGCTGCTGTGATTTACAGCCTCTTCATGGCCAGATCATCATCTTTTTTGTTCACTCCAAGAGGGTTAGGCACAAGAGTCCAAGTGCTTGGGAAAATGCCGAAATGCCCCCTTTAGGTCCCTTTAAAGGGGTTTTTGTCAAGGCAATAAGGCTTTGTGGGTTGGGACATACACAGCCATGTGTATGAGCCACCCTGTGGGAAATGTCTCTATTCACTGGCACAGCCACCCCCTGTGATGGGCTGTCCTGTTGTGTGAACTGGTCTATTACTCTGCAATGAAAGAGACAGATCCTACTGGAATGATGCAAGGTGGTTCGGAACCTGTGCCAGTGCCTGCAGGTGAAGTAAGCGCCATGGGAAGAAGAGGAAACATGACCTGGGAAGCGCATCCAAAACTAATTTGCTTTTAATTACAAGAAATATCAAACACTTTTTGGTAGCTGTACAAATATTCTGTTAGGAGGATGAAAATTAATATAATGTGGACAAAGGCAGGGATATAATGTTCTTACACAGGAATCCATACAAAATCATACACGTACAGTGGTCACACCGTCTTGCTGCAGTGGTCACAGGGATGGCTAAAAGGCCCCGGGGCCCAAGGACCTGGCTTGGGGCATAAATGCAGTGGCGGGGGGCGGGGTGTGTGTGAATGCAGGGGGGGGGGGTTAATGCATGAGAAGAACGGGAGGTTTTGTCCTCCTGAGGGATGAGCAGTCAGCAGAGCAGTCAGCATCCAGTGCTGATCTCTTTCGCAGTCGTGGGCTGAACCTCAAGGCAAGCCTGCTTGGAGCAGCTTTGAACACCAGCAACACACACACACAGTCTCTGCAGGAAACCATTTTTCACATTTCCCATGGTTAAAACACAGAGATAAAGAGAGTTCTGAACGAGAGGGATGGACGAGTTGAGGTTACATGATAACCGAGGGCATAAAATAGAAAAGAATTTCCAAAACTTTAAAACTTCGCCACCCATTTCCTGCTACACCCTTCAAAGAAGCCGCAGGAATCTCAGCTCTCTGTTTTAAAAAGACTCATCATTCCTCTGAAGTTCTCCTCTTTGGAGAGCCTCTATGCTGCCTACCAGGAGGGCTGAACCTCTCTTGGGTCAAGGACCGAGTCACATTTCACAGAAACTTTTGGGGCTGTGGTTGAGGGTAAATGGAAAAGGGCCAAAGGAATAAAAAAAAGGGGAGAGAGCAAAGCCTACCAGCCCATGTCAGCTAAAAGCTCTTCCTATCTGTAACTCAGCCTTCGGAGAGGCACCCCAGCCCTTTTGGAAAGAGCTGGAAAGCCACCAAACAGTAGGCGGCTACGAGGAAGGGAGAGTGGCCACCTAGGGAACGCCTGGAGGGCTAGACTGGGCCTCGTGCTCTACACTCCTACAGGAGAGGTCTGATCTCCCAGCCTTCCCTTCTCCCAGAGACCTGTAGAAATGTGAGGTTTGTATGCAGCTGGAGGGCTTGAGCTACCCAAAAAGAAAAAATGTTTGGCACCCACATCAAACTGCAGTTCCTGGAAATAGGGCAGTGGGGAGCTATTCCCATGAAAACCAGCTTGGAGGCACAAGGCCATGCCTCACCTCTGCTTCCTTCTCCACCCCTCACCCTTCTGCTCCTCTCCTCTGGCACCACTGGCACCCCCTCCACCGCCTACCCCTCCTTTGGGGCGCCCTCCTTCTAGGGCCAGTCTGCAGCCCCGAATGGGAGCAGTGCCGCCGTGAGGCCAGGCATGGATACAACCGAGCAGCTGAAGCGGCGCTTGATCCACAGACGGGGGAAAGGGACTCCGACACCCCCCTTCTGTGTCAGCCCCTATTTTCCGAAGGCTACTTCTGGAGCAGGGGAGGCATGATTTGCCTAAAAACATGGGAGGGCTGGGGGGGGGGGGGCTCAGGCATTGCGTTACAGCCCACCTACCCTGCGCAACCCTAGGACATCCCATCCAAGCATGGGCTGGAGCCCAATGTTCTACTGCAGGCTTCCCCAAACAGAGGCCCTCCAAATGTGTTGGACTACAACTCCCATCATCCCCACCCAGCATAGCTCTCCAACCCATCTGGAGCACCTGCCTGCAAAGCACCTGGGGATGGCTACTCTAGAATATCATCGCATCCCTCTCGCTTTACTGCACATATTTAAGTTTTCTTCTTAGACTGGGCTCTCCTTCTGCCGTTGTCTTATGCTGAACCCCAAATGCAGGAATTTCCCCTCATGCATTGCAGGCAAGTTCTCTCCTTAGGAGACCCAATATACTCCCCCTCCTGACTCTCCAACTCAGCTCTGCACTGGTAGATACAACACAATTAAACTGCATTGTAAGGCAAATCTTCCCACCACACAGGATGGAAATTGTCTAATTCATACAAGGGCAGTCATGCTCCTATCAGGGACCTCTTGCCTCATGGCTAAATCTGTTGGAGTGTTTGGAAGCACAGGAAGGGCTGGTAAGATTTTCTGCACAGTATTTGGAGAGACAAAAAGGGACCCGAGGAAGGAAATTTCTTTCTGAAACAAATCAGGACCAATAAAACCTTTTTCCGGGCACCTGAAAGTATCTCCTCTGCTGTTTTATGACGCATTGATGCCTTCCCCTTATGCCATTTCCTCTAAGCTGGTGGAGGCCAAATGTGAGAGGGCCAGAGCCAGCTGGAGGGGTGGGGGGCTCCGCTTCTCTCCTTCCACCGTCCTCGCCCACCCCCATACCCCGCACAGCCTAAGTGGGTCACCCCTTGCTCTCAGAGAAGGCGCACCCGTCAAGTTCACTGGCAACTGGTCTTTCCTGCTTCTTCCACCTCCAAAACAACTTTCTCACTTGCAAAGAAGCAGAGATACACAGAGAATGAAATGCACCGTCCCAGAAGCTCGCCCATCTACAAATAAAGCCCAGAGGCAGCTCTGGCAGTGTTAAGAAGCTACGAACCTCCAGCCCTCCTTCATTTTGACACATTTAAGCCTCATCCCTATTATATGGGAAGCACAAGAGGTGCTGACCCCCAACTGGGCAAGGCAAGCTCCATGGGAACTTGCCTGCATGACCAACCTTTTCCATCTTGATTCATGAGCTAGTGCACAAAACACAAGTGAAGAATGAGGAACATGGGTTAGGGTCATGCACCTAATGACCTTGTCACAAGCCTCTTAAGTTGGAGGTGGCCTTCTCAAGTAGCGCTTAGGTATCTATTATTGCAGGAGTTAATGAATAAATACGCTATTCCATGGCAGCACCAAAGGAGGACTTGGGAAGGGTAGCCACAAAGATATGGGGTTTGGTAAAGGGGCGGGTTAACTTTCCAGATGCTTACTATTGGTGCCTGGATAATGTGTGGTCATGCGGGTCAGTTAACGAATGGGGTCTTGGAACTGGGGAGATTCCAATATTTAGAGGAGACCTTTCAGCTAGTTATTAGCCAGCAAATTCATCTCCAGTGATCACCCGCTCTATTTATTTGTATTAAAAGCACCTAATGAGAAGCTGTCCAGTTCACATTTGATGGAGATGCAGTCTGTTTACCCAGCCCTGTTGTATTACCCCGGCCCCATCAAGGCTTTAATGAGGAGAATGGATGTGTTTCTCCACCTGCATCTTCCCAGTTTGGGCCTTTGCAAGTAAGTCTACAAAAGGTATCCTTGCACCCAGGGGGAAAAATGGTCAGAGAATGTTCCAGTCAGCTTGTCCAGACATACCTTTGCCAGTTAATATTTGAATAGTGGTGGACTGAAGAAAACAAAAACATCTCTTACAACGTAAAAAAATATTTTCTGCTTGGTCACCTGCAGGTAACTGTTACAACGCACCACAGATGACCAGGGGAGTGGCTATTTACCATTCTGCTTGGCAGTGACTTCACTCTGTGTCCCCAGCACATTCATTCATACATCCTGCCCTCTTCTCCTGACTATGTCTCTGAGAGGTTATGCAAAGCAGCTCTCCTTCCCTCTCTCAGCCCCAAACTCCATCTTCAGCATCCTCTCTGAAGCCTTTCAACACCTTCCCACCCCCGCCCAGCCTTACCCACGATCAGAGCAAGCATCTCCTTGTAAAAGGCCTTGCAGCTGGATAAATAGATACATGGATGTACGGACTAAAACAAATGGTAAATAATCAGTGAATGGATATCAAATAGATGGAAGTCCACCAGGATACATGGAAGGCTGAATAGATAAAGAAAGAGAAATGTGGACAAGTAAATAAATAGTCGTATGGCTAAACACGGCTGAAAATACCAACAAAGCTGCACAGGAAAACAAATGAGGAATAGCCAATAGATACTTGGAGACCAAAAGATAAATAAAAATATATACATTTTCCCCCATCCTCCTTTCCATCAGCTTGCCACTTGTTATTTTGACAGAGGGATGGAAAAGCAGGATTATCAGGTCAACCATTTTTCCAACTCTTTTTTCAAAAACTGTCCAGTTGAAAAATCATCAGCTGAACAGAGAATCACAGGCAAGTTGAGAGAGAATGAGCCATTCAGAAGTGGAAGGTGAAGTGGATAAACAAGAAGGTTTTAGTGGCTTCGGCTCTGTGCTGCTTCATTGATTCCAGCAGATGTGGGGGCTTGAGCCCCCAGTGCATTTTTCAATACATCAAAGGATCTGGCCCAAACCAGACTGTGGAGAGAGTACAATCAAATGGCAGAAGTTGGGAAAGAGATGGTCAACGGAGTGCCTACAGCAAGCTGATTTTTCAAAGACAGTCTTATGCAATGAATCTTGATGCCGATTGTCCAGTCCAGGACAAACAACAGTGAGAAGTGAAGCTCCACCCCTTCAGAAAAAAACCCAGAAGCAGTGAGCTGATTCCCTTTGTGCAAGACACCAGAACCATGTTGGAGGTGCAACAAAGAGGGATTTGAAGCTTCAAAGATTCCTTTGGAGGAGACCAGCTAAGTGGGATACCCAGAGACAGTCATTGGCCGGCCATTTTTGACCCATGGGCTGCCAGCTGCCATTGCCTCTTTCCAGAGGGGCTAAGAAACTCTGCAGGAGTGGATTTGGGCATTGCAGGTAGGAAGCAGGAACCAGAGAATGAAAGACCAGAATCCTGCCTTCCTTCTATAGCCCGATCTCTTCATCCTGTTCATCCTCAAAACTGTAGCCCTGCCCTTCATCCTCCTCATCCTCTTGCTCATCTTCTTCTTCTTGTTCTTCACCACCACCACCACCCTGGTGGAGGCCACCCGTGGGACTCAAGCTCTCGTGCCTCAAGGGCTCCTGTTCCTGCCCCCTGGCACTGTCCCAGTCTTTATCCATCACTCCCAACACATCTTCCAAGATGGAAGGGCCCAAGTCCAACTGGAAAGAGAGAAGGGACTCTGCATGTTCCAAGGTGGAGCTCTCCCAGGTGAGCTCAGGTTGTAGGCTCCAGTCCCCTCCATTGGGGGGCTGCCGCTCCGCTGGGTCGGGGTGCTGCAGGGCCACAAAGCTGCCGTCGGGGGTCGACGTGGCTGGACTCTGAACCGCCCCATTCCCGCTCCCAGGAGGAGACCGCAGCTCAGAGCAGCCGGAGGTGCTTCCGGGACGAGAGAGAGACCCGGGGGACACGGCCACGTCGGCCGGCAGCCCATTGGCTTTGGAGCCCCCGTGGTTGCTGAGGAAAGACGTGTCCCCGAAAGCGTCGCCGCCACGGCCAATGTGCATCGTGTGCCGGAAATCCCCCAAGGGGGCGCTGATCATGGCCCGATCCAGACGGGGCCGCTTCTTGGAATGGGCGACGGGGGACTGCTTGAGGATGGGCATCTAGGGAAGCAGAAAGCAAGCGTGAGAAAGAGAATGTGCCGCAGGGTCCCTGCTCCCCAGCGGGGCTTCCAGTTCGCTGGCCCTGCAACCTCTGCCTCAGATGCTTTGTCTGAGCCCAAGCCCCACCTGCTCCATCGCCTCGCTCTCCCCGCCCGCAGAATGGCGCGCTCCGCCACACGCTTTCAGGGGCCCTTGTGAAGGCAGGCACGAGGACTGCCAGTGCCTTTTGCAAATTAAAGACCGACCGCAACGTGAAGCCTCTGAATTGCAATGCACCCAGACATTCAGTTCATTACCTTTTGCCTGAGCCAGGAGAATGAGCTTTTGAACACGCAGCATGGATTAATCGCCTCACCCTGCCAGGATGTCTGCACTGATCGTAAACTTTGCTTCGTGAACGCTTGCCGTTAAATGCTAATTTTCACTGTCTGTATTTCCTTCATTTCATTCTGACCCCGCTGCTTACAATCTCCACCCATTTGCAAGTGGATACATACCAGCAAGTTAGGATAACATTTCATGCATCTGAAGTTCACAAATGCCTGTGCCATAATACATTTCTTAAATCTATAAGGTGCCACATGGGATTGTTTTTGCTGAAAATCTAGCAACCTCTTTAGAAATCGTATCATATTATTACTTGCCCTGGAAGCTGACTAACTACGACACTTTGCTTCTTCCAAGTAGAACAGGGTGGTCTATTCCATTTATACAGCAGGCCTGCAAGGCTGGTTCAGCTGAGGGAATGAGTTTTTCCAAGGCTACCACTGACAGGGAATTTAGAATCATAGAATACTAGAGTTGGAAGGGGCCATGAAGGCCATCGGCTCCAGCCCCCTGCTGTTGCAGGACACCAAGTTACACCATCCCACTCAGATGGCTGTCCCATTTCATCTTGAATGTCTCTAGTGTGGGAGAGCCCACCACCTCTCCAGGCAGCTGGTTCCACTGTTTATTGCTCTTAAACTCAGCCCTTTATACCTCCTCAGTTACACTGTCCATCATACATCACTGCCTTGAGAATGAGGACAGGCTACAGAGAGCTGGACCCCGCACCCTCCTTAAGGGCCACGATTTCAGACACTGCTGCACAGAAAGCCTGGGATGAATGAAGGGAGAGATGCCAGAACCACCTTTCCTGGCCTTGGCTTAGGATGCCACACTCCCATTGTCTTCATAGCCCACAGGACAACAACTCACTCAACAAGTTCCTAAAACAAGGAACACCTTGTTGCCATAGGAGCTGGCACTTGGGACACCTGGGTTCCTTAAGAAAAGGAACAGGATCTGCAGGTAGAGCTTGGCAACAGCGGTAAACAGGAAGAGAGGGGTCCAGGGTGGTGGAAAAAGGATGGCAGGAACTGGAAATCTGAGCAGGAGATGATGGCTCTGGGATACTTCAGTGCAGGAGAAATCCTGCCTTTAACTTCAGCAGAAGAGGGAAACTAATCCAAAGTGTGGGTAACTGAAGCAGGCAAATTCTCTCCTGCTTCCCAGCTTGGCCCTTCCAGTCCCTTTGCTTGGGTCCAATGTTAAGGCTGGAAGCTTTCAAGAGACCTACTTTGGGTATTCTGCACAGCATCACGTGCTTGGATGGTGCAGTAATCAAGAGATGCTGTTAGATTGTTTTAGATCACGGTCTCCTTCGATGTAATAACATGTCATTTCAAAATGGACTAACTCAGATGGGATGCACCGGGGGCTCTGCTGCTCTTTCTACCGCTAAAGCCTTTTTCTAATGGTGCCAGAGGCTGCACATATTGGAAGGTGGGCTCCAACTAAAGCCCTGGATTTTCCCCATACATCGCTGGAGTCCCCGTCCTGCAGAACTCTCTTGCTCAAGATGGCATGATCTAATAGCCAGAAATGATTCATGTCTGAATGTGAACAAGAGAGCGGTGGTGGGGGTGGGAGAGACAGTCTGGGCAAGTGCTGGGTGGGGGGGGGAAGAGTGCGAAGGGTGGAGAGGCAGCAGCCAAGTTGGACGGCATCTCCCTGCGTTCCAAGATCAGAAAGCGCTGACGGAAGTGGAAAAAAGCACCGAGTCAAGTCAGCACAGGTGGAGAAAGAGAGAAAGAGAAACCCAGCAAGTGAGGAGGCGGCAAAGAAAACACCCAGGAGTCCTTTCCTGTAAACCACTGCAGGAAAGCCTCCCGAAATCTCGGCATCCTCTCCCCCATTCTCATTCTCTCTGCAGCATCCAGGAAAGTGTGGCTGCCTCGCTCCCCACTGGCTGCTAATGCTTCAGAAACCAAACCCATTTTTGGAGCCTAGGATCGGAAAGGACTAGATCTCAATTCTTCCTTTGGGTTAAAAAAAAAAGGGAAAATGCTATCAGTCTCTTTATTGAAGTGCGTATTTTTAAATGCAAAAGTCCAAGTAAAGGTCTATAGCAGTGGTGACGAACCTATGGCACACGTGCCGCAGCGGCACACAGAGCCCTCTGTCGGCACGCGAGCCAAGTCGCCCAGCATCGCCCCAGCGGCTGAGCATCGGATAACAGTGCACATGTGGGCCATGCACCTGCTCGGAAGGGAGTTGCGGTGCCAGGTGATGACGTTACGAGCCACGACTCATTAGCCGCGACTCGTCCGAGCTTTCAAATGGCCGGTCAGTGCTCTGCCAAGGAGATTTCATATATATATTTGCTTGAACCTGCTGTGAGTTTTAATACATTTGTTTTTATTAACACAAGAGTTTAGCGTTGAGTTTTCTTATGAAAAACTGAAATTTAATATCCAAGATTTACCAAAGAGATGTTCTAATTAAGAGACTGAGATTCTTTTAATGTTGTGCTGTCCCCCTGGCATATTTGAATCTGCAGCATCATATTTAGTAGTTTTTTCTAAACTAAAACCTCAGTATTCTTGTTTTATCGCAGTGTTGGCACTTTGTGATAAATAGGTGGGTTTCAGGTTGTAGTTTGGGCACTCGGTCTCTAAAAGGTTCGCCATCACTAGTCCATAGTCTAGTAAATTAGTTGCATTAGTTACACTGAACTATCTAATTGTATCCAACATACTTTTGCTTTCAAGGGTGTTGCTCTTGAAAGTTGTCAGACTTTGCAAATTGTTGCATGTTTTGCTTTGTTTCACCAAGCTTTTTGTTCTTTCACAATATGCCCATCATTTCTCATGTATTGCTGGTCTCATTGTTTTCTTGTGCATTGCAAAAGCTTCTTTGGATACACCCTCTTATGAAAAAGCAGCAGAGGATGCTAGTGCAGCTGTCAATAAATCTGATATTTAAAAAGAGCAGATTTTAAGGGGGTGGAACGGCCCCACTCCAAAGAGAGATTCCCACACACACAACGGTGTGGCTCTCGGAGGATCAAGTTCCTCCCTGATTTCTCTTGGCTCCTCTGAATCCCTCATCTCCTTTTGCTGTCTTCCATCACTGCGAAGCTTTAGACTGCAAGCTCCTTGGGGCAGGGATCCAAATTGTGTTACTCTGCATTTTTTAAATTTATCACCGTTCTTCCAAGGCAGCATGGAGAGGATTGCCAGTGTCTCCCATCCAGGCGCTGGCAGCCCTGCTTAGCTTCAGCACTGCAGCAGGACGGATGCATCAGGCACCTTCTGCCTGGAAGTCTGTGCCCAGCCATACAGAAAGAGTCCACCCCATCAGCACCACTGTAGTTCGGGTGTGCGCCTCAGCTCAGCGCTGGACCTGGGTGCCGAGCCTCCCGCAGCAGCCAGGCGAGCCTTTGCAAGCCAGCGCACCAACGGCACCCATTCCCGGAGAGGCCCGATCAGGCCCGAGAGACCTACACCCATTTGGGCGCCTCGAACACACTCTACATGGAACTGTCTTCGAAGGACGTTCTGGAAACCTGAGCCACTCAGCCAGGACTGGCCACAGGGACCACGGGCCTCCCTTGCTGAAGGAGTTTCACTGGCTACAGGTTTGCTTCTGGTTATGGCCAATAAGTCTCTACTCAGCTTGGTATTTGGCTTCCTGAAAGGCCACCTTTGCCTGTGCGAAACTGCCGGGGATTTAAGATCCTTGGGCAGACTGTTCTCTCCGGTTCTCACCACCCTCAGAGGCAAGTCTGGTGGGATCCGAGAGGGGGCTTTTTTGTGGCCTCTCCCAGGCTCTGCAGCTCCCTGTTAAGGGCAGGGAGGTTGGTTCCCTCCTTTGATGTCCCTTCTGCTGGCAAGAAATACATCTTTATTCAAATGGGCCTCTGGCATACGAACGGATTCATGGCTGAAGAAGATTTTAACTGGTTAGCACCCAGCTTTTTTTCATCATGGTGTTTTTAACTGTTTTGCTTCACATTTGCATCAAAATTCTGTGATCTCTATTATCTTTTGCTGCTTCGAGTGGCATTTTTGGGAGACATGTGGAATATAATTTTAAAAAATACCTACCTGGTTTGCTGACCACTGAAAAAAGAAAGTGATAATCGGCCAGCAATTCGCCTAACCCCCAAATGCCCAGCACGGAGGTGTACAAACGGACATGCACACTCCCAACAAATTCAAAGGAAGCACACAAAAACGGGCAGGTCACTGTGGCTCTGGGCAGACCTCAAGCACTGAGCGTGATACCAAACTCCACAGAACAGCCAGAAAAAGAAAATCTAACTTGGGAGAGAGGTTCTGAGTTTCGGAAGGGAGTCTGCATTTTCTTCAAATTTAGGATATTCCTGAAGTGGGCATGTGTTCTACATTACCGAGGACAGTTCCCTGAAAGATAAAGAGCCCCGAGAAGGAGAACCAAGTGATCACCATCTCTCAGCAGCCAGCCCATATGCTGGCCCTTCTCCTGGTCACTCTGCACCACCCTAAGAGGTCTTGTACTTCCATTTAAATTATAGTAATCACTTCTGAATTTGCAACGATGTGCACACAAATTAGCCCATGCAATTTTTCGGTAAGTAACAGTCGTCTTCTTTGGCAAGACATAAGATGTCGCACACATGAATGGCTTGCCAAAAGCCATTTCCCCAGGTCACCTGGATTGAATTAAGGGCCCTCTCTAGGTGATCGGTAAATCACCCAGAGTTTTTTGTTTTTCTTTTGGCCCAGAGCTCCAACTTTGCAGACTGTTGGGTTATTAAGAAGTGTACATTTGTGACTAGATGCTCTCTCTTTTTAGTTTTTATGGATGTGTGGGGAGGGCGTAGGGGAGAGGGTCGCAAAATGTGCCTCACAGAAGTACATTCTCAGAAAGTAGCAACGTCTTCTTCCTTCTCTTTTCTCCTCCTATATTCTTTATTTACTTATTTTATACTGTTAATTTTAACTTTATAATATTATGTTTGTATCTCAGTGTATTTTTTGTATTTTTGTATTTAGTGGTAATTTATTGTGTTCTATTGTATTTCAATGTATTTTATTGTGTTGTAAGCTGCCCCGAGGCTTCGGCAAGGGGTGGCATAGAAATGTTATAATAATAATAATAGTAATAGTAATAGTAATAATAATAATAATAATAATAATAATAATAATAATAAAGTGACTGGCAGACCGAATGCAACAAACGAGTCCGGACTGCATGCACAAAATTTTAACAAGAGTCACGGAACAGCTGACAAACCAGGCCTGCTGAGCTCTGACTTAGCTTTGGCATGGGCCCAGGCAGCCTTATTCTGCAGCCTTTGGGGAGAATATATCTATTCCCTTTCCTCTCTGCACTTCCCCTCGCTGAGGACGACAGATATGGTTACTAGCCCCAGAGGACAATGACGGAATTTCCTACAAAAATGAAATGAAGACCTCTGAAAGGCTCGGATGTGGCTGGGGTTAAGGAAATGCCTCGGAGCTGGAGGGGGGTGGGTGGGGCAGAGGAAGGCGGCCAGTGCTGAAATGGGGCCTGGATTCTGGGGTTCCTTAGAAGGCAACAGCAATCTTCCGAGGACAGACCGGGAAACAGTGCCTGGGGGCAGGTCTCCTGGGGACCTACTGGAAAAGAGTTAAAAGACTTTAACAGGGTTCTGGGGGGTTTCTGTGAGGTTGTTGGGATCTGGTTGCTTTCAATGGGGGAGCTGAGAGCCCCGACTCCTGGGCTCTGTGGGAGGAAATCTAAAAAAGATGGGTGAGGTTTTACCTGCAAGCTGGAGTTTCGATGCACCAGGGGAAATACACCAAGAAGTTCAGGCAGTGGTCTTTGGCTAGAAAACTATTTGCTTTAGCCGCAGCCCACGCCCTCCCTTGTTTTCCACCCGGCTGCTGCCGTTTGATTTATGGCTGTTCCTTCATTCCTCCCTCCAGATACACACTCACCTTTTGCCACACAAAAGTTGGCTTCTTCCCCCGCCTGCCCCCCACATCCCCCTGCACTGAGGCACCTACGGATTAAAAATCGCCTCAAAACAACCGCAGTAAAAAAAAACCCCAGCCGATGGAGTACACTCCATGCCGTGAGAACCCAGGAAACCCTTCTCTAGAGCAACAGGGAGAAAGACACCTGCAAACCCTGGACTTCTGAACCCCGGTTCTCTACGAGGAACCCAGGAGTCCTAGCTCCCAGCCCAGACCCTCGATGTCCCGGCCAGCTGCCTCAGAAGGAACAGCTCAGCCCATTTGTTTCTCCGGAAATCGGGAGGGGAGACAGGCTTCTGCGCTCCGGCCACACTCCTCTCCTGGCTTGCAGCTGGCAAAGCAAGCTGTCAGCCGGCACAATGCACAACCTTTCCCAAGTGCCCAGGCAAGCGCCGTGCGGGTTGTCATGGCGCGGAGACTCACCTTGGCAAGGGACAGCAACCACGCTCCAGCTGCCTTTTTCCCACTGCTGCGGGTGACTCAGAAGAATGTCCCAGGCTCTCTTCCTGCTTTTGTAGTCGCCCTGATCCGCTGCCTCTTCCAAAAGGCAGTGCCAAGTGAAACCGAGTCACCAAACTTGACGTCCTCCCAGTGTTCGGAACTGGATTCTGGTGCCACTTTCTTTCCAGCTAAGGTCCAGGAAGTTCACTCGCAGTTCTCAAAAACCCTCAGAAAAATTATTCTTTTCTCTCGTTCATGTGTTGCCTCTCAACGATTACTCTTCTCTCTCCTCTCTTTCACCCACGAGCTTTCACTCCTCCCCTCTTGGGTGGCAGCCCAAAAGTTTATTTATTTATACCTGCATTAAGAAAATGAAATTGTAGCTGTCAGAAGCGCCAGCAAAACCAAAGAAACCGTAAGCTGAGAAGGACAGAGTCAAATGTGACAGGGGCTTTGGAGATTCAGGAGCTAAAACAAACATTATCCCAAGAAAAGGGGAGAGGAAATTTTTTAAAAGCTACAAACAAAATCCCCTTCATCATCTTATAAAGTTCACTGCATTCCTGAACTTCCGGAGTAGGCCGGCGTATTTGGAAATCGGGCTACGCACAAGATAGGAGATGAGGGGTGAACAGGGGGAAGGCAGCAGAGCGAGAATCTAAAAAGATGTGGCTTTAAAAGAAAAGTAACGTGCAAAAGAAAAAAGAACTCTGGGATGAGAGAAGTTTATTCCCAGGGTGCTGGAATCACACAGGAGAAAGCAAAAAGACCTCATATGGTGGGAATGAAGAAAGACAATGGATAGAAGGCAAGCATTCACTGGGGTACATGCTCAGGTATTAACCAGACAACACTTTTATGCAGGAAAGGGCACATATAAAACATATTATGAAGTGTTGAGGAAAGAATGGATACTTAGGACAAAGAGGATGATATTGGTATTTGGAAAGAAATGGGGAACAAGGCTAGAAGGGGCATTCAGCTATGGATAAGATGGATATATAGCCAAGTTTATTGATCTTTCACAATCTAAAACACACATTCTTCCATGCGCATTTTAAAAAGAAACAAGTTCCTAGTCCATATGATTGCTTTTGAACCAGACTCCCATTCTCCTGTGCCCCTGTGCTACGTTTCCCTCCTCTTGGGGCCTCCTGCTGGGCTGCTCTCATCATGTGCCCCCTCAGGTGTCCCTCCTGATGGGGGCTCCTGGAAGTTTCCATTTTTGCAGAAGCGCCAAGGCAATCTTCAGAGGGAATGTGCCCACAGCTCAGCCTAGCGCAAACTGACCTCATATGCTTGCTTAAAGTGTTTTTGAACTGCCCTGATCAAGGTGAAAAATGTGATTTACCAAACAAACACACTTAAATTGAGCAATAGCATTTTTAAAAGGCCAATACAAATCAATAAGAAAGTCAGAAGGCCTAGAATATAGACCTGCAGGAATTAGAAGTGGACAGACACATCCAGATCTTTAAAGCCATTTAAAAAATGGATGCAGATGAAACCAAATGCACACTCTATTCATTTCCATAATTAAAATTTGAGTTTCCTTAGCACGAAACCTGTATCTCACTGGACCACAACAATGTGTAATAACTATACATATGAGATGGGAAACAACAGGAAACCATTATGTGAATGGCAGGTGAACTGCTTATTTGCAATTCCAAAACTGGAAAAGATCTACAATAGAACTCCTCCTTTGTCTTGCAGCAAGTTCTCTTTAAATCATGCAAGCCCAACCCAGATTGGAGAGCTACGACTGCGCTTATCTGATGGTGCAAGGTACTCTGCATAGGTTCAGAGGCACACTTCTTGTTGGCCAAATAGTCTAGGGATCAGTAAGCAATTCAGACCCTGATCAGTCAGTTTCAGACCCTGAAAGCCAAGGCACCTAGGCTTTCCGCGAGAGCCAGGAGCTCGTCTTCGAGCCTGGAGACTGGGAAGGCTTCCATCCCTTTGCCCGTGCTGAGCATTCCTTCCCTGCAGCACTCAGTCAATAGCTCTGCACCACAGAGATTAAGACAGGCTGGTGGGAGATCCAAGGATGGAGCTCCAAATCCAAACCCCAACCCAGAACACCATTCCTTCCCGCATCTCTTTCCTTTTCTGCTTTTTGAAGGTTCACCATGACGAGGCCAAATCAAGACCTGACCAACAGACCAACAGACCAACAGGACACCTATCATGCCCATAAGTGGATGGATACAAGGATGGGAACGGGCAAAAGGCAAGCACTGGGAGAGTTTGGGATGAAGGGAGGGACACGAGGCTGCGAGATTAATTAGCTAGCTTTTAGAAAAAGTCTGAGACAGGCCTATGTTGCTGTGTGCGATGCAAAGGTGAAGGGGGTCATTGCACATACTAATAAATCCCAGAGACAAGAACGTTTTATCTTTATTTACGAACATCAGGTTCAAAGCTTATGTTTGACGGCAGACCAAAAAGAAAAAAGATGGGGAGAAAAGCACAGGGCGGTCATGGTATCACAGTCCCAGCTCTCCTCCTCCACCACTGGCAGATTCTTCTTTGCTCCAAATCAAATTACAGAATTAGTTAAGCCTGTGTTTTAGTGAGGTCACGTTTCTTTCCACGCCGCACGTACACAAGCACTCACAGAGCAGAATGTGGCGGCAGACTCCTGCTGTGGAAGACGGGACTATACCATTTCAGAAGGCAGGTGTGTGTGTGTGGGGGGGGAGATGCCACTAATGAATGCTACCAACATAAAAATAGTAATCCCTGAAAGCAGGCAAGCAGGGAGAAGGCTGGGCCACCACAGCCCCCCCCCCCCCGGCAGTTTGCTAGCTTGCTTCTTGCAAGGGGGTCTCTTTAGAAAGGGAGCGTTAAAAACGGCACTTTCTCCTATAACCCAAATAGTCACATCCGAGGCCTTCATGCTTTACATGTACAGTCAACCTTAGGACAACCTGACCAGGTGAGAGAGGCCGGCATTACTATCCATATACCATGGTCAAAAGGGGGCAATCCCACAGGGTAAGACACATCCAGCATGCCAAACCAGACTCCCCATGGGGCATGCTGGCTGGGGATGATGGTACATGTAGTCCGAGGTGTCCAGCGTAGGTCAAGGTGGCACAGAACCAATGCAGAGGGCAAGGCAACCCCTCCGTGCGCATTCCTCACTTGGATCGTGATGGCTTGGATATCCAAATAAGCCACTGCAGAAGGCTTGGCATCAGCTCGGACAAAACACTTTGCTATGAAGTTCAGCTGTTCAGCCGAATGAACATAGACGAGTCGGGGGCACTGTATTCTGTGGTTTTTTTCCCAAGGGCAGGGGAACAGAAAAGCAAAGAAAAATACAAAATAACCCCTCTGGCCCATGCAGCCTTTGATTTGTTCTTTATCCTCGCCAAACTGCATCAAACTCAGTGGCATGCGCAGTTCTTCCTCTTTTAATTGCACAACTACCCTGCAAGGTTGGTCAGAGGGAGCAACTAAATCAAGGAAGGCACTGGCAGCGCTTCAGCACTGAACAATATGTGAACCCAGCTCTCCCCAGATATAAGCCAACATTTTAGCCACTGCACCACACTGATTCCTGAAGTCTCCTGTCCCCCACACCTACTCACCCATGAGGTCAAGATGCCAGAGACAGAGCATCCAAGTAAATTCTGTCTCCCATCCCACCATTAAAATTAAAACCATGTTAGTTCAATAACTGGCAAGTAATTACTCTTCAAATGATGCCTCAAACCAGCTGCTTGAAGCAGCTGGACCCAATTTTCGCACAGGCCCTGCCTGGTCCCCTTTCCAGGGAGCCTGCCCGCCACTCCCTCCCATCAGCCCCTCAAAATCTGCTGACAGCAGCACTTCCTTGCCCCAGTGCCTGCCCGCCCGCCCTGCTAAAGGGGTGCTCCTTCACCCCCAGCTGCAGCAACTGGGCAGAGGTGCTGGAACATCTGGGCAGAAGAGGATCCCAAGTCAGCCATGTGCACTGCACACCAGACAGAGACGCACTTCAAATGCTCTTAGTCACACCGACACAGCTGCACAAAAGCCACACACACGTGCAAGGCTTGCTCTCTTGGGAACCAGAAGAACAGAAGAGGAGCTGTGCCAGGTCAGGCGCGAGGTCTATCCGGTCCAGCCTTTTGTCTGTGCAGCAGCCACGCAGATGCTCCTCGGGATGCTCGCAGCTGGACCAGAGGGTGCCTGCGGCCTCTGCACATGTGCTCCCCACCCACGGGTGCCCGAGCGCCAATTGCCTGCAATATGGGAGCCTGCCTCCTCTGCCTCACACGTGGAACGCTCAGCCACACACCTCCGAAAGGGCGCAAGGACCACAGCAGCAGCAGGCCACTGGCTGCCGTTATTCACCCCGGACACACGAGACCAGCACCCTGAAGTCAGATCCCCACCAGCAGAGTATTCCCCTCCCAGCATTTCTCTAAAGGTGCAACCCTGTGTGTGCAACACATCCAACCTCTTAACAAGCAGAGGATTGCTACTGCTTTATGACAGGCTTCTCCTGCCCTTTCCCCCTCTGGTCAGGGACCCAAGGTGGCTCACACAGCCTCCCTCCATGCCACTATTGCTTCACAACAACAACCCTGCGCAGTAGGTTAGGCTGAGTGGCATCATGGCCAGGCGGGGATTCGAACCTGGCTCACCCAGGTGCCCAAGCCAACGTGCTCAGCACCACATCACACCAGCTCACACTTTAACGTGTTTTTAAGAGGCAAGTGTCTACTTCCTTAATCAACAAATATGCATTTTGTTAGAGAGAATGTGGTGGGACTGTCCTAAAATGCAAAAGTTTAAAAAAATGGAACCAGAATGCGGGAGTGAAGAAAGAAAGGGGCTGATCATTTACTGTAGGGATTGTTCTAATGAGAATGTAAACGTTAAGGGTTTTTCCAGTGGCAATCAACCCCTCGAGGAGGAATCAGAAGAGGGAATTGTTAACTAAAGGATGGATGCCAACATTAATCAGCAATGGGAATATACAGGAGAGATTTTTTAAAAAAACAACAGTGGGAAATTTTGAGAGAGAGTCAGCAACCATTTTCATTAAATACTGTACTGGAAAAGAGTCAACAATAAAATCAATGAAGTGTTTTCTCCACAATTTTACTGGAAAATGGAAGAAAAAGCTGCCATTTCCTATAATGAAGATGGTAACCAGATCCTGGTTAACCTACTGTGGATATTTACTTGAGAGGAGCTAGGAGAGCTGGCCCCTAACCCCTCCTGCTCTCGTGTAATAACACCAGTGGCATTTTCCACTTATAGATATTTCTGCTATCTTTGCTTTTCAATTTGCTGTTATCCGAAATGCTCACTTGCCATCCCTGCTGCGTCAGCAATATCATGCACTGCAGTGCGATTCATTGACTGGTCTCCAACAGCTGTGGGACCAAAAGAAACAGGGAGATCACAGGCTTGGACCAATAAGACCGCCGGTAAAGACCCAGGAGAGGAAGCAAGCTGGGCCGGCAGGTTTGAGGCATGTGTGTATGGGCAGAAGGGGCGGTCAGGCAGAAAAGCCTGCAACTTCTGGCCACTCTGGGCATGGAATTGTGGGGCTCAATTTCCATTTGACCAGAACCTTTCACAGAAATGGCATCATCTAAGAAGCTGTGTGAATCCTATCCGCGTAGGCAGAGGTTTGCTGGATCTGGGTTCCTCTTGTCCAGCACTGTTCCCACAACAGCCAGCCAGGCATCCACGAAAGGCACACAAGCGGGGCACAGGGGCGGCAGAGGCACCCTCCCACCCATGCTCCTCAGCAACTGCACACAGAGGCATCTGGTCTTGGATAATGACTGTAATCTTCAAGCCATCGTGGATCGGAGCCAGCTCCCACGGAGGGTCATCTGAAACTTATTTGAGCTGTGGCTGCCTGTCAGCCCAAGTCCTTCTGGAGGCTGCAACACCAACATAAATCACACACATCTCTGTTCTACAGGCCAGGCAGAGACACAGGAAAGGGGAGATCAGCGGCGGCTTCCCACACACAATGGGACATTGACCAGCTGGATCTGACCAAGAAGTTCATCAGGGCTAGCAACTATTTTTCAACAGTGGCCAACTGGAGGAGCTTCCATCAGATAGGTGGCCCTTCGTGCTCCCTCCCAGAGGAGGACAAAAGGCAGCACTTACTTGCATAACATTTTCATGCACTCTTTTGCATGTGCAGAAACCAAATTGGCAAGAACGATGGTCTTGCCACACCGGCAAGACCGTGGCCAGGGTGCCTGCGTGGTTTGCTGCCTGGGCACAAGCTGTGGATGGGCGACTGCAAGGCTACTGCTGGCTCTCCCGCTCTTGACCTGCAAAGGGGACCTGGACGGGGCAGCCCTCCAAACAGAGGACTGTCCTGTGGTCGTCTTGCAGACAGAAGTAAAACAGAGCTTATGATCGCCCTAAGACCAAATGAGGAGATGTGAAAAAAGAGTATGGTTAAGACGGAAAGAGTCACACTGACTCCTGGGAAGAGAAGTGAGGTGTTTGGGTCCCAGAGAGACCTGATGAATCTGGTACAGAGCGTAACATGTTCGAGTTAAGACTGTAAACTCTCTGGGGAAGAAGTTCAGACGTATTTCTGCATGCTGGCACGATCACCGACGGTGTTCAAAGATAGGCTGGACATGCACATGGTGCGCATGTCGTGAGCAGAGCTGGCTGGAGCCGGGGGTCAGACTAGATGGCCCAGAAGACCCCTTCTGATTCGCTCTGCTTCTATATAAATAGCAAAGAGCTGGACATATGTTTCAACTTTCTGTTCAGCCAAATATTTTCTAGCCACCTTAGAGGCATACGTATTTTTTCCCCAATCTGTAAGGAGTATGGGGGAAAGGAAAAACAACAATTCCTCTTCCTCAGGCACTAGGATACCTGCAAGGACAGGTGAAGCAGCAGGTGTGCTATGTATCCAATGGATTACTGGACTTGGTTCAGAGACAGTGAAATCTCAAAACCTCAGATGCCAGAGAGACAAACCAGGAAGCTCTGTGCCCTTTGTGAACTGCTTTGGAGTTTCCACAGGCATCCTGCTGCCCATTTTGAAGTCAGGATGGAAGTAACTTAGCAGGGCTTATGCATGTGCAGAAATAGAAGGGGGTGAGAAAGAGAACCTCCAATGTCTCCGGGAAAGGAGCAAGGCCTGGAGTCAGTGAGAATTAAGGTATGCAAGTTGTTAAGGAATCAGGTCAGGGGTCGGCTAGGCTTCGTTTTTTCAGGCCAGATAAACCAGCAGCAGTGGCACAAAAGTGGCCAGGGTCAATAAACTCGCGAGCAAGGGGTGGGGGGATCACATGATGCCACTCAATCAGCCGCCAGAACGACAGAATCCAGATTTATATAACGAGTAGAGGATCCATGCCGCCCTGCCCCCTCCAGCTCTCCGGGAGATCTGGAACACGCTTCGAACATGCCTCGCACCATGTGATGCTCAAAGGCGCGGCCAGGACAGTGCGGGCCCATGCCCAAACAGGGCAGGTTTCGCCCGGGGGAAATGGATTGGCCTTACCCAGCGCAGATCTGTGATGATGGGCGCACACAGAGAATCCACATCTTGGCACGCAGCGGACAGGTTTAGTTCGCTGATGCGCAGCTTTTCAGCGGTGCTCGTGTTTATGCACACTGGTTCACCGCTCAGCCACGCATACATGTCGGCTCACTCCTCCCTAGGTGCACCTTCCACTGCCTGCTCGTTCACGGCAAAATCTTGCACGTGCATCAACACACGTGTCAGATCCCTTCTGAGGGTACCAGAGACTTTGCACAAGCAGTGAAGCTGCTCCTGACATATTGGCACACGCCCCTTTCTTTGCAGGTGTGCAGTGTGAGCACCCACTAAGCAGTTCCCTCCCGCACCAGGCTGTCCCCCGTTGCTTGACACGGATTGCTTCCTAGCTGGATCTCTTTTACTACTCGATTGTTTCATGATTAAGCCTTGCGACCCTTTTTCCGTTGCTCACCTCTGTTTGCTCACGGTTAGTCACTCCTGGGAAACAGACAATTCTACGCCACACTTCCTCCTCCAGCCAAACCCGTCCCTTTCCTGGACGAATACAGAAAGGGAGCCAGGAATTGCGGGTGGCTGCCAGTTAGCTTCCTTGGGTCTCTCAAACTTCGGAGCGCCATTCACACAACCACGCACTCCCGAGTCCAGTAGACCGCGCTCAAACGGTCTACTACCCCTTCGAGAAGAAGCGCCTACGCCGCCACCCCTTTTGGCTTCCACCTATATGCACCGACCAGTATCTCTGGCTGCTCCTCTCTCCGACGCGGAGAAACCCCAGTTCCCACCCCCTGCCCCAATCCTCTGAGACCATGCTCCCCTTCCAGAGAACCCAGGAGTCCCGCCTCTGTTTCCAGTCACCCCTGAGATTTCAGGATTCTTCCCCATTCCCAACCCACTAGGCTACACTGTCAGTCCAGAGAAGCCAAAGTTCTCCCAGCCCTTTCTAATCTACCCCTTCCAGGAGAACTAAGGAGCCCTGGATCCTCGGAAAGGTAGAACTCCCTCCCCGCAAAAAGCTCCTTTCCCTGGAGCCCCTCTTTCCCTCACCGGCGCCCGTACCTCCCTCGCCATCTCGAGAGTAAGAACCTCGGTTCCCGCTGCATCTGCTTCCAGCCGCCGCGCTCAACAAGTCAACTCGACTCGTGGCTCTGGCACACCAGAGGTTAAAAGGGTGGGGCGAGACTTAAACCACGCCCGTTCATGATTTCGGCTCCCCCCCGCCCTTCCTGCACACTCTCCGTCTTTTTCTTAAAGATATAGCAGGCCGCGTTTTGGGAAAGAGTTACGGGGTGATTTCCCCAAAGTTGAGGTAGCTGGGAGAGAAACGCTAGTGAGGCCGAAGCATCCGCGTGGAAAGGGAACGTGGGACTGCAACTCGACGGGGGCGTGGAGGCAGAGAAGCGACTTGCTGCAGGAAAAGGGGATCCTTCTGCGCCGCCCCCGCCCCCCCCATGGCTAACCCAGCCCGAGGATGGAATTTCCTGAAAGTTCCTTTCCCAGGGAGAATAATCAGTTCCAGATGGGGAGGGAGGGGGCTGGATGGCGATGGGGGACCAGATAGAGGCGGCCTGGAGCAGCCGCGCAGAGCGCAGGATGGTATAGGGGAAATAAGAGACGGAGGGGTGGGGGCGAGAACAGGAAAGGGGTGGAAGATTATGCAGCGGGGCTGGAGGGATAAACGCGAGGCAGGAGAAGGGAGAGCCAGAGGGGCGAGCGAGAGGGACTGTGCGTGCTTTGCACGTGTACAGCATCGCCTCCCACCCCACGTGCGCACGGGACAGCCAGTCCGCGGCTGCCGGCGGGCTGCTTGATGCCAGGACCGGGATGGTGCGCCCGTCGGTTTCGTTTCCAAGAGCCAAATGGACTGGCAGCTGAAGAATTCTGCTACACTGACACTGGGGCAGCGGCCACCCCCACACCTGAAGGAAGCAGGCCAGCAGTGTAGGGGGTGTGGGCCCGGCTGCGTGGCCCATCGCTGGCTCTCTTCCTACACTTCCTGCCCCTTCCTAGCATCTGCTGCTTGAGGCAGCCGCCTCACTCTGCAGGGCCGGCCCTTGGCCAGTAGCTTCTTCCTGGCCTGCAAACATGCAGCAACTTTGCATGTGTGTAAGGTCACTGGCTGTTACAGAATTATTCTGCAAGCATGTTGGCACCCTTCCATAGTGGAACATCTCATGAGAGCCAGTGGTTAAGAGTGTAAAACTCCCCATTCAGCCATGGAGCATTCAGCTGGGTGACGTTAGGCCTGTCACAGACTCTCAGCCTAACCTCCCTCACAGGGTTGTTGTTGGGGGATAAGATTGTGAGCAGGAGGAGGAGAATGATGTAAGCCACTTCAAGAAAGGTAGTTCTTTAAAAAAGAAAAAAAGGTAGGATATAAATCTAATAAGTAGATGAACAATAAAATGGTTGTGACCAACATAGGCGTTAATACTTACATTTTATACAATTGTGCCATTCTTGTGTTGTGAAGCAACCATGAAGGAATGGAGCAGGGTGGAGCAGGGAGCCAGAGAAAGGAGAGGAGATGGGGCAATGGGGGAGAGGAGCAGAAGGCACAGAGAAGGAAGAAGGAAGAACATTACAAGGAGAAAGGAAGAGGGCTTAGAACAAGCACCCCAACTTGCTGCCTTCCAGATGGATTGGACTGCAAGTCCCATCATTCCAAGCTAGCATGGTCAACAGAAGAGAAGAGGTGCTTGGAAAAATCGAATCAAACATGTACAATCCTGTTTCACAAACTGCTTCCCACAGTGGCCAGTCTGACATTGCTGGAGACACAAGAAGGAAATGAAGGCACCAAAACCTCTAGAGTTGCTTCACAGCAACAGGTATTCAGTGGCAGAGTAGAGATCATATAGCCCAGCCATCGACAGGTTGAGCTTCCCTGCATTTGCATGATCTCCTTTTGCGCCATGGAAGCCCATGGCCAGCAACACTTCTTGTGGCAGTTCATTCTATAAATTAACCCTTAGCTGTGTCCAGAGAATTATATTCTTTGGTCTGTCCTGAATCCACAAATTTCCTTGAATGATCCCAAGCTCAATATTAGGGCTGGATGCGCATGTCCCAAGTAAGCCAAGCAGATGCTTCAGGTAACAATGTTTATTATTATTTTAGGTTCATAAATTTCTCAGTCTAACCCACCTTGCAGGGTTGCTGGAGTGGAGGGAGAGTACAGCCAGTCCCTGGGTTATAAATAAGTTCCATGCCCAAGAACATCTTTAAGTCCAATTTCTATTTGGACTTAAAGGCTGGACGTGCACATGGCTGGACGTGCACATGGTGGGCGTGTCATGAGTGGAGCCGGCTGGTGCCGGAGGTCAGACTAGATGGCCCGGGAGGCCCCTTCTGACTCGCTCTGTTTTCTATGTTTCTATTTAAGTCAGATCACGTACAGATGGGTCATATTTAGCTTGAAAAAACCAAATGTTTGTCTTCGTATACATAGATATATATTGCCTTTCCATGCACTGAAAGCACTTAAGAGACACTTCCACAAGCACTAAGACCATCCTCGGGGTTTGCACAGCTACACTTTGCTGCACTACTAGGGCTTGGCCGTTTTTTCTGCCCCAGAGACGGCACCAAACCATTTGAGGTGTGGTCCCAGAATCTGGCCGTATTGTGGAAGATAATTACACACTGTTGGAACAGGCTTCTCCACACACCACCCCATGCACAAAGTGCCTCTCACACACTATCTCTGTAATCCTCACAACCCTGTACAGCAGGCTGGGGTTGCTAATGACCCCATATTACAGGTGGGTGGGGATGGAAGCTCAGAAGCAGTGGTTTACCTAAAGCCTTTGAATAAATTGGCTGCTAGGTGAATTTTCAGTCAGGGTCGTTCTGACTCACCCTCATAAACCTTGTCAGGGTGGGTGGATGACAACCCCAGAGCACTTTGCAAGAGGAGAAAGCGGAATCGGTGCCACGGTCCAACTAATTTGAAGGAAAATTCCTTCCCTAACCCTATACCTAATCCTGATGCTACATGGTGTAGCAACTTAAACACTGAGGCAATGAGGAGTTTTTCAGCAACCAGCCTAGCAGCTCCGTTTTAATTGTGTCTGACCAGATAGGATGGGGGCACCCTGACTTTTCATGTGGAATTTTGAGGGGGTGTTGTGGGTGCCCTCACCAAATGGCTGCTATGAGGGAAGGTGTACCCATTCATCAAATGGTTTCCACTTGGCCAGTCACTCCTTTTCCAGAAGAGGAAACTTAGGAGGCTACAGGGAAAGTATTTGGTCAAAGAACCCAAGTACAAGACAGAGGTCAGGTCTAAGTTCCAAAGCACGTCTCCTCCTCCTCCTCTTCCTCCTCCTCCTTCATTTGTAGAAATAGAAATAGTGTTGGCAGACAGCATTTTCTTTGGCACCAGCCAGCTTCCCAAATATTTTTTTAATATTAAAATCTTACAAAATAAAAATCTCTTTTAAAAAATGGCAGCCATCAAGGCTTCTGTGCTTGATCAGGACATGGGGGAGGGATTTGCTCTTACACCATTTCCCATGTGAAAACACACACACCTCTGCTATTTGCCCAGGGAGGACAAAGGCACAAACACAAATAACATCTGTTCTCGCTGGACAAATAGAAGCTTAGGGCCTTTCTCCTCTTGTCTACTTGCACCCAAGCGGAATTGCTGTTATCAAATCATGTGGCACCGAATCCCATCAATTAATGTGTTTTGTCTTGCTAAGTTCCTAATGCCGAATCGGTTTTGCAGTTCCAACGCAGTAAAGAGGGAGAAACAGGGCTTTCTCTATGCACATACTCCATACAAGCACAAAGCCTTGGGGCTGAGGGCCAAATCCGGCAGGGCGGGGTTCCCCAGAAGGCCCCGCCCACTTCCCTGACCACGCCCACTTCCCCGAGTTGTTGACAGTATGGCAGTCTCCCAACTTTTGTATATTTCCCCCATTCTAACAATAAAGCCTTTCCTAAGGAGTTGGGCCCCATCACTGACAAGTATGAACAGAAAAATGGTCTAAACAGCCTGCATACCTTTCTTTGCCTAATCAGGCACAGGAGTGCCCCGCAGTTACACATGGCAAGTCTATTTTGGCTCTTTTGGAGCCACCTCTTTTGCCCGCAGCCCAACTCACTTCTGGAATTCAGCATGGGACTCAGCACTCAGGGTGAAGCAGGTTCTGCATCCCTGTTCCACAGAAACTATTCTCAGCCTTTCCCCCTTTCCCTTCTGCCTTTCATCTCAGCCAAAATCTCCAAACACTCGGCACCTTTGCCATAAGTAAATCTGTTCCATTTGTTTATTTTGCACTTTTCAACTGTGAATCAGACCTTGGCTAGGTTCAGTCAACACAACAAGCTGTGGTGGTTTTTTACCCTTGTTGATACGTTGTGTTTTCTTAACCCAGTCGTAGCTTTTCACCATCGTAAGTTTAGTTTTTACATACCATGATAAGAAACAGCATTTTGTTCTATGGTTTCTTTATATCAACATGGCTTCCATGGTCCTAATATACAACTACCACAGAGTCCCGTGGAAAGAGCAGTAACTGCAGGAGCCACTCCAGCCATCCAGCCTCTATGTCTGGACCAGTGAGGAAGAGGCAGGTGACAGGGAGCAATGCATCTTGGGATTGAATTTCAAGCACAGTGGCTGATGAGATGCATGCCAACAATGGGAGGTCTGAGTGATAAGGATGGAAACCACAATAACGTAGAAACCACTGGATGATCTGGTGGACTATGGTAACTGAGCAGGGTTTTTTGTTGTGTTAATGAACGGTGCCCCTGAGGGAACCAAAACCAGCAGGCAGAGATCCCAGCAGAAGAACATTTTATTGCCATCCAACATGCAACTGTGATGGTGGGACTAAATGAGAAAATAGGGAAGAGCTTAAACTTGAAGTACACCTTTAAAACTTAAAGACTAAGAGACATATTGTGTTTACACCTGGTGAAGTCAAGAGGGGGCTCTTGACTTCCTGTCCTGCTTACGGGTTTCCCACATGCAGCTGGTTGGCCACTGTGTGAATGCAGCGTGGGAACAGGGGGGCTCTTACGTTCTTGTCCAGTGGGTTCCAATGCACAACATCCGGTGCCTTTATCATTTTATTATTTCATGTCATTCCTATACTGCCCAATATCCAAAGGATTAT